CCCCCCCCCCCCCACACACACACACACACAAACACACACACACACTCACACACAAGAATGAAACTAGTTTGAATTTAACAGGCACATACATCCATCAGCACTTGTTATATAGTTTATCATTACTGTAGGTAATCCAAAATACTGCTTGAAATAATGAGTCATCACCTTTTGAAAATTCATTGTCACATTACAAGCCTTAGAGCCTTGTTACAACCCTTAATGTAAAACTTACTCTTAATGTAAAAAAAAATACATTAAGGGTTACGTTTTTACATTAAGAGTAACAACCCGCAACCCTTAATGTAAAAAAAAAATTTTTTACATTAAGGGTTAATATCGTACATATCGCCCCTTAATGTAAAATATTCTTATAAACAAAGTTTGATTTGAAATATAGGATACGTTTTGCTATGTTCACGTTTTTTATTGTTTTTGCTCGGTTTCTTTCAATTATTAGTAATAAGCATAATTCGTAAAAGGTCCAAGTTCGTGAGTTATTCGGGAGGAATACCTTTGATAAAATATTCACTGGTAAGACGTGTTATTGATTTTCGCTACAGATAGCATGCTATTACAATTCTGTTGGATAAAAGTCTGTTTGGCTTCAGTAGCGCTACATTATGTGTGTTTACATATATCCAGCCGGAGAGATCGACCTGGTAATAATAACAAAGATAGACAAAATGGGGTGTATTTTTTATTGAGTACACTGGAAGAAGACCCAGCTGTTTCTATCATTGTACTTGGGTTTGTTTGTTTGTTTGTTTGCCTGTTGTTTATCGCCGCACTCAGCAATATTCCACCTACATGACGATGGTCTGTAAATAATCGAGTCTCGACCAGACAATCCAGTGGTCGACATCATGAGCATCGATCCATGCATTTGGGATATGAGGACATGCATCAACCAAGTCAGCGAGTCTGACCACCCGATCCCGTTAGTCGCCTCTTACGACAAGCATAGTCGCCTTTTATGGCAAGAATGGGTTGCTGAAGACCTATTCTGCCCCGGATTTTCATAGGTCCATTGTACTTGAACAGTAGAACCGGTGTGACGCGGGACTATGTGGAGAACGATGTTATTCACCATGTTAAAAGTAATAATTACTTAATAGATGTTTTTACACAATTTGAAATGGAAAGATATTCATGTGATAATTTACTTTGAAAAAATTATTTTGGAAAAGTGTTTAATTCTTAACAAACATATTGTGAATGGAAGATTCGGAACTGACTATCAAATCGGTGACTGAACATTTATTGGGCATTTAGTGAGCGAGTGAGTTGGCTTTAACGCCATTTTTAACAGTATTCCATTTATATCACGGCTTAATGTCAGTTTAATGTGGGAGGAAAGCCCGAAGTGATGCAGGCCTCAGACGTTTATCAATTCGGTGAAACCCACGAGCACCGGTATGGTGCTGACAAACCTAGAAACATAATCGGGGCGAACCGGGATTCGAACCTACAATCATAGGTTTCTGACGTACCCAAGGTACGCAACTTTGCACAGCGAATCGCGGCGCCTTAGACGACTGGCCACCCGTGCCTCCTATTGGGCATTTAGGGTGTAGTGTGATAGCTTATGGTTTGGCATCGAGTGACATGTTCCCCGATGATGATGAATGTCTCTATAAAAAACATTATGTAAATGCGTTCAGAAATAACTACAGATAACTCATACCTTATTAAGTGTGTGGAATCAAGTAGGACCAGTTTGCGCAATGTAAAAGGAGTGACCTAGAAAATGCAGCAGCGGTAGACTCTAAACGTTCCTGGGACATCATAAAACGTTGACATACAAGACTGGGCGACTATTTCTCGTCGCTGAATTCTGAACCAATGGGTATTCAGAATAATCTTGGTGAGGTGGAGGACATAGTGACAGGTCATGGTTATGTGCTAGTACTGACAATTGACATATTAGAACCCACAATCACCAGATCCAAACTTTTTGAAAGAATCAGTGCCTGGAAACATAATAACTCAGCTGGCTTGACGACATCTATGGAAGCCATTGTACAAACATGGTTTGAGTGCTAAAATGGGTAAAATGTTACAATCCTTGTACAGTAATGTAAAGGCCCGTGTTCGTTCAAACAACAGAGTATCTGGTATATGTGTTGCTTCATGGGTGTGGGTCAAGGGTTTATGCTTTGTCCCTTTTTTTCAGTTTTTTTCATAAACGAATTGGTTACAAAATGAAACAAAACTGTCGTTTTGGTGTTAAGTTACATCCGGAATTTATTTATATTTTTCTACTTCTATAAGCGGAAGGCCTTACTGTGTAAAAATGAAGTTGAATATCTTACATGATGACGGTTGTATATGGGAAATGCCAGTCAATCTATCGAAAACAAAAATAGTTGTTTTTCAAAAATAGGGAAGGTTTATCACGTTATGAAAAAATGGTATTGTGATGGAAATGCGAATAAAGTAGTTACTGGATACAGTTATCTTGGTCGTATTTTAGCAATAGATTACTGAGATTGAATACTTAAATAATATTCCAGTTGAGGCAAGAAAGGTGTTCATGGTCCTGTTAATTAGTATACATTCCTTGAAACCATACTCCCCTCACTTTTACTTAAAATGTTTTGATTCAAAGATAACACCAATACTTTTATACGGGGCTGGAATTTGGGGGTTCAGTGACATAGAACCGAGTGTGGCAGATGTTCTATTCAGTCGCTCGCTGTTTTGAAATGTGTCAAATATTGGCTGTCGCTTTATAATATGCAGGAATCTCGTATACCCCCAAAATGTTACAATATGCTGCCGTTGTACGATGAACAAGGCCACGTAACGGGTACGCCGGGTAACGAAACTTAAATCTGTTACTTTCAGATCAGGATTTGGTGATGTCTGGTACTTTCAAACATGTGGTAATAAAACCGCGTTTTTAAATATGTTACGTCAGCGGTTAAAACCTTTTTTTCAGATTTGGCATGGTAATTTATGCGAAAAACCCCAAATGGCTTAAAATGCACAGTTTTAAACATCCATTTCATGTGAGAACTATTTGAGTAGTATAACTGTAAATAAAATCAGGACTCGTTTGGGGTTCAGTTCAATATTCCTCGTGAAATTGTAAAGTTTGTAACCTAAACAATATCGAAAATGAATATCATTTTTTAAAATTTGTGTCTATGTTATAGCCAGCTGAAGCAAAGTTTTCACATCTTTCCAAATATTCTGAAGTTTAATACACTACAGTCATCGCAAGACCCTATTATCAATATGAATACAGAAAAAGTACTTGTTTTTACGCCAATGCTGTAAGAACACAAATACACAAATAAACTTTGATAATATGCAATTATGTTAAAACTGCTTTTTCAAAAATAAAATGCAAAGGAATGTGTTGTATTTTATACTTTTACCTAAATTGTATTTCGATTGTACATAAAGTCCCATGGCCTGAATAAAGTGAAGACTAATTATTCGTAATAGCTTCCTTCAACTGTGCGCGTTTATTCAGGAACAACAGAAAGTAGAGCCATTGAACTTGTGTAAGTGCAGTACACCTTTCATATTCCAACAACCTCTCAACAAGGACAACCTGGTCGTTATTAACAGGTTTTTTTCATGGGTCATAACTGACGATTTTGTAAATCTTGTTACAAAGGTGTATCTAGGGACACTATACAATATGACGTTATTTACGTTATTTACGAGGCATCTGATTGGTCGAAATTTAGCCCCAATACATTAAGAGTATTTTTTACATTAAGAGTTGTAACAAGGGTGAGCCCGCAACTCTTAATGTAAAATATTTTTACATTAAGAGTAATTTTTACACTAAGGGTTGTAACAGAGCCTAAATAAGCGACAAAACCCTTTCCATATACAATAGAAATATCTGCATTAAGCAGAGTCGATTGTACGATTCCGACTATATCATGATCATGTGTTTATGAATCACTATCAAATAGTAATGATACCAGGTGTTCGCGAAAAGGTGAGCGTATCCTGCCCCACCGATGGCACACGACACAAACACATGCAAAGGCAAGCCAATTGTTCATCTGAAAAAACACGGGAACATATGGTACAAGTCAAAATAGGGTTTGCATCGGACATTATTTTTGTCACTGATGCGTTAAATGTGGAAATGTCATCCACATGTCAACCATAAAACTTTTTGAAAGCTTTACTGACGCTTTGAATGTTGAAAGCAACTTCAAACAACTTCTGAGCAAGAGTCGTGCGACGCTCTTTGAAATCTTGATAGAAAGATCATGCTCGATTGTATCTCAAATGTGAAATGTAAACACCAAATGCTGGTGATGATGGAATATTATATTGCTCGACATGAAGGAAAAGTTGAAGTCATCCCTCTTGTCATACAGTCTTGTGGAGAGTGTTTTGTCACTCTGAATCTAAAGACGCGGTGAGGTGAGGTGAGGTGAAACGGGATTTAGATAATGCCGTTTTAAACGATATTGCACTTATATAACGGTGTACTATTCGGCTTTATAGTCCTGGGCCACTGAGGTACCATGCTGCAATTTAACATGGATACCCAAATCAAACATAGTCGCCTCAAGTCGCCGGTCAACTCAAACGATGTTCACTTATTCAGATCAAAACAATGACTGAAACCACAACGGTATTACTATGATGACATCATCACAACACTTGCACAACCATTCAAACAACGTTAACATTGCATTCTATGTATAGAAATACTTCCGGGTTTAGAGTTACCTCCCTTACATCATTAGCATACTCCGAGCAGACCATTCCTTGTTTTATCTCCTCTATTCCGAGCACCAGGCAAGGTAACAAATATCATCTATTAACACCATTTGGTAAGACGCGGCCGGGGATGGAACTACAGACCTTCCCCTCTCCAGACGGACGACCTATCCACTAGACCACGGTGGTGGCTTTTTAGCCCGTCGGCCTGGTACAGGATCGAAATACTGACGGTGTTTACTTTTGTTGTCGTGAAGATATTGCAATCACCAAGCCCCAGTCACAATAGAATCCACATATAACAAGGATTACACTCTCATTTATTGTCAGATTACAATGAAACCTACAAGTTGTTTCAGGCGATCGGCATTTTCGATCGCGAGTCGCAATGGGTCCGTTACGATAGGTCAGAACCTCGGTTTGGGAGAGGGTAGAGCACGTACGTTGTTGACTCCGCCAATCTTCACATAGCTAGTTGACGCGGGGCGGTCATAGACGTAGTAGTCGTCGTCATCTGGGGAGTATAAACATATGAAGTAGCCAGCAATAGTTGAATGGGGACAAATGACTGATAACTATGATAGACATAGTCATAACAGACACATCTTCATCGTGCACTATATGTGGACGGTCATGCAACAGACATATGCACAGACATGTAACAGACATGTATAGTCTGTAACAGACATATGTACATATGTGTAACAGATATGTATACAGTCGTGTAGCAGATATATGTACCGTCATGTAACAGACATATCTACCGTTGTGTAACAGACATATGGACCGTCATGTAACAGACATGTACAGTCGTGTAACAGATATATCTACAGTCGTGTAACAGACATATGTACCGTCATGTAACAGACATGTACAGTCGTGTAACAGATATATCTACAGTCGTGTAACAGACATATGTACCGTCGTGTAACAGACATATATAGTCGTGTAACAGACATATCTTCAGTCGTGTAACAGACATGTACAGTCGTGTAACATACATATATAGCCGTGTAATAGACATATATAGTCGTGTAACAGACATATCTACAATCGTTTAACAGACATATGTACAGTCGTGTAACAGACAAATGTACATACATGTACAGTCGTGTAACAGACATATGTACAGTCCTGTAACAGACGCTATACCTTCTTTGTAACAGACACGCTCACACACATATCCGACATGACAACAAAATACACGCAAAACCATAGCTGCTATTGTAGTAAATGTGTTGAGCGATGCCAATACAATCTTACCATATATCGGGTCCCTATCTCGCTTGTTCCTGTTTAATGGTAAAAATAGAAACGATGTTACGCGATCATCATGTCATCGTAAATATATCGACACTTTAAGATACATTTGAACTCATTTTTAATATACAATCATGAAAAGGGTTGTGTTATAGAGAGCCTTGTAGAGGATTTCCGTTATTTGTGTCCTTCAAAACATACAGTAAACTACGGTTATAACGAACTCAAAGGGACCAACAATTTTAGTTCGTTATTACCGTAGTTCGTTATAAGCATATATACAACATCTATACAGCAAATGGCAGGGACCAAAAATTAAATTCGTAATATCCGTCAGTTCGTTATAAGCGTGTTCGTTATAAACGTATTTACTGTAATATCACTATACCTACCCATATTCATCATAAGGTTCAACTCGTTTCCTTTTTACACTGAAAACACAATTCAAATTCCATATGATTCAGAAAAAGGAATATTTTCTCAGTGACACGTTTATCAGTTTAGACAATATTAATTACAAACTTCTTCATCTTAGACAGCGTTCTTCTGTAGATGTGTTAAACAATGTGATGCTGTTTACATAGGAGCTGTTAAAACTGGACATTATTTTGTCACCGATAGAATCAGTAACGATGCATGTTGGTCTCAATTGTCATTGGAACTATAGCCATTTTTCGTCACCGTGATTTTCTGCGAATCCACGATTTCACTTGATTATAAACCTCGGTTTGCATATACCAATGTGGGATATGTCCACGACCTGCGTCCCTTTTGAATTTCCTCTCATGCTCCAGCTGTCACTCTGAACATAACTGTCACACTGACCAACACGGCGCTAAAACCCACGCATTTCTTAACATCCTTATGTCGCGTGTTCTGTTGTTGAGGTCTACTGTCCTAGCCTATCCATGGGATTCCTACCCTAATTGGACATTATCTAATTATTTGATTTAGATGTAAATGGGAGGGGCGGTGGCGGAGCCTAGTGGTTAAAGTGTTCGCTCGCCACGCCGAAGGACCGGGTTCGATTCCCATTTTTTGTGTACGCCGCCGTGGTATTTCTGTAATATCGCTAAAAGCGGCGTGTTACCATACTCACTCAGTGTAATGGGGTTATTTATTTTGTCATCACACATACCTGCTTTGTCCGCAGCAGTGACCCGTCGTGTACCACCTGTACAGAAAATAGAGACCGATAAACAATGCAATAAATAGAATAATCATAAAACATGTGAATATCGCGACATTCGCGGGTTCGTCAAAATATCCTGGTGCCTGTGTCGTTGTGGTAGTGGCTGTAGTTGTGGTTGCGGTCGTTGTTGTAGTAGTTGTTGTTGTAGTGGATGTCGTAGTTACGAAGCTAACGGCGACAGTTCCCGTAGACGATCTTTGCGGAGTTCCTCCATCCTTGGCCTCCACCAGGGCAAAGTAAGTTGTCCCGTGTAGCGAGGAATCAAAGGTGTTGGTGTATCTGACCTCTCCTGAACTGAGGACTGTCACGTACGGAAGAAGTGCCGAAGATCCCCCGACTTGTGAATAGGTGACTGCGTTGTTTGGGGATGTCAAGTCTCCGTCTGTAGCTGTGATCGACCCCAGGGACCCAAGTGCCAGACCCTCAGAAATTGAGAAAGCGCTGAGCGTATTGGCAAATGTTGGAGTGTTGTCGTTTTGGTCCAAGATCGTGACCTGAACTTGAGAGGTTCCTGTTGCCGCATTGGAGTCAACTGCAGCGATGGTCAAAACAGCAGTGTTTGGGTAGACACCGTTATCGATGTCGTACTCAGTGTTAAATCCAAACCGTTTGTTCGCGTCGTCGTACCGGAAGCGTTCACTGTTGTTACCGGAAAGAAGAAATATGTCGGTGATCGTGTCACTCTCTGGGTCAGTAACAGTAAGGCCAAGGTCACAGAAAGATGCATACACCTGAAGAGAAAATGATGATGTTAGCTGAATTGTTGCCTCACCCATCAGAAACAAAAACGGAATTGTTTTAGCATCAGAGCTATAGTGCAGCCATGTTATGACAGTCGATACTAAGAACATTTTTTGTTCACTGTTTAAAAGTGTTTAGAATGTAAACACGTACAAAACATGTTTAGATCTAGATTAAGGAAAGTGCTTAAATTCTATGCGAATACATATTTGGTGTGTTCTATCTTAACGCTTGTAGGGTCTAAACACATGAAATAAGCAATGATCGTATCACAGCCTAAACCCCACTAGACACAACATCCCCATCATTTAAACATGTTTAGAATTAAACACGTATAAACATGTTGAAAATTTTAACGTGTTTAGGTTTAAACATGTTAAAAATTTAAACATGTTTAAAGCTTAAAAGTGTTTACATATAATGCGTATCATTGGGCAATAAGTCAAATACGGTGTATGATATATATTCATAGATTCACAGGCACCTGCATAACACATATACCACCAGAACTAACAACTAACTTGGAACAATATTTACATAAAAATGTATAAATAAAACAAGCTCGGTGAACAGTTGACTCGGAAAGCTGACATTTGTGAGGACAACAGTCTCAGTAGCACAGGTACTAGCATGGGAACTACAAAACAAGTGGCTGCAGGTTCCTATCCGCCGATGGTTGAAATTCTAAGCGTTCTTAAAAGTACCTCATAAGTACCATGAATAAAGATTGATTGATATACCCATAAGCCTTTTAGTTAACTCCCCCGGAATTAATCCATCTATACTTCTACAAATAGTTTTAACGAAACTAATTTAATATGCATACCTTTTTGGAGAGTGACTTAAGCAATCGAAATTGATATACAGTCAAACATCGTTAATCCGGACCCTTTAGTCCAGAAGCCGTGCATTCTTGAATATTACCCTTACCAATGATTAGTTAATCAAGAAACGGTGTTTCAATGGGTACAGCACTCTCCGGATAAACGAGGTTTCCCTATATGTTAACATTGTTTACATACCTGTGACTCATAAATATTGCAATAAAAAATTGCCTCGTTGAATTGGGGCGGTTCGTTGACATTGAGGACAAACAGGTTGATGTACTGTCCCACAGAGTCGAGGTAGCCGTCGTTCACGAGGAAGGAGATGTTGTAGTAGCTGGTGGTCTCGGCGTCGAGGACGTTCTGGCCAGTAGCTGTCGTGGACAGGCGGAGGTAGCCCGCTGAAAAGAATGAGGGTCATTGGTTTCTGGGAATACATACTATATTTATACACAGTCGAACGTTAGCGTTGATCTCACTTTGCGTGGTTACATGTTTGCTCAACTGCAACGCAGGTATTTTATTAAAAACAACATGAGTGGGAGGAACTATGGCGACAGATATTGCAACTGATTTGAAGCTGATCAATTATCTAGATGTGTGAAATTATGAAGCGTACACCCTTGCTCATAGGAGAACTTGTACTGATCAGTTCCCGGGTTAACTGTGAAGACAGGGGTCAAGGTATTATAGATGTCTGGGTCAGTCGTTGTCAGCCGTATGAGTCGTTCCCCACTAGCAGCCGTCTCGTATATGGTGATGTTGGTTGGGAGATTTGTAAAGGAGGGTCTTGTGTTCAAATCTGAAAACACATAATAATTATCGACATTGAAAAAAACCGAATCAGTAATACACTAATGTGTTATCCACGGAAAGCACAAAAACATGCGTATTCACCCGATTTATTGATGTACATCATAAAGAGAGCCAATGCAAGGAAGAGGTCTATAAGCTGGACATAATCCTCCTGCACAGTTAGACAACTCACTGTTGATGGTGGTGGTGATGGTGAATGGTCCAACGATGTTGGTTCCGTCAGTAACGTTGACCTTGATAGCCACGACTGGCTCCACGGCAGTTTTTAAGTCTTTGGCCGTAGAGATAATCCCGGTGTCTGAAAAATGTACAATATTATTCAAACAAAACTATTATTCCCTGAATCAGCGCCTCAGAAAGCAATGCGTCGAATACCAAGACCCTGAGGGTTTCAAAATAGATATTAGTTTCCCGACGCGTGACAAATGCAGTAAGAAAGTGCAAGAGATGAACCAACATTTTCTTGTCAATTCTTCGAATTTGGAATACAAGCATGTTTATTAAAAATAAATCTGTTGTACATTATTTATTCATAATTGACTCTTGAGGGCATAGCTGTAGATATGTGATAGATTATGCATTGGCTTTCAGAGTGAGACACTATTGTTATACAATTACTTTAGCAATATTCCAGCAATATCACGTCGGAGGACATCAAAAATTGAGGGGGCACGGGTGGCCCAGTCGTCTAAGGCGCCGCGATTCGCTGTGCAGAGTTGCGTCCCTTGGGCACGCCAGAAACCTCTGATTGTGGGTTCGAATCCCGGTTCGCCCCGATTATGTTTCTAGGTTTGTCAACACCATACCCGTACTCGTGGGTTTCACCGAAGTGGTAAACACGCCGTGATATAACTGGAATACTGTTAAACCCAACTCACTCACTCACTCACTCAAAAATTGGCTTCACACATTACATCCATTTGTGAATCAAATCCGGGTTTTCTGCGTGAAGAGCCAACGCTTGAACCACAAGGCTACCCCATCGTCCCCTATTCTGACAGGTATAACACACTCACTTGTATCGATCTGAAAGTAGTCCACTGTTGGCTCCGTATACATGGTGTAGGTGAGCGGGTCGCTCTCGTTGTCCCGAACCAGCAGGGTGTAGATGGTTGTGTCGACTGCTGTAATACTTGCATCAAGAGTTCTCGACACTAGGAACATGAATCGTCATCGCATGAGCATATGTATTTTTCACTTCTCTGGATTAGGAACATGACATTGTGTAGGTTTGTTTGTTAATTGTTTAACGCCGCACTCGGCAACATCCCAGCTATATGACGGCGTCTGTATAAAATCGAGTCTCGACCAGTTAATCCAGTGACTGATATCATGAGCATCGATCTACGTAATTGGGTTCGAATGACCGAACCAGCAAACCTGACCACCCGATCCCGTTAGTCGCCTCTTGCGACAAGCATAGTCGTCTCTTACGACAAGCTGGGGTTGCTGAAGACCTATTCTAACCCGGATCTTCATGGGAGACATTGTGTAGGAATTCAGATATCATGGCGGAGTTCCTGGCATCTAGTTGAGATACGAGAAAACCGAGTTGTTGCACTGACCGACAGAGATAAGACTGGCCGTTCATCACCATTCGGCATGTTAGACATTTTAACAGTGGATGTACCCACCTTTATCCAACCTGCCAAGAATTTCTACAGTATATTTAACATGTCAAGGGGACATCGAGACCTTGCATAATGGCGGGTCTCCTCACCTCCAGGGAAGTCTGTGATGAAGGGTGCCTGGTTGGGCTGTATGTCCACCTCGAGTGTCTGAGTGTCCGTGCTGCCATCTGCAGCCACACACTGGATGTCCAGGAAGTAGGATTTGGCGATGTTGCGATAGCTGAGGGCGCTGTTGGCCTGCCCAGCTACATAGTACACGTTGAACTCTGAATACATTAAAGGAAAAAAAAAAATAAACAATGAAGTCGTCCATCCGGACACCTGTTTTCCTTACGAAAGGTGTTGGAAGTATCTTCGTTAATTATGGAGATTTTTATTCCACGCCCTTCCACAAAACATGACGATTTCCAAGATCCAGTAACTTCCACATTAAAGAAGCTTCGATGTTGTTGTTTTCAAAAACATGACACTTGTCATTTGAGTCGTAGGATTAAGTAGGGTCGCGTAAATTTATTTTTTATATTTTAAGGGAGGCACTGGGCCTCCGGGGTCTATGGTATTGCAATTCGCTGTGCAGAGTTGCGCCTCTTTGGCTTGCTGGAAACCTCTAATCGTGGGTTCAGATCCCGGTTCGCCTTGATTATACTTCGAGGTTTCGCCAAAGTGGTATACGGCTACTTCCTGCATCACTTTCCTCCCACATCAAGTGGACACGCCGCGATGTAGCTGAAATACTAACTCACTTTTTTATATCTTTCACAACCTTTCTTCAGAACCATGCTTATAAAGCATGTACTGCCTAGTGGTTTGAGGTTCAGCAAATCACTCTGAAAATTGGCATCCCTCTCGTGCAAGGATCCCCTTACTTCCATCCTTACTTTGTCAGTAACATGCATAAACGACAGTAATAAGCACCACCACCTGCGTCAGTACCTTTGTTCCTACATAGCGCTGTGGTACAACTGAATCGGCTTTACACCAAACTCACTCACGCAATTAAAATTACACACTTCTAAATGTAATAACCTGAGTACGTATACTTCTTCCAGCACCGGAACGGCGCGCCTGATGGCTGCTCACGGACGATGTTGCAGGTGGTGCACGTCCCTGTTGATCCGACGCCGTTGTCGGTACAGGTGACAGTGGTCAGCAGCGTTTCGATCTGCGTGTCCTCGTGGAGGTTGACCACGACGAAGGGGTCGATGACTGGATTGGGTGCTGACGTCGTTGCCTTAATTTATTAATTTATTCATCATAAAAGAGAGCGTTGTACAGATTTGTTTCAATACATCAGGTTATAATCACATCTTCTCTAAATGACAATACGCTGCTGGACAAAAGAAAGTATACACTTGTAAATTGGATTTGGCCATAAAAAAACAAACGCTGTCAAAACAGCCACAGAAACACACACTTAAGGTCCTAAACAGAACTTCGACACCCGTTCAAGTAAATCGCTGTCGTAACCATTTCTTGTTTTTTATTTTTATTTTAAGCCATCAACAAACATGGATGTATTATTCTTTTGCCCGGCAGTTTACAAAAAAAAGAAAAAAAATCTTACTAAGGTGAACTATATCATTGGTGTTATTCAGCGATATATTAGAATACATGGCAACATTCTAGAATGTTTGTTTTAAACTCGACTACTGTAACATCTAGTCGCAGGGCCAATGGGCCTTGTGTATGATACAATACAGACACGGTTATCAGAATTTTCTGAAGACCTTTGAAATTTCATCGAATGTGAAATGAGCATATGGATTCAGTCTCATGTTTGACAGATCATCTGTTAGTATGGCATCTTAATAGCACTCCTACGTGTATCTCCAGGATATTTCTAAGGCCGAATACCTCCTCTGTCCATGTTATTCTGACGAATGGGCATACGCCTTACTTGGAACTGAATCCAAAGCATTAACTGTTAGATGACAGGGCGAATGGGTCGTCACATTAAAACTAAAAGATAGGAATCGTGACATCAATTTGTACTTACCGCATATATCCTTGAAACTGACAGAAGACCAATAAAAAGGATTTTTTTTAAAATCGAAACATCCATTTTAGTTTGATTATTGTAACTATGGCAACCAGTGACGTATTATCCAGCACATGTACAGATGTCTTCTTTGAGGAATAGACATTGCATTTTAAACGAGCTCATGAGTCAAGTCAAAACATCCTCCACGTGCGGTGTGTCGGGCCCCATTGAGTCCTGATATCGTGGTTCAATTACATGTAAGTTAGTGACTAACGTCGCTGTGTTGTGTACGAGTCTGCCAGGACCAGTGTAAACATACTATGTTTTCTTTAAACATTTCATTACAGTAAATAGACTATGACAACAAACGATATAGGAACGTCCACCCAATGATCAAGCGGTATGTACAGGTTTGACGTTCAACGTCAACACAGCGGTAATAGCTTGGTGTTAATGTGTAACCACAGTAATTTGGGTATACCTTTGTTTATTTTGTCAATATTACGCTTTGTTGATATGCTACTGCACGTCTTTGAGATTACTGAGCAAACACTGACTTTTGTGTATGTGAATAACGGGAAATACTATGGAAGAGTAAACTCGCTAAAATCAATAAGAAGAGTAAAACCCCGAAAATGTGTTTGGTTGTACTCATTAGTTGTATACATACCGTGTACATCAATACATGTACGATTCATATACATACATTGCTAGTTTCTAAATTACAGTGAATTTGTTTTGCTGTTGAAGACTATATTGGGATCTGAATGATGTAAATAACATCATACAAACGTTATTTATCTATGGACCGTTCCATATTCGTGTATCCTAATTAGACATACGCAAACCTCTGGGAACTACCTTCTTTATCACGTGAGGCAATGAGTTGAGGCGGTCCAACCTGACGTTTTATGACACGTTTCGATAGTTAAAGGAATTATCGTGTTGGGAAAATATAACAAATGTTCTTTTTAAAAGTATTGAATAGAATGAAAGCTTAGACAGGTTTAGGTAATTGTTTTTCAAACTAGGCGTCTAGTTTCATAGACAACAAATACTACACATACGGTTGTACATTAAGCTCTGTGTCCACACTTGTTGAATCAGATCTAAAACAATTTCAAGTATGTGTGAAGGTTTTAAAGAAGCTGAAAGTGTTAACCGTATACGTAGCTGATGAACCACACTTTACCTCATATTATATCTTAATGACTACTGTCGTCTGTAAGTTGTGGACATAACATGTCATGATGATGTCTTCGGGTCTAGGAAACATATACAGAACTCGCCTTGGTTAAATCAAGGTCCCCAAAACCTCAGAGAAGGAAAATGAAACACTGAGATTAATTCTGGTTTACGGGGGACATATAACACGTACAGGAAACATATACAGAACTCGCCTTGGTTAAATCAAGGTTCCCAAAACCTCAGAGAAGGAAAATGAAACACTGAGATTAATTCTGGTTTACGGGGGACATATAACACGTACAGGAAACATATACAGAACTCGCCTTGGTTAAATCAAGGTCCCCAAAACCTCAGAGAAGGAAAAGGAAACACTGAGATTAATTCTGGTTTACGGAGGACAGATATCTTCTTTGAAACGATTCCATATCGACGATCAGAGACGTAAATATGAGGCAAAATCATCTCACGCCTCCTTTGAGTCAGCGAGCCTGACCACCCGATCCCGTTAGTCGCCTCTTACGACAAACATAGTCGCCTTTTTACGACACGTATGTGTTGCTGAAGACCTATTCTACTCCGGATCTTCACGCATATGAATTTAATAAATATCGAGCTTGTCTGGTCTGTCTTGACAAGTGGCTTGTTTGGTATGTGCACAGAAGAATGATCAATCTTTAACATCATATATCTAATTTCTTTACGATTATTATTGGTATTCAATTGTCAATGGTCACAATTTGTATTGATGAGTATATGTAGATATATTTTGAATCGGGTAAGATTTTGTGTAATCGTTACTAATATTCCATGATATTAAGACAACTCATTGTGTATTTCGCCACACACTGTTCAATTATTAACTAAGTGGATTAGATATCAATATATAAACACTTAACACTTAATTCCCAACAATGCAAAGCATATGTAACGTTTGTATCGGTCATATTGTTCCTCAGGTGGGTGGTTGGACCAATTACGTGGTTTTGCTGGTTCAGATAAGAGAGAAAGTAAATGATAATGTCGTGGTGTTATAACGATGAATAAATTGTGTATAAAGTTAATCAGTGTGTTTATCTGTTTTTTCACAGTATTGAAGTAGGATTCACATGAAATGAGATTTAACTTGTAATCATGTGTTCAGAACTTTTCCTCAGTTAACTCGGATTTGTAGCTAGGGCCGTTTATTTAGCCACCATGTACTCCAGCACAAAGAATTCTAGCGATGAATTTGAAATTAAAATATTCTTTCGGTAAAGCTTCAAGTTAACTTGGCAGGCCTGGAAACGGAAATGCCATTGACAAAAGAAACTATGCTAACTACAGAATACCATGATTGTGAAACATGTTTCGTCCCTTTTGACATTTTAAGCAACTACACAATTCAAAGTAGTTTGTGAATCTGAAACATGTACGGCTCAATATGCGACTAGACTTCTACTGTGCATGTCTTGTCTTACTAAACATGAAAGTGCAATGTTTTTAAAGGTTACCCGAAGCGACAGTAAAAACCAATAATCAACTCAGGCCTGCTACGGGCACGGTATGACGCCCCAGCTTAAATTCAGCAGTTATACTGTGTACTTTACACACATATATATTCTGCACTTAACGGTGAAGGTGTGTCGGGGGTGAATTTAAGCCTTGTATTTGCTCTTTCATTGATAACTCACGGTGGTGTCCTCTCCTCGTGACTATAACAGTAATATTTATGTTGTCAACGTCAAGTTACCATTCATTGGCGTTGCTTGAACGAATATAGGATAATCTGAAATTGACCTTAGCCCGCTCTTGGGAAAGGGCTGTGTAAATAAGGACTGGGCAAGGGAACAGACCCTCCCATTTGCTGATTTGATAACTATTATCGTGCTATTATTCATATACTGTTCGGTTATTTCATGGTAATATGAAGTTGATTATATTCGAGCAACATTTTTCCTAAGTAGGGTCTGGATAAATCCTTGCTGGTGGTCTTGGTAATTGATAGATAATGATTCATGCTGTTTATTTCGTGCAATGAATCTTCAGCAAGTATGACAGCATTAAAGGAGGTTCATCAGATGATGCTGTTGGCGTGTGTTGTGTTGTGGATATGTATACAAGGTAATAATGGGGTAGGTTCATTTCCGTCTACAATACATAATGGATGTATCAACACACTGATACAAGATGTTTTTTTTGTAAATTGATGTTGTATAAATTGTCTTAAATATGCTATACCTGATGGACTTTGTATATTATATTTAAATTAGTTGGAATTGAAATTTAAAACAATAATTCGGTGATGACTATCATATTTAAGGGGTGTTAATTCCATTGCATTCGCCAGATAATGTAAATCTACGTGGATAGTGAATAAATGAATGCTGTTAAAGTCATATAGACAGCAATCACCGAGCTATGTAAATGCCTCCGCGGTAATAACAGAATCAGGACAAGCTATATCTTTGACTGAAAACATAAACATCATTTTACGTAACTGCTATTTATCAACCTTCTGCTATTTAGACCTACTTCTATGCTCATATAATGTTAATTACAGCAATCAATATTTGTAAATATGAAAAATAAAAATTTGAAACAGTTTCAAGACACATGATGTCAAAGAGTTACAGCGTTCGACATAGCTATCAAGTAACGAAGTAGGTAAAAGAAATCAGTGACATATCCCAACTTTATGATATACAAAATTGCTAAAACACAAATGTATAGTGGATTATTTCATGTATTAAATTAATAATTGAAACAAAATATATTGATCAGTCATATAAATTATTGTTGGCTATTAATCTGTACTGAGGAAGGAACTAGTGAACGGGTAAGGAGTTGCGTCCCTTGGTCACGCCAGGAACCTATAATCGTGGCTTCGACTCTCGCTTCTCCCCGCTTATGTTTCTAGGTTTGTCAGCACCATGCCCGTGCTCGTAGGCTTCGCCAAGTGTTAAACGTCCTGCAACACTTCTTGCTTTACTCACATTAATCTGACACGCCGTGATATAACTGCTATACTCATTCACTCACTCTTGACCCAGGCATCCAGCACAACGACCCCATCCCCGATATTAATGACGGACTTCCAGGTGACCAACATCCACGAGGACAAGCAGATTGAGGAGGACATCGCCACGGTTGGATGTTCGGACTCCGTGAGCGGGGACGGCACGTGTCCGGTTTGCAACATCAAATCGATGTTTCCCCAAGGCGGCCCATTCCGCGTGTGGCGGAAATACGGGAATCAAGGTACGTCTGAAGCGTAGTGCTCTAACAATGTGATTATCCACTGTTTGCCGTGCTGTTCCATTCCCGCGGAGTACTCTCTCAGGAATTGCTATACTAATGAGTGTTCGTTTGTTCGTTTGGTTGTTGATGTTGTTGTTATTGTTGTTCAACGCTGCACTCAGCAACATTCCAGCTATACGACGGCGGTCTATGAATAAACGAAGACCAGACAATCTAGTGATTGACACCATGAGCATCGATCTACGCAATTGGGATACGATGACATGCATCAATATTATTACTGAGTGAGTTGCTGTCGCATGACGTTGCAGCAAAACAACGCTAATGGTGAGGTGAGGTGAAATGGGGTTTATTGTCGCCTTCAGGATTATTGCACTATATAGTGTGCGTGCAGCTGCTTGTAATATTCCGAACTGATGGCCCTCTCACACTACAACGTTTTTGAGTAACATGCACCTAGCGTGTAAAAGACAGTTACTACGCTGTCATACGTCGAACTTTCATGATTTTGACGTATCCATAACGTATACATAACGAGTTCACCGTATATGTAACGTATGTCTGACGTATTAGTAGCGTATCACTGACAGCGTGTAAATGCGTATTGTCAGCGTGTGTCCTGCGTGTTCAACGTATCGCCAGCGTATGCCCAGCGTATGAGTAACGTATGACCAGCGCGCTCAGCGAAGGGGAAAGGTGCCTAAAACAGGCGGTATGGGTAATGTATATCTAGCGTAAATGTATGTAGAGCGTAACTTTGACGTATGCCTAACGTATAATTCATATCTTCATACGTTCCCATACGCCTGCATGCACAAAACTGTTTTTTAAGTCTCGGCGTACAACAACGTATACCAGCGTGCTTTTAACGTATACAACTTACACCTAATTATCCATAGCGTGTTTCAGCTTTGCCGGCGTTTTGGCAAAAAATATCATACGCTGCTATACGTTGTAGTGGGACAGGGACAAAAGCTGGTTTATAGTGCTCACCCACTAAGCTACCATGCCACAGTTTAAAATGTCTCTTACAGTATACTGACTCCGAGCCAACCAGTCCTAGTTTTATCCCCTTAATGCCGATCGCCAGGCAGGATAATAACAAGAACCAACAGTTAACGTCTCATTGTATGACGTGGGCGGGGATTGAACCACCGGCCGGGTCAGTATACTGTGTTTGAGTGGGATATCCATGTTAAACTGCGGCATGGTATCTCAGTGTGCTAGCACTATAAATCGGCATCAGTCCGGACTAGTACATGTGTACAAGCAGCCACACACACACACACACGTACGTGCATGCACGTCGCTATACAAGTGCAAAAATCTTGGACACGACGTTAAACACCATTTCACCTCACCTCACTGTCATTTCTAAGATTAAAAGTTATTATAGGGCACAAAGAGAACTATTGGACTGATATAAACTGACAAAAACGTGTGGTGCTTGATAAGTATCCTTGGTTTTTCTGCTTCAGATTTCCACGTATATTATGTTGGCGGGGCCGCCACCGATGGCCTTGACTACAACGTGGCACGCACCTACAACATCACCATTGAATGTACGTCAGCTGACGAAACGACAACCGTCACGAAGATACTAGAAGTTGATGTCCAGCCCAACCAGCCGCCCTTCGTGTTTGATAACCCAGGGGGTATGTTTGACACTGGAGTAACAGTCCGTGCTGTACATAGTGCCTCATGTGCAGTTCGTGGAACGTAATGCGTTTTTACAGTGATATTGGCAATGATTGGCAATGAAAGGGCCATACTATAAGTTGTAGCAGGATAACCAGGGGTACATTGGGTTTTTAGCGTCTCAGAAATCCACGTGCAGATTGTATTGCTCGTGGCGGGGTATAAGAGATTTATTCCCCCGCTGATAAATTTATTACCCTCAAAGGCGGGTTACACGGTATTTACCCTGATCACGTGGACCAATCGGATCTCATCATTCTGACATGGCGGTATGATCTTATTTAATATATTGTTACAACTTTCTCATTTTCACAACCTTTTTGACTTAAGTGGTGCTCAATTAATTTCCAGGTGTATCTTTGTTGGTGTTTCCTAATCAAACTGATCCTTCATCCAGCCTTGTTGTACATAGGTCGCACACTGTATTTTATATGTAAGTGTTTCAATTTTCAGTAACTCTGTCATACGACGCTCAAGTGAACACGGGAGTGGGCTGGACCGTGTACGACATCAACGTGAGAGACAATGAGTCTGACCCCATCACTTACATCTGGAGCACTGAACCCGTCGTAGATTACTTCGACATTGGGCAGAGTGAGTACACAACTTACATACATGGTGGGACCTTTTATGTAAGCTGGCAATGTCCTATACATATAGCTATGTTCAATGCGCTAGGCAATGCAGGAGTACCCGTGGCAACAACCATTTAAGAATAATGAAAACCCAAAAAACCTCAGGTATAGAAAAGGCAAATGCCCCAATGTGGTGTAGTGATGTTGTAACTTGACTAAAGGAATTTAGCATGGCTTTTAACCCCTTTGTGTGAATAATAATGATAATAATAATAATGATAAGAAGAAGAAGAAGAAGAAGAAAATATGCGGACCTCGCTTTTGAAATGTCACGCTTGCATCCCAAGTACCAAGTTGTCCGACTCCCCGTTGTTCTCGGTGTCTTAGGTTTGGTACCTCCCAATCTGTTGACTGACATTGGGAGCGTACCCGGGTTTGCTACCAGGAATACAGTCATTCTGACAATCTGGGTAATGTAGATGGCTGCAGTATTTGGGAGTTTTCACATCCTCCGAAAGGTTCTGGATGGGTTTGACTAGGCCGTGGTTCCTTGGAGAAGACCCATTCGCTGTCTGGGCTGTGTGTAGAGGGGGCAAGGGCCCTGTGCTGATGATGAGCCTAACCAGCCTGACTGTGCCAGGATCACCCAAACCCTCTTTGCTGCAATTTTTATTTTAATCTGTAAATAATAATAGTTGAGCCTATCCAGCCTGACTAGTTGTTTTAGTTTGTAAATAATAATTATAATAATGACGATTACTATTGCGCCACATCCACCAACTTGTGCATGGTCATAGCGCTACATAAAACATTCAAGCACGGCTAGAGCATAAGACAATTTAGGAATTATAGATATTGACGTCTGAAGAGATGGGTTTTCAGGACTGATTTGTATAGCAATACCTATTACCTTACTTATTGCTGGCTGTTCGGGAACATCTGTCTTCAGCAACCCATGCTTGTCGTAAGGGGCGACTAACGGAATCAGGTGGTCAGGCTCGCTGACTTGCTTGATGCATGTCATCGTATCCCAATTGCGTGGATCGATGCTCATGATTTCAATCACTCGATTATTTACAGACCGCCGTCATATAGCTGGAATATTGCTGAGAGCGGCGTTAAACAACAAATAAACAATACAACATCTAGAAAGGCGACTTAGTAAAGAATATATAAAATCTAGAGAGAACCATTGTTTAAATTATTTGTTTTCGATTAAATGTACATATCGTATTATGTTTAAATCTTCGTTGCTTTGTGAAAGCATGCGTAAACACAGTGCCAAGACATCGAAAAACCTTGCAGAGGTGTTTCTGACTGTCTATCTCCTCGTTTCCTCACCCCTGTCAGGCGACGGCATTATTCAAGTCGTGAAAGATCTCAGGACGGCCGTTGTGGATGTCGTGGCAATAAAGGTCAACGTCTCAGACGGCCATAACGTCGTTGGTCCATTCACCGTCTCTGTACAACTGACAAGTAGGTTCCCCTTCTGAAATACGGCTTTTCCTACCTGTACCTTGATAACGGTAAAATATATCTGTAGATTTGGGGAAGGCTACCAGTAAAGGGGACACCTGGTCGGTTTTGACTTCAGAGTGGATTCATAAACTACCATGTCATCTCTCCAAAATAACCAAAGCAATGAAATGAATAGCTTTAAAGCAGACGACGCAGTGCCTTGTCGATTAATTGTTGTTGGGTTTTTTCCCACATATAGCACACAGAAATGAATCATTCAATTACTTATATCTTCTATACGGTGATGGACCACGTGATCCCTTTGTTGGCAGCCTTACCCTTTTGTATTACTTCAGTTCAAAACTACCATGCGAGTTAATATGTAGTTAAAGTTAATATAGAAACCAGGACTTTTTACATGTATTCTGTTTATAGCATAATTATCATCTGAGACATTAAATATGTTTTAGTATGTTGTTAAGCACAAACATGTTGCAAATACTTGACATTTATTTTAAGTTGCTTAAGATGGCGATATTATCTTATAGATCTGAACTCTCGCCCTGTATTCACCAACCTCCCCACCAATGTGTCCGTGTATGAAGACCTATCCGGGGGCTCCACCATCTACACACTGTCCTACGTTGATTATGACCTATACTCGACCTTGACCCCTGTCTGTTCCGTCACCCCGGACAACGAAAACTACAAATTTGTCTATCTCACCGGGGGTGTGTATGTTTGATTGTAACAACACATATGCACTAAAGCATGAACGCAATAACACAAATGTAATGCAACATGATTGTAACAACACATATGTAAAATAGCATGATTGTACCAACACATGTGTAAAATAGCATGATTGTAACAACACATGTGTAAAATAGCATGATTGTACCAACACATGTGTAAAATAGCATGATTGTACCAACACATGTGTAAAATAGCATGATTGTACCAACACATGTGTAAAATAGCATGATTGTACCAACACATGTGTAAAATAGCATGATTGTAACAACACATGTGTAAAATAGCATGATTGTACCAACACATGTGTAAAATAGCATGATTGTACCAACACACATGTAAAATAGCATGATTGTAACAACACATGTGTAAAATAGCATGATTGTACCAACACATGTGTAAAATAGCATGATTGATACAACGCATATGTAAAATAGCATGATTGATACAACACATATGTAAAATAGCATGATTGTAACAACACATATGTATGTCTATGACTTCGACTCCTATGCAATGTACATCTATGACTTCGACTCCTATGCAATGTACATCTATGACTTCGACTCCTATGCAATGTATATCTATGACTTTGACTCCTATGCAATGTATATCTATGACTTCGACTCCTATGCAATGTATATCTATGACTTCGACTCCTATGCAATGTACATCTATGACTTTGACTCCTATGCAATGTATATCTATGACTTTGACTCCTATGCAATGTACATCTATGACTTTGACTCCTATGCAATGTACATCTATGACTTTGACTCCTATGCCATGTATATTTATGACTTTGACTCCTATGCAATGTATGTCTATGACTTTGACTCCTATGCAGTGTACATCTATGACTTTGACTCCTATGCAATGTATATCTATGACTTTGACTCCTATGCAATGTATATCTATGACTTTGACTCCTATGCAGTGTGTATCTATGCCTTTGACTTCTATGCAATGTATATCTATGACTTTGACTCCTATGCAATGTATATCTATGACTTTGACTCCTATGCAATGTATATCTATGACTTCGACTCCTATGCAATGTACATCTATGACTTTGACTCCTATGCAATGTATATCTATGACTTTGACTCCTATGCAATGTACATTTATGACTTTGACTCCTATGCAATGTATATCTATGACTTTGACGCCTATGCAATGTATATCTATGACTTTGACGCCTATGCAATGTATATCTATGACTTTGACTCCTATGCAATGTATATCTATGACTTTCACGCCTATGCAATGTATATCTATGACTTTGACTCCTATGCAATGTATGTCTATGACTTTGACGCCTATGCAATGTATATCTATGACTTTGACTCCTAAGCAATGTACATTTATGACTTTGACTCCTATGCAATGTACATCTATGACTTTGACTCCTATGCAATGTATATCTATGACTTTGACTCCTATGCAATGTATATCTATGACTTTGACTCCTAAGCAATGTATATCTATGACTTTGACTCCTATGCAATGTACATCTATGACTTTGACTCCTATGCAATGTACATCTATGACTTTGACTCCTATGCAATGTATATCTATGACTTTGACGCCTATGCAATGTATGTCTATGGCTTTGATTCCTATGCAATGTACATCTATGACTTTGACGCCTATGCAATGTACATCTATGACTTTGACGCCTATGCAATGTACATCTATGACTTTGACGCCTATGCAATGTATATCTATGACTTCGACTCCTATGCAATGTACATCTATGACTTTGACTCCTAAGCAATGTACATTTATGACTTTGACTCCTATGCAATGTACATCTATGACTTTGACTCCTATGCAATGTATATCTATGACTTTGACTCCTAAGCAATGTACATCTATGACTTTGACGCCTATGCAATGTACATCTATGACTTTGACGCCTATGCAATGTATATCTATGACTTCGACTCCTATGCAATGTACATCTATGACTTCGACTCCTAAGCAATGTACATTTATGACTTTGACTCCTATGCAATGTACATCTATGACTTGGACTCCTATGCAATGTATATCTATGACTTTGACTCCTAAGCAATGTACATCTATGACTTCGACTCCTATGCAATGTATATCTATGACTTCGACTCCTATGCAATGTATATCTATGACTTCGACTCCTATGCAATGTATATCTATGACTTCGACTCCTATGCAATGTATATCTATGACTTCGACTCCTATGCAATGTATATCTATGACTTCGACTCCTATGCAATGTATATCTATGACTTCGACTCCTATGCAATGTATATCTATGACTTCGACTCCTTTGCAATGTATATCTATGACTTTGACTCCTATGCAATGTATATCTATGACTTTGACTCCTATGCAATGTACATCTATGACTTTGACTCCTATGCAATGTATGTCTATGACTTCGACTCCTATGCAATTTATATCTATGACTTTGACTCCTATGCAATGTACATCTATGACTTAGACTCCTATGCAATGTATATCTATGACTTTGACTCCTATGCAATGTACGTCTATGACTTTGATTCCTATGCAATGTACGTCTATGACTTTGACTCCTATGCAATGTACATCTATGACTTTGACGCCTATGCAATGTATGTCTATGACTTTGATTCCTATGCAATGTACATCTATGACTTCGACTCCTATGCAATGTATATCTATGACTTTGATTCCTATGCAATGTATATCTATGACTTCGACTCCTATGCAATGTATGTCTATGACTTCGACTCCTATGCAATGTATATCTATGACTTTGACTCCTATGCAATGTATATCTATGACTTCGACTCCTATGCAATGTATATCTATGGCTTCGACTCCTATGCAATGTATATCTATGACTTCGACTCCTATGCAATGTATATCTATGACTTCGACTCCTATGCAATGTATATCTATGACTTTGACTCCTATGCAATGTATATCTATGACTTTGACTCCTATGCAATGTACATCTATGACTTTGACTCCTATGCAATGTATATCTATGACTTTGACTCCTATGCAATGTACATCTATGACTTTGACTCCTATGCAATGTACATCTATGACTTTTGACTCCTATGCAATGTATATCTATGACTTTGACTCCTATGCAATGTATATCTATGACTTTGACTCCTATGCAATGTACATCTATGACTTTGACTCCTATGCAATGTACATCTATGACTTTTGACTCCTATGCAATGTATATCTATGACTTTGACTCCTATGCAATGTATATCTATGACTTTGACTCCTATGCAGTGTACATCTATGACTTTGACTCCTATGCAATGTATATCTATGACTTTGACTCCTCGACTTGGTTGGACTTTTAAGTCTGGTTGATGGTCTGTAACAATGTAATCCCTGCAGCTAAACGGATACAGCTGGCATCTCTGACGACAGAAGGCAACCTCCTGGATTTCGAGACGACGACATATTACAACATCTCTTGCCTCATCAATGACGGTTACCTCGACTCCGTCGGCGGATATATCAACCTGTTCGTTCTCAACGTCAACGAGCCACCCGAATTCAACGACCGAGTGTACTACTGCATAATGAATGAAAACTATGTACGTATAAAGGCTTATAAGCTATGAATAAAAATCCATGGGACATTTCGCGCGTAATTTTATCACCTGAATTAAGTCAATCATTTATTGATAACCTGCTATTGAAATTGTTAGACATGAAACAGTGGTTTGTAATGAGTGAGATTATAGATTATTTCGCCAGTGCTTCCATTTGATGGACTTAAAATTTATAGTTAAAAAGTCATGTCCATGACACAATCGTCCTCCTTAACGATATATACTCTGCAAAAAAAGAAACGCAAACGTGATTTTTATGTATATATTTTTCATATATAAATTATCAACATATCAATTGTTCAAAATTGGCACGGATCATTGTCATTGATCCAGGTTCATATGACACACATGGAACAGTAGATGTTCAAGGTGAAGGTCATCTGTTCTCAATATCTTGTATTGCCACCATTGGAGTACAAAACTTCCTGGCATTGTCGTCCCATGGAAGCGATCAGATCCCGAATTGTGGCCTGGGGAATGTTCACCCACTCTGCCTGCAGTGTTTGTGCCAACTGTCGGGGGTTCTGTTATTGTTGTTGACCTGCTCGCAGTCGTTGATTTAGTGCATCCCATAAATGTTTGATTGGGTTTAAATCTGGTGACCTGGAGGGCCATGGCAGGACATGAATGTTGTACTTCCTGAAGCAAGGATGTTGTCAGTCTTGCCGTGTGAGGTCGGCCGTTGTCTTGTTGTAAAATGACGTTCATTTTTTTCACAGTGGTAAGGACGTAAGGCCGAAAAAACCCATCCGTGTGACGTTGTGCGGTTTAATTACCTAGAATTTGCACCTAGTTTGTTCTACCAGTGTAGGAGATGGCTGACCACATCATCCCACTACCACCATCAAATCTGTCCACTTCCTGCATACAGTTTCGTGCATATAGCTCCCCGCGACGTCTGTAAACACGACGTCCACTAACTTCACTGCGAAGCATAAAACGTGACTCGTCACTACACCAAACTTGTCTCCACCGCAGTTGTTGCTATACTCTGTGACTCAGCCGGTTCTTTGGAGCGAATACCTTCAGCGCGTAAACGATTCCTCACTGTCTGAGGAATCCTACGCAGTCCTGGTATTGTTGTAGTTTTAGAGGCGGCCGTGGTGCTTCTTTCATGTAAGTGACGTAACCGTATGAATCTGTCCTGTGCTCTAGTGGTGATACGTTGTCGACCGGGTCTGGGTAGATCTGATAACGGTTCCATAACCTTGTAATGGCGGTTGGTGATACATGTACGTGGAAAAAAACTAGCTTCAGCTGAAGATGATTCTCCTGCTTGCAGTCGGCCGATGGTGTTCTTGCTTTGGGCTTCCGTCAGTCATGGCATGTTTTCGTTATTCACTTTCTGCAGTAACTCATTCTTTCCACACAAATCAATCCCAATCAATGCAGAAAGAACCAATTCATTAACTGTGTATGGATGACAGCAACACACTGCCATATTTGTCCGATTTTACTACTTTTGCATTTCTTTTTGTGCAGAGTATACAAGTAAATTGCCAGGCAAAAAAAGTATACACTAGAAAATAGGATTTGACCAAAAGCGCTATGAAACGTTACTAAGCTGAAAACTGTCACCGAAACACTGAATGTTTAAAGCCCAAAACATAACTATGATACCCGTTGCACTATTAAATAGATCCCCATCGAATAACCGTTTCTTGTTTGTTATATTTTAGCCACCGTCAAACATGGGTGCACATTTTTGCACGGCAGTTTAGAAACGTGTCAGTTGACTCTCGAAAGAGTTTATGATTATTGCTAAAATGGTGAAAGGAGAATTTTCATGATTCAATATGCTTGATATTTAACTTTAGAATATTTCCACTGCAGCAAAACGTCGGTGCATGTGATCTGAGCGGACTGACTGTGTCTGACCCAGAAGGCAATAGCATCATCGACTACAGGTTGTTAACTGGTAACAACAGCGAGCGCTTTCAGTACGACAACGCAAAGAAACAGCTGGCTTTCAATGTAGATTACGACGTAGATGCAGCAGCAATGCCAACAAGCGTCCGCCTGACGTTAGCTGCCGTTGACGACCAGTCGGCTACAGGGACAGCACAGATTCAAATCAACGTTATAGATGTCAACGACAACGCTCCTTCCTTTGCTACAAGTGTCAACGCCTACAGCGTTACGCAAGGTCAAGCCGTAGGCGCGATCGGAAGGATTACCGCTACAGACGCCGATCTTACGTCACCAAACAACGACGTGACGTTCACCGTAACTGGCGGTTCTTTCTCTAACTACGTCTCTGTACTCGGCAATGGACAGGTGATCTACGCTAATGAGTTCGACACCTCGTTTTCTGGCAAGAGTGAGTTGGTATACGTTGAGGCAAAAGATGGCGGTAGTCCTGCAAAGTCGACAACAGCCACAGTTATCGTTTCATTTCAGACTACCACATCAACAACTACAACCACAACTACAACTTCTACTCCCACCACGACCCCTACCACAACAACCACCACACCTAAACCAGGGTTCTTTGATTACACTGAGAACATCGTGTTGTTTTGTTTCTTGATGTTCCTCCTCTTGTTACTGGTATTGGCAGCGCTCTATCTTCTCTACCGCTACTGCTACATGCCCTCTGGTCCAGCCGGGGCAGGAAAGGGCACTTCACTCTGTGAATCGTTAAGTGGTGAAGGAGGAGGATGTGATGACTGTTTCAGACCAAGGTAGGATCTGTTAATTGGGAATGATCTCAGAAAAAAACATTTGACGAAGTATTGTTTTGTTTGATTGTTTGTTAGTTTCTTATCGCCGCACTCAGCAATATTCCAGCTATCGAGTCTAGATCAGTGATAGACATCTTGGGCATCGATCTACGCATTTGGGATGTCATGACATGCACCAACTAAGTCGGCGAGCCTGACTACCAGATCCCGTTAGCATGGATAGTTGAAGACATTTCCAACCCGGATCTTTGACGACGTTTTGATTTAATGTGACAGAATTGACTATCTATAGCATCTTTATATGCAGGCTAAGTAAACCTGTCCAATTTCACCCTTCTCATATACACTAAATGCATTCTGATTTTAAGTAGAGGGTGTCATTTCCCAATGATGTAGCAGAATGTTGTCATGTAATCTTTTTTCTCTTAATAAGAAACTTTATCATCCGACTCTCCCTATGAAACACTGTCTGAGTGATATGAAGGTTAAAGCATTAACGTTCTGCAAATAGTGTGTATGTACATCTTTCCTATTCTTACAGCCAAGCGAACAGAGTCCAAAACCAACCAAGGAATGACTACCCGTGAGTATGTCAATATTACTGACAGACTTTTGCCCATTTTGGTAATTTTGTCTATAATTTGAAAAAGTTAAATTCCAAGATATAGAGCCCTGCATATGGATCATGTGTGTGTTAAGCCCGTTCATGGCACACTACACTTCCAAAATTGTTACTGCAATTAAAATAACAATTAGTGAGTGAGTATGGTTTTACCCCGTTTTTAGCAATATTCCATTACGGAATGGGATACCAGAAATGGGCTTCTCCATGAGGGGAATCGAACCCGGGCTTTCGGAGTTACGAGCGAACGCTTTAACAACTCGGCTCCACCACCGCCCCAAAATAGCAATTCGCTCTATCACAAACTGTGTATAATCCAGTAATAACTACTGACATTAACTGAATAGCCCTACATCGTGAATTCATTAGAAAAGCACTAAATACAAATTCACCTCCAACGCATTACATATGCAAACACTTTCAACTGATTATATGTGACTATTGCAGGATGAGACAGCAGCCACCGCGCATTAACGGGGACTACAAAGACCCGTTCTGGAAGTCGGGTGAGTAAAATGGGGTCACACTTTATTTTCGGATTGATATTTTTAAAACGTTTATTTTGACTTTAAAAGTACCTATGATATAAATATTCTCATCAAACTTTTGTTTCAATTTATAACTTGTTGGCATCTTACTTCATGAAAAATGAAATGCAAGCTGTTCCTATAGCCTGCAATAATTGGAGTAAAGAATGTTTCATTTCAGGAGTTTTCTTTTCCTGTCAGTCAAACATTGAAGTAACATATCAACAGAATGCGTTTGTTTATTGTTTGTAAAACACGACTTATAAACAATAACAGAATTTAACATGTAAACGTGTGCCTCTTTCTTCCAGATGACCATTACGAGAATGGCGCCATTGCGAGGATTTTCTGAGCCTTTTGAATCATCAAATGGCCAACAATGTGGACTCCCTTTGCTTAAGAGCCCACTGAAGTAGCAGTAGTATCTATGACGAACATGATACACATGTGTGTATGTTATAGATCGCGTATACGAATAAACAAGTCCTAAAAAGTGTTGTTAGTATTGTTGATATATCCAGTGCTTAACATTTGGTTTTTTTAATTTTCGCCCTTGTTAATTACAACTATTTTGAATTTCGAAAGCTTTAAATATACTAGTATATAGATGGATGAGACTCATTGGGGGACACCAATTCCTGAGATTTGCCCCCCCCCCCCCCCCTGGATATTTTTTATAGAGATCAGTTTTATTTGAATCCTGAAAATACAAGTTGGGGACAAGTGATACATGTACAAATATTTGCACCCCCCCCCCCCCCCCCCCCCCGTCAAAAAAGGTTAACTACATCCTTGCTACACCAGTGGCCCTGTAGTCTGAGACGCCATTCGCTGTGCCGTGTTGCATTGCATCCCTTAGACGTTCCAGGATCCGCACGATATCCCGATTCGCCCTGATTGCGATCCTTGGTTTGCCAGAACCATACCTGTTTATTTTCTCCAGAATAGTAAACAGAAATACATGAGCATGTACTGTTCTAAGCATTACCCCCAACTCATGTCTTATCGGCCCTGGAGTATGTAGCAAATAGTCGATAGAGGGGGTAGAAAAGGCAATGGTTTTGTCTCATTAGGTGAAGGTGAAAAGGTGGTATAGAATCTCGTAGACAATGATAACGCATAATGACATTCTTTTCAAGGGAAGAGAAAAGACGCTACAGAGTGAGATTACTTTCACACATGTAGTTAAATGTCCCCACGCCTGCTTGTCTATTCCACGTGAAATTATATATGTTCCCGCGACGTGTTTGTTCAGCTGAAAACTTGCCTTGCAGGTTCGGCAGGGATTTGCTTTTATTTACATCTATCCAGATCGAAAATTGTACATAAAAAAGGTGAACGTAATTTATTATATATCTAAAGTATGTATTTTACAATGCACCATATACACAATTTTGTTTTAATGAATAAACCTACATTATGAGGTTACCGTTCTTGTTTACGTTTATGATCAAACTTAATTGCCGGAAAAAAAAGAGAATTGGATTTGACAAACAAACGTTATTAAAACGTTACTAGGCTTAAAACAGTCGCCGAAACACTGCAAACTTATGTTCCAAAACACAAATATATTACCCGTACCAAATAAAACTCACTTTCTTGGTTTTTTATATATTTTTAGTCACCATAGGTGTAAACTTTCTTTTACCCCGTGTATGAATGGATCAATGATTGAATCAATGAAAGTTACAACTAGACCATACCAGAAAGGTCAAAGTTGCCATCAAATTTCATAACATCTACGTCGCTCCTTGTGGGTATTAAAACTATAGCAAACGCTCACAGGACACTCTGTACATTGTACTTACCTTTGGAGTGAGTGAGTATGGTTTTACGCCGCTTTTAGCAATATTCCTGCAATATCAAGGCGGGGGACACCAGAAATGGGCTCACACATTGTACCCATGTCGGGAATCGAACGCGGGTCTTCGGCGTGACGAGTGACCGCTTTAACCGCTTGGCTACCCGACCGCCCCCCTTTGGAAGAAAATATAAACGTTAAGACATTGGATAAACCACAATCCTAGGGAGAACATCAGTGTATCTTAACCATTAGTGTTTTACGAAGTGTATCCTTTCTTTCTTACAATGCTAGAGAGGTCAAGCTTTTATCGAAATGATGTAAATACATAACACATCTACCGTTTCCTAGATTCAGTAGGTTCAGGAAAGTAAAGTCCCAATGTGTCGTATATATTTGCATACTAGTAAAATTAGTAGAGTACTAACTAGAGGTGTTGATAAACAATCATGTTATCTTTCATGAAATTACGTCTATCGAAAACGTCGAGCGTGGCGTCAACAATTATTATTTCAGAACGCCATCGTTTGATGTAAAATGGCGATGCTATAATAATTCGACCAACCATTACTCGCCTGCAGGCCACTGTAAGGTACTTATTTCCTACTTATAGGTTTTACATGGCATCTTCTTAATGATCTGATCGCCTCAAAGGTCTCGTGTAGATCGTCCGCCCGGAAAGCGGAAGGTCCGCGGTTCCATTCCCGGCCGCGTCATACCAAACGACGTTGAAATATGGTACTTGTTATTATCCTGCCTGGAGGACTGGTCGCCTCGGAGTCAGTATACTTTGTCTGAGTGGGGTATTCATGTTAAACTGCTTCATGGTATCTCAGTGGGCTAGCACAATAAATCGGCATCAGTCCGGACTGGTACAAACACACACACACACACACACACACACACACACACACACACACACACACACACACACACACACACACACACACACACACACACACACACACACACACACACACACACACACACACGCAAGCACGCACACACGCACGCACGCACACACACACACACGCGCGCGCGCATACATGCACGTCGCTATATAAGTGCAATAACTTTGTACGCGATGTAAAACCCCATTCCACCTCACCTTCGTCTTGATCAGACCTCAATAACACTGATGTGTGATGTCTTGCGGCATCTAAGGTCAAGTTGTTTTAAAGGGACACCTATTTAAAACATATTTTACCTATGCTTGTTTCATATCTTTATTCCATTTATTCCCTCTTAATAATTATGTGTACGAGGGGATTCCTTTGCTGAACAGGTTACTACGTCAGGGCGTTAAGTATACTTATAAGCCTGACACACTTTGTAAACATGGCCCTCGATTAAACAAAATCAGTGCCATTTCATAGGCACTTCTCCTTTATAACACGACGAGACGTTTGATCTCCAACGCTTGACGCCAGATAGAAGATCTATTGGCTCTTCTGAACATTGTTAGTTGCGATACGGCACGGCCACCATATTGACATGTCAAAAATGTTCACGAACACATGGACCCTATTCAATATAGCTCTTAGGTAGACAGCACATTAGCGGATAGCTAATATGTCCCAAAGTGTTTACATAGACATAATCAAGAACAAACTCAATCTCTGATATTCTATTCACACCATTTCTATCGGCCTGCTGGCGGTGAATTCAGAAGTGTTTGTATGACGATTATTTAAACACTACACATAATTGCACAAATAATCATACAAACATGAATAGTCAAGCAGACCATAGAACTGCTATATGTAAGTTCCAGGCCTACCACGTCATTTGTGAAAATAATAGCCTGAGAAATCACCCCGAGAAATCTTCGTACATGGTGACATGTTGAATAAAGCGAATGTCCGCCGTGCAGGTGGATGGTAATTCTGGTGGTTGACCACATTCCAAGATGAAGATTCTTATAGCATCCGTGGTGGTTTTTGTCCTTGTATCCTTCATTGCTCCGTCACATCAGGTCTGTATTCTATGACAGTTTCACTACAAAATATATTGTGATATATACTATATTACTATATCCGCATTTTGAAAAGTCGACCTCGTGTTATTGGTTAGATACATTGGTTATATACATTGGTTAAAAACATCAATAGAACCATACAGATTGGAAATGGTTTGCGAGTTTTGGGATTTTTTACTCCGATCTTCATACAGTTTGGCCTTCACTATGAAGGTTCATAATCCAGTGAATTTAATTCTTAATTATGAATTGCTGCACGAATAATTCCTTGACGAATTCTACGCTATAGGGATTGAATTCGCACTGGAAGGGTTGTATTGGAGTGAGTGAATGAAAATATTACGACGTAACGTTGCTTTCAACAGCATTTCAGTTATACGACGGTGTGTTCGTTTATTGGGAGAAGACAATACAAATGGATGGTGGTTTGATGGATGTTTACCAAGAGCATGGTATGTCTCTGACAAACAAATGAAGAATCGGGATTCAAACCTTTCTTATAGTAATAAACTTACACCATGACCACAATCCTCATTTTAATTGACATTTGGTAATGTATTTTAGTTTTTATACTGTTTGAAATGGATAATCTCTAACTGGAGAATTGCAAATTAACGAAAGTTCTTGTATAACTATATAGGGTTCTTTTTAAAATAACGTTTTACACGAATCGTTTAAATACAAGTGATACACACAATGAGACCCACCACACTATAGGTCACTTCCTTTTTCAACCAAGCAACCTGTGATCTCCGGTGCGCCTATCGTGGCCAACCTACACGAGGAGACGGCTGTAGAGACGGAGTTGGTGTGTATAAACTGTACCAGCCCCGACAACAAGAACATAGAGGTGTCAGACCAGTCCATCACACCCAGTGCCACGTTCTTTGATGTCTACAGAATCGCCGGCAGTCAAGGTAAAACATTATCAAATGGGAGCCTCCAACACAGTTTGATCTGAATTTCTAGAATGATCCACACTTAAAACAATCCTTTAAAGATTTTATTAAAATATGCTTGGGTTGTCATTTTTGCCCGGACTCAGTCCGTCGTTTCACATTGTCGGTATCGGTGTGTGAACGAGTGAGTTGGATTTAACGTCGTATTAAACGTTTTCTACTAATAGTATTCCAGTTCTATCATGTTATGTGGGAGGAAATCCCGAAGCGATGCAGGTGAAACGGACATGGTGCTTACAAACATAAAATCATAATCGGGGCAAACCGGGATTCGAACACACGACCATAGGTTCCTGGTGTTCCAAAGGACGCAACTCTGCACAGCGAATTTCGGTGCCTTAGGAGACTAGGCCATCCGTGCCCCCGACATCGATCTTTGTGCTGATGTTGGGATGTCTCATGGAATCGGATGTTGTAAACCAACATCCTCAGATGCCGCTACTGTACGGCCGACAATACCGTTATCTCCGTCGAAGATTATCTTAACGCTGAGTGAGTTGACTCTTGTTGTATATTTCGTATTTCCAATTTAATGTGCAGTATTTCCCATACATGTATATTCGTTAATGGTGACTTCTCTGGCAGAGTTCTGCATCCGCTACCTGCCCAGCCAGGGCTCGCCTAACTATAAGAGAGCACGAGCCTACGACATCACGATCCGGTGTACCGACAGCGACAAGGCCTTTGTTGAGGAAAATGTGGAGATAAGGATTCGAACAAACGAGCCACCCCGCATAACCTCGACACTTTCAGGTGAGTGTATTTATGACATTTAAGTGAAACCTTTTACCAAACATGAAAATAAACATAGTACTAAAACTACAAATTCACATATGCAGGCGTCCAGTAATAGACACAACAATAAATCTATTTTACATCGAGACAAAGGTGCAATCCAAAAAACTTGAGAAATATGTCCTTGTCTGCAGACCTTACTGTATTCCTTTGTGATACTGAAATAGAATGCGCTCACAAGTCTTAGCATTGGCTGTGAAAATGAAGTAATGCTGTTATCATCCTGCATTGTAGACTATTATTTTCAGACGAACAATGTTTTTTTGGTTAAAAAGTTTGGGTTTCGGAAATAGTCAATGGACTCTTTTCAGCAGAGATTTCTTATGATTATTGAAAGGGTTAGATCGTTATCATTTTTATATTACTTCATTGCCTAAACAACATAAACGCTCTACGGTTGCTGGCAATTTTAAAGATGTTTATATTCTACATGCTCTGAGAGCATACAGCCGGGTCATTTTGAAAATATATTTCTAATGTTGAGGTATTTGTTTTTCCCATGTCGCATGTTTGTCATTAAATGTGACTGCTGTGGTTGTATTATAATTACACCCGTTTGAAGATACCTGCTCGTATGACGCAAAGACTACCACTGCTGGGACATCACTTCTAAACAATCTCATCACCGTCGAGGACACAGACAACGACGTCCTCACATACACACTCACAACCGTCCCGGCGTCTGCTGCAGACAACTATGAAATAGTAAAGCCTAACCCTGGTTTCGGTGAGTCAACTCAGTCAACTTGAATATAAATATAACGAGAGCCACCTGAAATAACTGGGATATATCGAGGCCGGTTACGGTCAGTCAATTCAGTCAACTGGAATACAACGTGGCCGGTAACGGTGAGTCAACACAGTCGACTGGGATATAACGAGGTCGGTTACGGTGAGTCAACACTGTGGACTAGGAAATAACGAGGAAGTTTACGGTGAGTTAACTGTAGTAACTGGAGTATAACGAGGCCGGTTACGGCGAGTCAACTCAGTCGACTTGAATATAACGAGGCCGGTTACGGTGAGTTAACTCAAGAAACTTGTGTATAACGAGGCCGGTTACGGTGGGTCAACTCAAGAAACTGGGGTATAACGAGGCCGGTTACGGTAGGTCAATTCAGTCAACTGGAATACAACGTGGCCGGTTACGGTGAGTCAACACAGTCGACTGGGATATAACGAGGTCGGTTACGGTGAGTCAACACTGTGGACTGGGAAATAACGAGGAAGGTTACGGTGAGTTAACTGTAGTAACTGGAGTATAACGAGGCCGGTTACGGCGAGTCAACTCAGTCGACTGGAATATAACGAGGCCGGTTACGGTGAGTCAACTCAAGAAACTTGTGTATAACGAGGCCGGTTACGGTGGGTCAACTCAAGAAACTGGGGTATAACGAGGCCGGTTACGGTAGGTCAACTCAAGAAACTGATGTATAACGAGGCCGGTAACGGTGGGTCAACTCAAGAAACTAGGGTACAACGAGGCCGGTTACGGTGAGCCAACACAGCGGACTGGGATATAACGAGGTCGCTTACTCTGGGTCAACTCAAGAAACTTGTGTATAAAGAGGCCGGTTACGGTGGGTCAACTCAAGAAACTGGGATACAACGAGGCCGGTTACGGTGGGTCAACTCAAGAAACTGGGGTATAACGAGGCCGGTTACGGTGGGTCAACTCAAGAAACTTGTGTATAACGAGGTCGGTTACGGTGAGTCAACTCAAGAAACTGGTGTATAACGAGGCCGGTTGCGGTGAGTCAACTCAAGAAACTGGTGTATAAAGAGGCCGGTTACGGTGAGTCAACTCAAGAAACTGGAGTATAACGAGGCCAGTTACGGTGAGTCAACTCAAGAAACTGGGGTATAACGAGACCAGTTACGGTGGGTCAACTCAAGAAACTGGTGTATAACGAGGCCGCTTACCATGGGTCAACTCAAGAAACTGGGGTATAACGAGACCGGTTACGGTGGGTCAACTCAAGAAACTGGTGTATAACGAGGCCGCTTACCATGGGCCAACTCAAGAAACTGGTGTATAAAGAGGCCGGTTACGGTGAGTCAACTCAAGAAACTGGCGTATAACGAGGTCGGTTACGGTGAGTCAACTCAAGAAACTGGGGTATAACGAGGCCGGTTACGGTGAGTCAACTCAAGAAACTTGGGTATAACGAGACCGGTTACGGTGGGTCAACTCAAGAAACTGGTGTATAACGAGACCGCTTACCATGGGTCAACTCAAGAAACTGAGGTATAACGAGACCGGTTACGGTGGGTCAACTCAAGAAACTGGTGTATAACGAGGCCGCTTACCATGGGCCAACTCAAGAAACTGGTGTATAAAGAGGCCGGTTACGGTGAGTCAACTCAAGAAACTGGCGTATAACGAGGCCGGTTACGGTGAGTCAACTCAAGAAACTGGGGTATAAAGAGGCCGGTTACGGTGAGTCAACTCAAGAAACTGGGGTATAACGAGGCCGGTTACGGTGAGTCAACTCAAGAAACTTGGGTATAACGAGACCGGTTACGGTGGGTCAACTCAAGAAACTGGTGTATAACGAGTCTGCTTACCATGGGTCAACTCAAGAAACTGAGGTATAACGAGGCCGGTTACGGTGGCTCAAGTCATCTCTGAATATGTGTCACATGTGTTGAGATTATTGAACATCGAGAAGATCATCCAGTCAGCATCGACGTTGTGCCACCATTGATATTACCACCACATCACGAAACTCGTATTAAACAGAATTGAACTAACATGGTTTATGGCCGTGACTAATGTGTAACGTGTTGATACAGTTTTGCTAGCATAGGTGTGCCGCTGATATATTATTTGTCTATATCCAGAGGAAATCCAAATAGCGGCAAAAAACAACCTTGATGTTGAATGTAACTCTGATGTCACTTTCTACGTCAACGTCACCGACAGCAAGCACAACGCCGTCGGGCCCATCGTCGTGTCCTGCACAGTGAACAACAGTACGTACAACACATATAGGACATTAATTACTAGAACTATTACTTCATGTATTCAAAGTGAATCTACATGATGAAAAAGAAATAAAAATAATGATGAATATATGATAATGATGGTTTTAATAAAACAATACTAATAACAGCAACAACGGCGACGATAATAATTATATTTACCAGAAATCAATCATTATTGATGTTGTCTGACTACTACTCATATTACTACTACTGTTGTAAATAAAAGAAAGAAAAAAAAGAGGATAACTGTCAAACACATTGTCAGTGGATGCCCAATACACAGTATCTTAAGCGACATATGGTGGAGCTCGATCATCTTATTACCTTCTTCGCCATGCTTGTGGTTTTGACACAGAGGTCCGACCACGATACGACTCGGAATATGTAGAGGGCGTCTTGGAAAATGATAAATACAAAATTCTTTGGAATAGGTGTGTGTGTGAGTTAATGCTTTACGTCACATCGGCAATATTTCAGCCATATCGTGACGAGCTTTGGAATAGGCCCGTATACAGCCTCAGACGTATCCAGGACAACAAACCTAATCTTATCCTTTTTGAAATCCGATGAAGTCATTTATATTACTGAATTGTCTGTCCCCTTTGACACTAATGTGATTGACAAGATTGAGAAAATACATGGCAAAAGTTGTCCGACTCCCCATTGTTCTCGGTGCCTTAGGTTTGGTACCTCCAAATCTGTTGACTGACATTGGGAGAGTACCCGGGTTTGCTATCAGGATAAAAGCCCTTCTGACAGTCTGGGTAATGCAGAAAGCTGCAGTGTTGGGGAGTCTTTACGAACGAAAAGTTCTGGATGGGTTTGACTAGGCTGCGCTTCCTGGGAGAAGTCCAATTCGCTGTCTGGGCTGCGTGTAGAAGAGGCCTAACCAGCCTGATTATGCCAGGATCACCCAAACCCCCTTTGCTGCATTTTTATTTCAATCTGTAAATTAATAATAATAATGATGATGATGATAATAATAATAATAATAATGATGATGATGATGATGATGATGATGATGATGATGATGATGATGATGATGATACATTTTTAAAAATAACAATAACTGTTGCAACGATATGTTTATTACGTTTTGCCTTGTGATGCGATAGAGTACACAACCCCTAAGATCGCAAACATCGACAAAGAGATCTACGTCAGCGAGGACACGGCCTTGGACACGTCACTGATCACTTTCATCACTGAGCCTAACGAACCCACTCTGACCACGACCTATGAGATAGCAACAGTCCCAGCCAGCGCCGTGTCCTTGTTTGACGCAACCAGTACACGTGAGTAGCACTGAGTGAGTGACTGAGTGAGTGAGTGAGTTGCCCATCACGTCGCTTGGAACAGTGTTTGAGTCATATCACGGTGTATCAGCTTGATGCGGGAGGAAAGCCCTAAGTGACGCAGGTCGTTGACTTTGAGTATTGAGGGGAAACACATGAGCTCGGATACGTCTCTGGCAAACCAAGTAATATAAAAAGGGTTAGTGAGTGAGTATGGTTTTACGCCGCTTTAAGCAATATTCCAGCAATATCGCAGCGGGGGATACCACAATGGGCTTCACACATTGTGCTAATACGGGGAATCGAGCCCAGGTCTTTAGCGTGTCGACCGAACACTTTAACAAATAGGATGGACCACACGATCGTAGGACTCGACTAAGGTAAAAACAGAGAGAGAACATACAAATGTTGCGTGCACGTTTGTATGTTGAACAAAGATGTATCCTGTCTGTAATGCATTATCAAATCTATCTAATCATGTCTGTTTTGCGGGTATTTATTTCAACCTTGACATTCATCTTCAATATTGTCAGCTAACGAATTGAAACTAGCGGGTCTTCTGAACTATGAGAACACCCAAATGAGGAACATCAACGTCAGCATCAAGGCCGACAACGGCAAATGTCCACCAGACACCCAGTACCTCTACATCCGGGTCACGGACGCTAACGATCTACCGGAACTGGGCCCGAAAAATGTCACAAAGACAGTGTATGAGGGGACGGTTAGTATTATATTTACAACCTAGACAATGTCTAAGGGGACGTTAAATAGTTTTTTTTACAACCAAGACAATGTAGGGGAAGTTAATATCATAATTTACAGCAAAGACAGTGTACAAGGGGCGGGTAGTATCAATGATATTTAACAAGCAATTCAAGACAATGTAGGAGAAGACAATTAAGATGATATTTTACAACCAAGATACTGCCCAAGAAGCTCTTACTATGATACCTTACACCCAAGTACGTGTGGCGGTTTCAAGAAGTGCCTAGAAATCCGTGGCAGTACTAATCGGCGTAAAATATTTCCTCTATGAATTATGATGTCATGACGATACTGTAACGTGACTTTGTGTTCAGATAACTGTCAATCCCGAGTTCACCATCACTGACGAGGACTTGGACGATTCCCACACCTACAGCATCGTATCGGGTAACGACAACGGCTACTTCACCATCGACCCGGCCACAGGCGTCATCAGCAGTGCTGTAATTTATGACGTAGATCAAGGAAGAATGCCTTCAAATGCAACGCTCCTTGTCCAGGTAACATGACACTTCTGACACAACACTTAATAATGCAAAAATTAGTACTAATAAATGCAGTGTCGTCGTTCTTCTTTAGTCAGTGGGTGACTTCGGTTACACGCTACTTATCGGCAACATGTCGTAGGACATGATGTGTGTGTGTGTGTGTGGGGGGGGGGGGATCTATGAATACGAAAATGGTGAGGAAAAAAAAACAAAGTTCAAAATCAGAGCGAATCTCGCATTCAAGCCAGCGATCCGCATTGATCACATCCAGACTACAGTTCAGTTCAGTTTATTGTTTTAAAGAGGCCATATGACCAATATTTTATACAGCATCATGGTGTTGGATTACATCACATTGCCGTTCTAATTATAAATACAATATACATTAACTTTGACAGATGAGATATATTCTCAAGTCTTTTACAATTGATAATAGGATAATAGACATCATATGGTGCTGGTTGTCTGTTAAAACTTCACAGTGAGTACATGCTTAAGTATGGAGAGGACACACAAATAAAACATGATTTTCATCTTCTAGTCCTTTACAGTGCGAGCAGAGAGAGTCTTCATCAACTCTATTACATGTACCGTTACGTACGTTATGAACACCAAATGTATTATATCCACTTCTAAATTATAACCAGGCTTTCCTGTAATTAGGTACATTTATAATTTGGACAGGCATCCACACTACATGTGGTAATGTTTAATTTGGAAGCTGACACTATTCAGATATGTTATTCAATCTCACTAAAATCAGACCTTAGTTCTCGCTACCGCTAAACAAAGATCTGAAGACATCCCATTAGGGGTCACGTCAGAACGACCTTTCATCCGACCAATCAGAGCGTCGCCTACCAGATTATGAAAGTGACAGTCGGAATGTGATTTCTAATCATGCAACCTCGAAAGCTTTAACATGGGGTATTCCAAACGATAGTTACGGTTTTAACGACTGGATCCATACAATCTAGACCATCTTTTAGCCATTCCAGAATGTTCTTTTGTTCAGGTTTCAAATTTGTAACCGGGAATTTGTCAAAATATGTTTCGAAGCGCATTTGCCAATTTGAAATTAGTGCCGTAAAGCACGAGAAAGCTGCTTTCTGATTGGTCATTCCATTAGTCGGTCAAAGTTCGCACAAGGTCGGTCTGACGTGATCCGTAATGGGATGTCCTCAGATCTTTGTTTAGCGGTAGCGAGAACTAAGATCTGATTTTAATGAGATTGATATGTTATTTAAATTAGGTAACTGTAACACAATCATACTACAGATTCAAGACCGGAAGGGAGACGCCATAGACAACGCTACGGTGAACTTGTTCATCCAGGATGCCAACGACAACCCGCCCGAGTTCAGCACCAACTCCACATCCCAGTCCTTCTCAGTCAGTTCATGCGGGCAGCTCGGGGAAACCCTTGGCAAGCTGTGGGCTGAAGACAAGGTCGACTCCGCCTACCAGAGCAACAATGTCAGCACCATAGTGGCTACTTCCAACAGCTACCTGACAGTCACGCCGAGCGGCGACATCATCCACAGCGGCCAGATCCCAGCAGGCACGGTGTCGTCACTGACAGTGTATGCCCAAGACAGAGGTGTGTACCCGAGTGTCCAGACCAGCCGCAACCCCGTCACCATCACCCTCGTTGGGCAAACGTGTACGACGACACAGCTGGTGACCGTCGTTGTCAACAACGCTGGTACTGGCACAGGCACTGGCACAGGCACTGGTACTGTCGTAAACACTATTGTCACAGTTGCTCCGGCGACAACTACTACAACAACAGCAGCCCCATGTACTGGTTTCTTCTGCGACGCTGGTAACATTGCCCTGACGGTTCTCGGGAGCTTGTTGGCACTCGGTCTTCTCGGTTTGCTGTCTGCTTTGATCTACAGATACTGCTGCAACAGACCCGTTGAGGTTAAACGGTAAATGTTGTCGAACCTTTACTGATGAGTTCAACGTATAGACTCATGACATTTCATATTTATATGTTTTAAGTATGGTGGCCGAGAGTGGACATCGCTTTATCGATTTCTATCACGGCGCGAGATCCTTTACTTGTCTCGTGCTGTCACTTTCTCGTATAGAGTTATCGTTTCATCGTCTCGTGCTGTCACTTTCTCGTCTAGTGTTATCGTTTCATCGTCTCGTGCTGTCACTTTCTCGTCTAGAGTTATCGTTTCATCGTCTCGTGCTGTCACTTTCTCGTCTAGAGTTATCGTTTCATCGTCTCGTGCTGTCACTTTCTCGTCTAGAGTTATCGTTTCATCGTCTCGTGCTGTCACTTTCTCGTCTAGAGTTATCGTTTCATCGTCTCGTGCTGTCACTTTCTCGTCTAGAGTTATCGTTTCATCGTCTCGTGCTGTCACTTTCTCGTCTAGTGTTATCGTTTCATCGTCTCGTGCTGTCAATTTCTCGTCTAGTGTTATCGTTTCATCGTCTCGTGCTGTCACTTTCTCGTCTCGTGTTACTTCATTCTCGTCTCGTGTCATCGGTGTATCGCAATCTCTCCGCCGTTATTGAAGTCGATAAAGTAATATCCCCTCTCGGCCACCATACTTAAGGTGTGAACAAGTTGTCGCATGGTGCGGGTGAGAGTTGATGTTTGTACTCCTCATTCAGCGATATTTCATCTTTATTAGCGGCGACTTGTAAGTCTGACCGGTTGGCCTTGGGGTCGACCACTAATGGATGATAACACGAGCATCTATACAGACAGTGTATCCACCCAATCTCATACTGGGCGCATGAAGCACCGCGAAGTGGTTTCAAATAATAAACAATACAAGTAACCATTGTTTTTCTGCCATAAAAAATGTCCTGAGGTAATCTAGGTTTGATTATCATTTATCATGGAACGTTTTCAGAATCTCACACCTTGTGTCATCACTCGTTTTCAGTGGTCCATTCACACAATTTCCACAGCTAATTGCCCTGTACACCAACGGAATCGGTTTTAAGATAAAATCTAGGCTGGTTATTCTCTTGCATTGACATTTTATATTTAACTGGAAGATTTAAATGAAATATGAAGCTAAACATATTTATATGTTTTGCCTCAGGTCTTGGACGCCGCCTAGGAAGGTGCGACCCATCACGCCGCCGACACCACCGCCACGCGTAAGGTAAGACTGTTCAAGCTACGTTCTAACGTTAATCTAATCAATGTACTGTAACTTTAAGTCTTGGACTTACAGGAAGTTGATAGACGGCAGTTTGTATAACGTACCAGAACACCGTCATATGACACTAATCAGATCATTGTGTCTTCATTCCAGAACGCCCGTCACGCCACAGCACATAACCATTGAACGTAAGTAGACAACGGATATGGTATAACACGAACAGTTAAACCTTGTTTATCCGGACGTTACCGTACCACGTTAAATCGCCCCAAATACATTTCGAATCCCGTATATTTCATAACCATATGTATAGGATGGAATTATCTGTCAGGACCTTATTTTAGTCTGCGAAAATGTGTTTGACGGGGCGTTTGGTTAGCCTAGCGGATAATGCGTTGACCCTTCACACAGAAGATCCGGGTTTCATTTCCTACTTGGGCACAATTTGGTAACCCTATTTTCAGTATCACACTCAGAGTGTTTTGGTACCATTCCTAACTGTTTCTGTTCTCTTGCAGGTCCTCCTTCCATTCAATACGTTCCGGTACCCGTTGCCCCTCCACCTCCTCAACTAATGCGCGTGCGCAGAATCGTCCCTGTCAAACAGCAGCAGCAGATGGTCAAGGTCAAGAGCATGGTGCCTGTGACGCAGAATGTCAGGGTCAAACAGCTGGTTCCTGTCCCGGGGAATGCCACACAAGCTATTGCTGCAGCGCCAAAATAGACAGCGTGTTTCTGCGTTTATATGACTTGTTTATAATGTTTAAGTTATTTAATGTTGTTGACGAGTACAGTATTTTGGTTCACAAAGACAAGGCGCTGTATTCTGCTGCTTCTGTCGATGTGTGGTTATTAAAGCAGTATTCAAGAAACCAGACACCTATTCTGTACCAGATATACGAAAACATGTAGTTCTGAACAATGCAAGCAGTTGCATGACACAGCAAAAGTGTTGATATAATCATAAATCGATGTCGGTATTTCTCCTACATTCACCCAGGTGCACAAGAACATCTTTGATCAAACGTAGTTTAATTTGTATAAGGTTCTGGAACATATTCATGTTCAACAGAGGGTACGTTACATTTCACGCAAGCGAAATAACATTTCATGACAAAACCTCTTTCAGTCTGCGTCAATGTCACCTAGGTTTAGAAAGATTGTGAAGATCAATATGAAAATACATAATAGAACATAAGTCTTTCCTAAAGATCTGTTTGGTTGTCTCTGACAACAGTCCACAGCACCTTTACGACTGTATTGATATAAGAACTTCTTTACGTTTTTCTTACATAAAATATAAATGTTTTGTGAAATTACGTTTTACATCCGATAATGTTTTCTATCCATTTCCTGTTTCAATTACTTGTACTTAGCTTCTTTGTAATAAAGGCCGTTTACATTATTTATTATTGCTACTCGTTCGTGTGTGTTTGGAAGAAAAAAATAATTAGAATGACATTTACCTCACAGACGTGACAAAAGGAATAAAACATTATATCTTACCTACGTTTACAGTGGTGGTTTTATAAGTTCAACTAATTCGAAACCCATTATTGGATCGCCTCTGTGGTCTTGTGGTAGAGCGTCCGCCGGAGTGCGGAAGATCCGGGGTTAGATCCCCAGCCGCGTCATACCAAAAGACGTTAAAAGATGGTACTTGTTGTTACCATTTCTTGCGCTCGGCATTAAGGGGCTAAAACAAGGACTGGTCGGCTCGGAGTCAATAAACTGTGTCTGTGTAGGGTACTTATGTTAAACTGCGGCGTGGTATCTCAGTGGGCTAGCATCAGTCCGGATTAGTACAAGTACACACACACACACACACACACACACACACACACACGTACATGCAAGTCGCTATATAACTGCAATAATCTTGGACCCGACGTTAAACCCAATTTCACCTCACCTCACCCGAAACCCATTATTTTGTACAAGTCATACAATGTACAACCAATTGTATGGGAATAGGTTCTGTACAACTATAACATGTAGTTTGTAGGTAGGTAACTATGGTCACGAGTCTAAAAAAATGCGGAAAGCTTTTAACATTTTCTGTCCAATGGAAACATATATAGTGAAACTTCGCAAACCCAATCTCCATTAACAAATATTTCACTCAAACATTATGACTGATCCCGACGAAATGGTTGTTTTCCATCTGCTCCCCATCTCATTTGTCATACAGAAGTGAAGCTATTACCTGAGACAAAGCAGTCTATTCAGGACTGTCATGCAACGTAAGATGTTGCACATGGCTTCTTGAGACAAAGATCAATACTACTTAGACTATTTATATCTTAACAGTACTATGTACGAGGGACGTTCAATAAGTTTTGCAACTTCAATATAAGACCAAGTTGCAGAATACCTTTTGCACTTTTATTTTTCAATATAATCTCCATTCACCTCAATACACTTATTCCATTTTTCCTTCAAGCTTTTAATACCACTTTTATAGAAATCCGCAGATTGGCCCTCTAACCACGCCTCTGTGGCAGCGTTTGTATCCTCGTCATCCTTGAAGCGTCTTCGATGTAGCTTCTTATACCGTTGCGACGTTTCGATGAAGCTTCTTACACCGTTGCGACGTTTCGATGTAGATTCTTACATCCTTATCAACGCAGAGCTACACTGAAACGTCGCTATCTGCCATAAATTAGAAGTTCTTATCCATAAAGTTCTACGTATGTTGAACACTGGCAAATTGACCGGCCACAACCATGTAATGAAACAGTGTGTAACTTGAGTATATAAGCAGAACCTGAAATACACAGGAAAAAAATCGATCTATCTAACTTAATGTTAGTGTTTCCTTTCTCATTGAGTTACTTATATTTACTTAATTCCTTATCATGTACTTAAAATGCAAACCAGTAACTAATATCACTAAATATATACACTGTATTACTCAATTTGGAACTTTTAAACTAATTTACGATTGCCAATAAGATATGAAACACCTAATTTACTCAGTTTGTAGGATTGTCAAGGTGTCATTTTACAGATTGTGATGCATTATCTCAGTGATTCAATGTACACAAGCTAGAGTGTACAGAATATAGGAACTGGCCCATGGTAAAGGTCTACTCGACAACAAGCCTAGGCGTTATGCATTAATACACGATTATACATATTCATCAGCTCAAATATGCAAGTCGGATCGATGTAAAGCAACCACTGAACGTAAGGAAAGTGATTGTCATTGAGTATATATTTCAGTATATCTGAAGTAATATGAACATGAGGTGTTCGGTGTTTTACAAATTGGTAAAGCGATTGAAAAAGTCTTCTTCGCGTTCTTAAGCAGGCCAAAAAATAAATTAATGAGTGAGTGAGTATGTATTTTGGACCTTACTGACCATGTATGACATGTTTCTCTGACCATGTGTGATTGATGACAATAGCCGATATACACGTTATACAAATGGGAACGCTGTTCTAGCATGTACGACACCTTTTTCCACAAAGGTGGTCCAAACGAAAATGAGCTGAAAACAGACATTGTACTGAACAGTGATCAGTGTGCATCATGTCTATAGTGTCTTTTACAAGAATGTAATGAATACTTCAAAAGGTGTGATTACTGGTATGATTTGATGATTAAAACTGCATAATAAACCTATCGTATAAATTCCTCAAAATGTGTGTTTTCTGGTCTGTTCCACTTTAATGAAAGGTAAACGGGTAACTATGCTTGACCGACCAACCTGGACTAATCCTGTTTTTAGCTGTCTGACAAATGGTACCGCCTCCGTGGTCTAGTGGTAGAGCGTCCGCCCGGAGAGCGGAAGGTCCGGGGTTCGATCACCGGCCGCGTCATACCAAAAGATGTTTAAAGATGGTACTTGTTGTTACCCTGTCTGGCGCTCGGCATAAAGGGGCTTAAACAAGGACAGGTCGGCTCGGAGTCAGTACACTGTGTCTGAGTGGGGTATTCATGTTAAACTGCGGCATGGTATCTCAGTGGGCTAGCACTATAAATCGGCATCAGTCCGGACTAGTACAAGCAGCCACACACACACACACACACACACACACACACACGTGCATGCACGTCGCTATATAAGTGCAATATTCTTAGACGCGACGTTAAACCCCATTTCACCTCACCTCTGACAAATGGGATGTCTGAAAATTTGGAGGTTACCAAATCAATTGTATGAAGACGTAGAAACACACACTACATTTAACATCCCTAAAAACATCTTTAAAACACGTGTGATGGGAACACACATAACTGCCCAGAGTTTCTTCCCTAAGGCGGTGCCGAAACCTATACTCGTGGGTTCGAAAGCTGGTTCGCCCTGATTATGTGATTAGGTTTGTCAGCACCATACCCGTGTTCGTGGCTTTCAGCAAAGTGGTGAACGTCTAAGACGTGGATTACCTCTGCCGTTCCTCCAACATCAAACTGACACGTCGTGATATAACTGGAATACTGTTCAACTCACTCACTCACTCGGTGCAATGAAATCTCGTTCACTCAAACTCCAAGAACTCGTTAAAGTCGAATCAGAAGATATGCGTTTTTGGTCCCGGTAGATTCTTAATGGCGCTATTTTCTATAATTGCATCTTATCATGAACTACTGGTAACTCGATATATCGACACTGGTTTCGATAACCTCAGTGACGGTTGCCACCGGTGGGTGAAACCGGTGGCGAACACCTGGTGATTCATAAACAAATGCTCACGATATAGTCGGAACTGTAAAATGGGCTCTGCTTTTAGAAGAGATTTCTTATGATTATCGAAAAAAAATAATTTTCGCTTTCATATGCCTTTCATGTAGTAATATTAACTTACACTTCTTCACACTTCATATATATAAACTTCAGATTTTAGACAATTCCAATACACGCCCTTCAGAGCTAGCACTTCGGTACACCTACATTTGCCCCTGGATCCTTCCCCTGTCAAATTACTCGCCCTTGATTTTCATTAACGTCGACATAAGGGGAAGGTAAGGGATGTAACTCGTAATACCTGAAAACCAACGTCGACGCCAGTTTTAATGGACATGGAGACATCTTTTCCATTAAAAAGCGTAGCCAATAAAATTGGCAAATGCAAAGGAAGGGTTGGTAATGTGATATTGCGAAGACCAAGGGAAAGAATCAAGGGGTTAGTGGACATGTAGGTTTACCGATATGCTAGCCCTGGGGAAGGGGGAGGATGTTCCAATCCAATGCTGGGACGTTGACGTCAATATTTACTACATTCATAAGCAAACTTTGCAGTCACTGTGCAGTTGAGTCCCTTGGGCACGCCAGAAACCTATGATTGTGGATTTGAATCCCGGTTCGCCCCGATTATGTTTCTAGGTTTGTCAGCACCAAACCCGTGCTCGTGGGTTTCACCGAAGTGGTAAACGTCTGAGACCTGCATCACTTCGGGCTTTCCGCCCACATTAAGCTGACACGCCGCGATATAACTGGAATACTGTTAAAAGCGGCGTTAAACCCATCTCACTCATTTACTTCATTATGTTGCGTGTTTGTGACTTGTGATTGATCGTTAATGTCATGTGTACTGTGATTATGGTCGTTGATAATGGACCACTCAGCCAATGATAACGTTTGCCGGTCTTGGCCGGGTCGCCCCGACTTTTGGGCAATCCAAAGTTTAGGTTCGCAGTAGTACAAAGGGTTGTTTTCTTGAATAAGTCAATCATCATACTAGCCCACACCTGTATTTAGTCAACGTATGTACGAAATCAGACCATTCGATAAATGGATGTATTGATGATAAGTCTATGTTCCATTGTGTTGAGCAATTCCTGAAACGTGCGACCTTGAATGAACAGCATTGACACGAACGTGTTCACATGTATAACGAGGGCAAGTCAGAAAGCAGCGTATACAAACTTGTAATCACACACGATAGAGATATACACATCCCACTTTTGTCAATGTTTATTGTACATGTGCGATTGAGTATTGATTAAACATAGAATTGATTTTTTGAAAACCCTCTTCAAATATTATTTCTACATGACGTCAGTTAGTTTGCGTTTCAGGCTCTCCTAAGGCCTGTCACCATTCCTCTGTGCAATCCCCATGGTACCTTCGTACACCGATATACACCATGTAAAATTTGAAGACTGTTACATGTGACACAAGGGATCAAATCATGACACTTCTTTGGTCAGTCCTGTTACTGTTCGTCTTCTTTGTCAGTAAAACACTTGGGGTAAGTAGCTTACATATGTACGTACTGATGATTGTTTTCTATCCACTTAACATTTATGGAATGAGTGAGTGAGTTTTGTTTAACGCAATTTACCTCTATATACCAGCCATATCACGTTGGGGAAAAAACAGAGCACTGGTTAAATACATTTTACAAACGAACGCTTGGACTACTAGGCTACCCTGAAAGTCTGACAGTGTTAAAAGTACTTTAATGATGTGACGTTAAAATTCTGTATTTTGAATACCACGTACGTAAAAGCAAAATTTTCAAATTTTATATGTAACCAGCATGAGATGCTAAAAGCGTCCATACGAAATTCTAGACAATAAAGACTTCTGGTTTTTACTGGCATGCACACTTGAGTTTGCACTTCATTACCTGCCAAAATATAGGGTGGCATCCTATTGTTTTGTTTGTCTGTACATTGCTAACCTGAAATTACCTTCCGTCGTGTGTCCTGTGTGTATCGATCACAAAGGGTCAGTATGCTGATTGGCGGGAGGTACATTCATACCATTTACTCACTCTGCAGAAATTGGTCTGTAAAAACAATGTAATAACATGTTTGTTCTTTAATTTAAAAAATCTACTTCCAATAAAGTAGCCTGATCTAATAAGTCATACCTGAATCACATTTCCTAAAGAAAAAATACTTAAAGACACGTCGTTATTTATTCGAAACTCGCTACCAGTTCGTCGAAGGAGGCCTTACACAAAGAAATGGTATTTTTTTAAAGTTATACTTCAAAATAGTACAAATTATTTGTAATATGTGATTAAGTATATTTGTTTTTGAGCTTGTATATTGATCATAAACTGAATACTGCACTTGCATCTGAATGATTTTATAGAAATACCATTGTTTTTCATAGTGAGCGTGTTCACTGTTGTCATGAGAAACAAGCGAAATTGACGAGGCGCTAGTCGAGTCCACATCGGTACAGAAGGAGAAAACACGCCAATATTTGTATTTGCTTTATATTTGACATATCTTCTCAATTTATTTTAACAAATAATCTGTTTTTCTCGGGTTTTCCTGGGGGTGTGAGCCATCGGCGGTCCAGGGTTTGAATTGTCTCACTCATTCATTTCCAACCCCTTCTCTCTGCACATAATAGATACATTATACTAAATACATCATTGTGCAACTAAGTATTTCGATTTCAAAATGTGAAGATTGATTGTTTTATGCGAGTTTCGTTTGCATTTTCTTCTTAATACTGTATCCAGTTCGTTCCCTTTGGCATTTAAGAACACTTCCCTCCTTAAAGCAGTATATTTAAGACATAGCTAGGCGCAGTGGAGATGGCATGTGTAATGATACGCATGGGAACAAGAGGCGTTATCTGAAATGTGTCGTTATAATTTATGGATATTCAGATCACTAGATCATAAGAGAAGGCGCGAGTTTGTTACATGACATAATCGTGAATGTACTTTGACATTTCTCTGTAATAATCTCTTAAAATCACAGTAGTTTTAGCATTTGTTATATAGTATGGCAGGTCGTTCCATTGTTTGATGATATCCGGCAAATGGTTTTGCATGACTTATTGTCTGAATATTGCTACTGTAAGTACTCAGAGTAGATAATTATTATCCTTTTGGAATGAGATCCGAAAAAAACCATGATTGGTTGATAATCATTTTGTACAATAATATTAATTATTGAATCCTGTAATCTTTGAGCTAGTGACCTGAACCACGTTTCTATGTATATAAAAGCGACAAAACCCTTTCCATAATCATAAGACATCTCTTCCCAAAACAGATTTAATTTTTCGATTCGGACCATATGACATGAACAAGTGTTAATGTGTCACTGTCAACTAGTGGTTGAACCAGGTTTTCGCGAAATCGTGAGAGTATCCAGCCCTACCGGTGGCACTCGTCACAAAAACATGCAAAGGCAAGTCAATTGTTCAACATATCGTCAACATATATGGTACAAGTCAAAATAGGAAATTGCATCGGACATCATTTTTGTCACTGATGCGTCAAATTTAGAAATGTCCTCACCATGTCTACCATAAAACTTTTTTAAAGCTTTACTGGGCCCTTGAATGTTATTAACTTCATTAAACAACTTCTGAGCAAGAGATGTATGACGCTTGGTTCGCTTGGATTGCAAAAAGTCAAGCAAATCCTTTGACCTTTGGAGAACCCACATGGAATTAATTCTACTTTTGTAGAGAATCTCGACCTCGTGTCTTTTGATATCAAATATATCAACACGAGTATATACCACACGGTAAAAGGGGGAAACTTCCGAGGCTTGCCGAGGATTTTTGCCACTGTTATCAACGAGTGTTGATATATTTGATATCAAAAGACACGAGGGTGATATTTTATTTATCATCCAACATCATTGTAACAACTTTTTCAATTTGTAGACAGTAATTAGCAGTGTCTTCAGTGTAAAGGGTACTGCTAACAGCTTCAGTAGCAGAGCCATTAGTGATGTCATTTGTGACGTCATGGTAACCAGTGACGTCACATTGGTCTACAAATCATCGTGATGTAATTTCATTGCAGCGATATCTTCAGTTTTCTACATTTTGATTACCAGTGTAGATATCGCTTGATCTCATCCACGAGATATCTCCTGTGGGAGCCAGTTTTGGATGATAGAAAGAAAGTCCTTCCTTGATGGTATTAAGGATTATGGTTACAGGAGTTTGATGGTAAACTTGTTGAACCCAGCACTATATCTCTCTTCGAAGAGATTTTTATGGTGCTTTCGAATCCATGACAAAAGAGGAATGGACATGTCTTCAGGTTTTAGAGTCAATCAAACGTTGACAGTACCGATGCATAGTTTTGGCAGATTTCTTCCTCAGTTAACATACTGACTTTATATGTAGCATTATTTAATATGTCAGTTATACCAGGTTCCTTGATCAAACAATTCATGTAGTGATGCTTCGATTAATTGTTATGTTACTTGTGACCAATTCACGGCTGGTACAGGCCGCCTCCGTGGTCTTGTGGTAGAGCGTCCGCCCGGAGAGCGGAAGGTCCGGGGTTCGATCCCCGGCCGCGTCATACCAAAAGACGTTAAAAGAAGGTACTTGCTGTTACCCTGTCTGGCGCTCGGCATTAAGGAGCTAAAACAAAGACAGGTCGGCTCGGGGTATTCATGTTAAACTGCGGCATGGTATCTCAGTGAGCTAGCACTATAAATCGGCATCAGTCCGGACTAGTACAAGCAGCCACACACACACACACACACACACACACACACACACACACGTGCATGCACGTCGCTATATAAGTGCAATAATCTTGGACGCGATGTTAAACCCAATTTCACCTCACCTCACCTCACCACGGCTGGTACCGCTAATGATGCCACAGAACGTATTTATGCAACGGAATGACACATATCCTAAACAATAGATATTTATCAGTTGTATTCCTAAATTCGAATCCCAGATACTTACGATCCCTGGTTTATCTGCACCATTCCCGTGCTTGTAGGTTTCAGCTGCCACCTGCGTCGCCTGGGTGAAAACATGGTTGTACAATTGAAATCTAATTCACTCACTCTGAATGTATTGCCGTTATACAGGCTGCTCCCGTGATAGGCGGCACCCCAATTGTCTGCAACATCGATGAAGGCACCCAGGTTGAAACCAAACTCGTGTGCATCAACTGTACCAGCGACCTGAACGTCGCGGTCAGTGGCATCAGCATCTCCCCATCCTCGCCATGTGGAACATGCTTCAACGTCTACCAAGTAAATCCAGATGAAGGTATCCTATCCTGACCTTTTTTAGCATTTTGTATTTGCCTTGTAAAGTGACAAAGCGACTGAAGCCACTTTGTGAGAAAAGGAACACATTCAACGTTGTGTTGCGATAACTTGGTCAAAATTGAAGATTGCATTGATCGATAAGGGAACATATTCATCTGCAATAACTGCATTATCAGACTTTGAAGTTTTATTATATGAACTATTATATTTCAAGACGTTTCGATAATCGAATTAATATGAGAGTCAAAATCGGAACTAGAGCTAGAATGGCTATCAGATTCACCTGGTGAATGGCCAAGGTCTGAATCTGACGCTTTTCTTACACGCTTGTGGTTCATACTGTGGAACCGAAAGGGTTACTTGGCAAATTGGCGATTGAGGCCATGATGAAGAAGGGTTTGTTTGGAAGACCTTTGCGAGATTTCATCTACTTTGTAAATGACCTACTTCCGGTTATCATGATAAAGATACCAATATAACATCTACTACTTTTTATCAAGTGAAATTGAGGATTTGCCTTCATCAACTAAGCTTACGCGTTCTTTTTGATGACAACTCTGCCTATTATTGTTCACCACCAGTATGGCGCTGTAATGTCATATAGAATGTCAACGTCTCAATTCAGTGTGCACAGTAACAACCCGTTCGTTCAAACCGTGTTACTCCCGAAACATCACCTTTCGGATGAATACATATTTAATATAGTCGATGCCAATAATATGTCGATCAAAACGCCGAGTTATTCAGGACAGTTAATCCGGATTACCGAGGGTGAACTGCCTGCATGTTTCAGGATACTGCGTGTACTACCTGGCGAGTCAGGGGACGCTGTCTTACCGCAGGACTCCGGCCTACAACATGGAGGTGGAGTGTAAAGACGGAGCTGGAGAGTCCTCCTCTGCTGTGGTGGAGATCAGGGTCAGAACCAACGAGGCACCCACCTTCACTCTCACCACAGGTAGCATGAATATAACACTATTGATAATACTAATAATACTATTACTAATAACAATACTAATATATGATGTAATAAAGTAAAAGCCACAAATACTTACGCTGCATCCGTCCTTTCGTATTCTGTTGGTGATATTTATTGGACGAAATAAGAAATTCAGGATATTGACACCCACACACGAAGAATTATGCCAAACAATATATTCCACCATCCTCGCTCTTCCCTTAATCGCTTATGTCTACCAATCATAATGGGAGGGCGTGGTTTGATTAACATGGCGGCTCTTCATGAGAATTGTATTGTGCACTTTTGCACACATTGATTTGTTTGATGATCCTCTTGTCAAGGCATTGCACAGTTTTCTAAAACCAGCCAAGGACTTGGGACATAATCTCAATGTCAATGTTGATTTTGTTGATGGTTCTGCACTGCTGGACGGTACGGACGGTTCAATTTGAATGGAACTGCTATCCCTATGGTGTTTCTATTTACCAGTGAATACACAATCATCTAAGTTCTGTTAAGCACGCAATGAGCTGTTTTCGAAATTGGCCTTTATGTTATGCGAAGTTGTGCTGCTCTGGTACCGGAATATGCCGAGTGTCTCCGAGTGACTTATACGTATGTTCGAGGGTGATTCATGTCTACTTGATAAAGGTCGGAAACGTACAATTGAATCTGCTTTTTGTAGAGATGTTTTATTATTATGGCAATGTTTTTGTTGCTCTTTCATTATGTATCATGAAACTGTTCTATCTAGACCAGTGCAAACAGAACCCGTTCCCAACAAACACGGTGACGGGCGAGGTGATTTTCGATGGCGGGTCCGCCGTCGACCCCAACAACGACACTCTCTACTACAGCATGTCCACAACTCCCGTTACAGACAACTTTGAAATAGGAATCAGTGAGTACACAGGATGTGGCGTCCATCAAGCATTGCTTTACATCATAGATGGTACGCTGAGTACACGCATTCCGAACCAAAGTTATCACGAGTAATCAACGTCCATCTAACATTGAGCATTCAGCGGCATGTGCTATAGCGTATGGACATCCATTTTCTGAGAATTGTTTTTAAAATGTACTCTAAGTATGAAAAGCACTGATATAATGTGTTACGTTGGTCTGAAAAATAGAAGCTTGTTAGATTGGGCCTTGCTCCCTGTGGTTGTCTGCCTATTGTTCAGATGTAATGTTGGTACATGTTGACATCATTAACGTATCGTTATTGAAATGTGACGTCATATCACCCAAATAACCAATCAGTAAATATAGGGCAGCTATAATTACAATCGATCTTATATCCTAACAAGTAATAATTCTAAATAATTCATGGACAGGTGAGAGTATTATTTCACGCCGCTTTTGGCAATATTTCATCAATGTCACGGCAAGGGACACCAGGAATGGACTTCACACATTGTACCCATGTAGGGAATCGAACCCGGGTTTTCGGTGCGTCGAACTGACGCTTTGACCACTGGGCTACCCCACCGCCCCTCACATACACAGGTATAATTTATTAAAGCATATTGGTTTAACGATCTTACCGTAGGCGGCTGTCATTTCAGGTGATGGAATCATCAGGGCTAAGAACCCGCTGGTGTTTGAGTGTAACCCGTCTGTGACCTTCAGCATCAAAGTGCAAGATGAGAAGAATCCGGCTGTAGGGCCGCTGACTGTTACGTGTGCCTTCACCGGTACGTAGTTCGAGACCAGGGCTGTGGTTCAATGTTAGCTATGTACACGTTCTTATGATGCGTAACATGGGCATTTCTCTGGTTCGAAACCGGCATGAAGGCCATAGAAATATAACGCATGGTGTCCTTCTGATATATCAATCTTTTCATGGGAAGTGACAGTATACTCTTCATACTATAATGTGCAGTATATTTATTGGAAAATATTGGTAAAAGGGATTTGATGACTGGGGTCTATTTTCAGTTATCGTTAAAAGACATTGACAAAAAGGATGTTGTCTTTCTGAAATGTTTTCGTAGCTGGGTAGAATTTCTTTTTATATATCCAGTAATGTTATAAGTACACTGTTCTGAACTTGTTTCCTTTTGTGTGAGGTACATTAATACATTGCCCGTGAGATACTTTGTACGTAACATGTGGTTTCAGCGTCCGTAGCGCCGACTATTTCCAACGCCAACAAGGACATAGAGGTGGTGGAGAATACCACGGGCGATGTCATCACGCTGACGGCGTCGCCAACAACACCGGCTGTCACGTTCGACTATTCCACAAACCCAGAGGAAGCCTTGTCAATGTTTAGCTTTACTGATGGTAAACATGTAAAAGATCCTCACACTACAGGATCACATTTGATTGTATCAATGATCCATAGTTGCAGTAAACGGTGTGAAAAGTAAGGTTTCCGGGAAGTTTCCTACTTTGAATCCAGAATGTTCTCGGCAAAAAATCTACCCCCTCCCAACTTGTCAAAACTTTGGAGATGCATTTTGTTCAATTAAGTGTGAAACATAAAACATATCTCAAAACTACCACGACAATTGAAGGTTGCTGAAGGTATCGAATTCATTATGTTTCCATGTTCTGTGTCCAGTAAATGATTTTATACCAGATATATAAGCCAGTTGAAGTAATAATATTCAGTGTAGTTTTAATATCTCTTGACGCCGAGGTGCCTGGGCAAGTGTTTTCTAGAGAAGACCATTTGTCACAAGTGTTTTCTTCTAAAATTGGTTTTCGATGTGCCCTGTATACACTCCCCGTGTAGTAAACCATTGTACAAGTCCCAGCATCACTGATTGTATAGTTTTCCCTGGACATGTGCCTAGATGCAACCCTGTGTATTCAGTAACAATACATGCTGTAGCATCGTCATCATCATTAACATGGGATTGTTCCAGGTACTATAAAGGTGGCGTACCCACTTGATTATGAAAATGTGAATCTCAAATCGATCAATATAACGGTGCTGCCAGAGAACGGCTACTGCAACCCCATACCGCACTACATCCACGTGGTGGTGACCGACGACAACGACGGCCCCAGTCTCACCCCGAAACAGCTGTCCAAGGAGCTGTACGAGGGATTTGTAAGATGTTCCTTATTACGAAAGCTTTATTAGTAATATTATAATCCGCAAGTTCCAAACGCTTTGATTCTAAACACCTACATATAGCTACAAAAGAACAGGACACACCTTGAATTGTTTTCGATATAAATGTTTTCTAGTGATACTTGATATACTGACAGTCTACCACAAAGCATTGCGCGTTCCCAAATAATTCCTGCAAGCGTTTCTCACAAGCATGCTATATTAGGAGCGTTTACTGGCTTCGTTGGTCCCGTTGATAACAGAACAACGCAGTACAGTACACAAACATACAAAACTCCCAGATAGATATCTACAGCTTGCCACACACGTCCCGCTGTACGTGTAGATACAGAACGCATATGATATCTTTTCTTTCAAATAGGGGGAACGGGTGGCACAGTGGTCTAAAGCGCCGCCATTCGCTGTGCAGATTTGCTTTCCATGGACACGCCAGAAACCTATTGATCGCGGCATCGAATCCTTGTTCGCTTCGAGTATGATTCTAGTTTTGTCGGCGCCACGCCGTACTCGTGGGCCTCACCAAAGTGGTAAACGTCTGAGACCTGCACCACTTCGGGCTTTCCCCACATTAAGCTGAAACGCCGTGATATAACTGAAAAACTGTTCAAAGCGGCGTTAAACCCAACTCGCTCACTCACTACTTTGAAATAAACACCTTCTGAGTGAGTGAGTGAGTGAGATTGGTTTAAAGCCGCTTTTAACAGTATTCCAGTTATATCACGGCGTGTCAGCTTAATGTGTGAGGAAAGCCGACGCGATGCAGGTCTCAGACGTTTACCACTTCGGTGAAACCCACGAGTACGGGTATGGTGCTGACAAACCTAGAAACATAATCGGGGCGAACCGGGATTCGAACCCACAATCATAGGTTCCTGGCGTGCCCAAGGGACGCAACTCTGCACAGCGAATCGCGGCGCCTTAGACGACTGGGCCACCCGTGCCCCCAAACACCTTCTGGGACATAGATCACTTTTGATATCGCATTATACATTTGACATTCTAATGAACTTAACACACTAACCTGGGCCTATCCCTCGTGCTGTGTTTGCATGATTGTACATTATTTGCACTTATCCTGTGATGCAGATAACGTTCTCTCCGGGGTTCACAGTAGTAGATGAAGATGCTGTCGACACCCACTATTACAGCATCATTGGTGGCAACAATAGGAACTACTTCACCATAGATCAGTCCACAGGCGTCATCAGCTCCACCATCGAGTACGACATCGACACAGGAGCACCTAGGAGTATGAAGGACACCGTTAACCTGACCATCCAGGTCAATGACACCAAGGGTCATGCTGTGGACACCGCTGACTTGTACATCACTATCAAGGACACCAACGACAATGCCCCTGTCTTCACAGAGACATCGCTGACGGTGGACGTGACGGAGTGTGACCGGATCGGGACGCTGCTGGCGACTCTAGTGGCTGAGGATACGTTTGACTCCGACTACAACAACAACAATGTTGTGTACATAGAAGCTACCTCCAACGGCAACGTGGCTGCCACAGAGGACGGGAGTGTTTACCTGAAAAGTGAGTGATTATGAGTGTGTAAAGATGGGTTAAAAGTATGCCAGTTATGTTATTCGGGAATAATAAGGTTATCAGCCAATCTCCATCCCGATTGCGTATTGTGTTGTTGAAATGTTCAGTAAATTAATGGTTACAGTTGATATGTCAGTGTGTCTGTTCTCACAGGTGTGATTGAGAGACAGGGTGATTGGTTGATTTCTGAGTGGTTTTGGAGAGTGAGTGAGTATGGTTTTACGCCGCTTTTAGCAATATTCCAGCAATATCACGGTGGGGGGGCACCAGAAATAGGTTTCACACATTGTACCCCTGTGGGGAATCGAAAACGGGTTTTCGGCGCGACAAGCGAGCGCTTTAAACACTAGGCTACCCGACTGCCCAGCTGTGGAGAGATTTCCTGTGCGCTGTAGAGTGAGTGGTTGCAGATATACCTCCCCCCTCTCCCTCTCCGTCTCCCTCTCCCTCAATTTCTGTCTCGCTCTCTCTCTCTGTGACCCCTCTCTCTATCTCTGTTTCGCTGTCTTTCACTCTCTCTCTCCCTCTCTCTCTCCTCTCTCTCTTTTCCCTCACTGTGTCCTCTCTCTCTCTGTCTCTCTATCTGTGTGTCTCTCTCCGTCTCTCCCTCTCCCTCACTCACAAACTCCAATACTAGGTACCTTTATTTACGTTTTTCTCTGAAGGCGCCATAGCAGCTGGACAGACGAGCATACTGACCGTGAATGCTAAGGACCGAGGGACATACCCCAAACAACAGACGAGTGTTATCCCTGCGACTGTGACGGTGAGGTCTACAGCATGCGTCGTCACAACCGTCAACACTGTTATTGTCAACGCAGGAGGCGGGACTGGGACTGGGACTGGGACTGGGACTGGGACTGGGACAAACACCAACAACGCCGGCACAGGGAATGCGGCAACGTCGACATCAACTACAACTACTACTTCACCACTTGTTGACGTAAACCTAGGTACTCATATGTATCAGTTATAATTCCCGATATCAGATGCAGTGCTAATTTCGTAATAGTCTTTCCCCCAACACTTCAAGGGTTATACCTTTTAATCACCAACACCATGTCGTTGTCCTTCCATCTTCTGGACAAACGGTTAACGTTATTGTGACCTTGACCTTCAATCACGACAACGGGTGATATTGGAAATTGCATGACAGGCTTTTCTGTTGGCGTCATCAATGAAACATTGTAAAATGAATGTGCATTCTTGAAGTAGTAGGGATGGTAGGGTTTCAAAGCTTTCGCTAGTCAAGCCAAAGAACCTGGTTAAATTCCCCAACTGGGTATAATGTGGGAAGCCCATTCCTGGTGTCAACCGCAGTGATGGTATTGGATCACAACCAAAGCAGATTTATCATTTCTACCATGATCAGCGAATCCTGGCACGCATAAGGGAGGCAACTCTTCAAAACAAATTGCATCACGTTAGATCACCTAAATGTTCTCAATGTGTATATTTGACATTGAACAAAGTACGTGTTAACATTGTAACACCATGGACTGTTTCAGGAACGTGTGATGGTTTCTTCTGCGATACAGCAAATGTAATGGCTCTTATATTCGGAGGCCTTGGTGCTATTGGTTTACTGGCAGGACTCGCTTACTGCTTGAGTAAATATTGCAAGAACAAGACGTAAGTAGTTTGGGGAGGAGTTGGAAATATGCTAAATCAGACTGAGTAATGGTCGTCCAATACTTAAAACCAATACAGATACATATATGTCAACTCCATTCCCCAGTTCAGACCAATGCTAAACAATTCACCGTGTTCACCTTCTCACAGATCTGTGCTATACTGTATTGCAGATCACCAGAAGCAAAGGAAAAGGCGAAGGACAAAGCTGAGGAAAAGGCAAGAAAGAAAGCAGAGAAAAAAGCGAAAAAGCAAAAGAAATCAAGGTACAATTTGTCTTCTCAAGCATGCTCGTTATCAAGAAATGGTCTGGAAAGGTGGTATAATTCAGGGAGTGAGTGAGTATGGTTTTACGCCGCTTTTAACAATGTTCCCGCAATATCACGGCGGGGTACACCAGAAAAGGGCTTCACACATTGTACCCATGTCGGGAATCGAACCCGGGTCTTCGGCGTGACAAGGAAAGGCTTTAACCACTAGGCTACTCGACCGCCCCCGGTATCATCCCGACAAATGACGTTGTTTTAATGTTACCGCATTTTGCATTTTGCCAGCAGTGGACAATAAGTTAAGGAAACACGTTCTATCCTTTACATATATATCGTCGATTAGATTGTTTGTATTTACGGCAAGAATTTTTTTCTATACAAATGTTTTCTAGAGATAATTGCTATACTGAATGTCTACCACAATGCATTGCGATTTTTATAAAAATAATTCCTCCAAGTGTTTCATTCATGTCTGCTAGACTGTTGCTGAATAGCTTTCGTTGGTGTCGTTGTTCGTGTTGATAACAGAACAAATACAGTACAGATTTTAGGACACAGCACTTCGGGCTTTCCTTCCACATCAAGCTGACACGCCGTGATATAAATGGAATATCGTTCAAAGCGGCGTTTGGAGATGCATGCACTTATATAACCATGAATGACACAATGTCACCGGTTGGAATGTGTTCAAAAGGGCCATTGACGTCGCATTGTGATTGTCTGTGGGTCCATTTAAATATTTCGATGAAAATTTTGTTTGTTGACATGATTGTACCAATCTTAAATACTAGTAGTTTTGAAGGACTTAAAAAACATACATATAATCACCAGCCTCAGTTAATAATTTACACAGGTATGCTTTAGTCAGTATATTTATGACTTTACAGGAAGGTTTGCCTGTGATAAGAGAGTCATTAAAATGTCAGAGATTGTTAGCCTTTGACACAAAGTCGACAATGAACCAATGACACCTTACTGATGGAAAGAATAGATGCTCAGAATATAATCACAACATCACTGCAAATATTGAAAGAAATATCGATATAGTACTTTTAACAATCTCAATGATATTGTTACAGTTACAATACCGCCAATAATCACCCCAAATATTTACTGTTTTTATTTTCAGTCCTGATGCATTCGACTTTTGGAGTAGCGGCGTTGTGTAACCCGTTCTGCTGAATATTTATTGTGAAGTGGACAATTAGCACGACATGCTCTGCACATTGTATATACGTGGTAGTGATGGATTCACAGGGTACACAACGAGCACCACTCTGTGCATCTGAGTGATTAGGATAGACTAGTTTCACAACGCAGTGCGATGTTTGCATGAAGGATAGGCTAGTGACTCACCACTCACCATAACTGTGCAGTGTGCGCGGTAGTGAAGTATAGACTGGTTGCACAACACTCGCCGCACCGTGCAATGTGCGTGGTAGTCAAGTATAAACTGCTTGCACAACACTCTCAACACCTTGCAATGTGCGTGGTAGTGAAGTATGGACTGCTTGCACAACACACTCCACACCGTGCAATGTGCGTGGTAGTGAAGTATGGACTGGTTGCACAACACTCTCCACACCGTGCAATGTGCGTGGTAGTGAAGTATGGACTGGTTGCACAACACTCGCCACTCCGTGCAATGTGCGCGGTAGTGAAGTATGGACTGGTTGCAAAACACTCTCCACACCGTGGAGAGTGTTGGTTGGGAAAGTATGGACTGGTTGCACAACACTCACCACACCATGCAATGTGTGTGGTAGTAAAGTATGGACTGGTTGCACAACGCTCTCCACACCGTGCAATGTGCACGGTAGTGAAGTATGGACTGGTTGCACAACACTCGCCACACCGTGCAATGTGCGCAGTAGTGAAGTATGGACTAGTTGCACAACACTCGCCACACCGTGCAATGTGCGCGGTAGTGAAGTATGGACTTGTTGCACAAGACTCTCCACACCGTGCGATGTGCACGGCAGTGAAGTATGGACTGGTTGCACAACACTCTCCACACCGTGCAATGTGCGCGGTAGTGAAGTATGGACTAGTTGCACAACACTCTTCACACCGTGTAATGCGTGTGGTAGTAAAGTATAGACTGGTTGCACAACACTCTCCACACCGTGCAATGTGCACGGCAGTGAAGTATAGACTGTTTGCTTAACACTCTCCACACCGTGCAATGTGCACGGTAGTGAAGTAGGGACTGCTTGCACAACACACTCCACACCGTGCGAGGTGCGCGGTAGTGAAGTATAGACTGGTTGCACAACACTCGCCACACCGTGCGATGTGCACGGTAGTGGAGTATGGACTGGTTGCACAACACTCGCCACTCCGTGCAATGTGCGTGGTTGTAAAGTATAGACTGGTTGCACAACACTCACCACGCTGTGCAATGTCCGCGGTAGTGAAGTATAGACTGGTTACTCTGCGCGGTAGTGAAGTATGGACTGTTTACTTTGCGTGGTAGTGAAGTATAGACTGGTTACTCTGCGCGGTAGTGAAGTATGAACTGCTTACTCTGCGCGGTAGTGAAGTATGGACTGCTTACTCTGCGCGGTAGTGAAGTATAGACTGCTTACTCACCATGCCGTGCAATGTGCGTGGTAGTGAAGTATGGACTGCTTACTCTGCGCGGTAGTGGTGTATGGACTGCTTACTCTGCGCGGTAGTGGTGTATGGACTGCTTACTCTGCGCGGTAGTGGAGTATGGACTGTTTACTCACAAAGCCGTGCAATGTGCGTGGTAGGGAAGTTCCACAGTAGTCACCATGCCAAGCTATATGTCAACTCTAGTGCACGCTACTATTGATACACGTAAAAACACCTCAGTGCAAATGTCCACAACTTCATACAATGTCACTAAAAGCAACTTTACGTACATGTATGCATAGGCTAAATGCATGCTGATATGTCTGTCACTGTGTTTTGATAAATACAACAAATAGTCTGAAATAAAGATGTGTCTTGATGATCTAGTCAACATCGTTGCTTTGTAATACCACACCTGCAATTAACAAATGACTGAGTTAGCTAATGTACTACTCAAAAACAACAGCTGATTTTTTCATATGACTCTATTTAATCTATCATGCCATGACAGATTAACTATAGTCATATCAACAATCGGATGTTTGTATGATTGACTTCCTTCGAGTAGAATATTATCCCACTGTCCACACGGGACATACAGGCATCCCGTCCGCCTTCAGGTTCGATTGTAGGTGTCCTTTCCTAACTACTTTCGGAAGGATAGGTTTATATTGAAAGTCGCTACACATTATCGCCAATCATATTCTCTCTCTCCCTCTCCATCTCTCTATCTCTCTCTCTCTCTCTCTCTCTCTCTCTCTCTCTCTCTCTCTCTCTCTCTCTCTCTCTCTCTCTCTCTCTCGCGATGTATCTATATTAATCTGATTATCTCCCCTTCTCTATCGTCCCCAGCTCTTTCTCAGTATCTTCGTGCCCACCATTAATAACAATCTGATCGTGAAATGTATCTCACATGTGTAACTAGTCTCTCACACAGACCCTGAAACAAATATATCTACAGATCTCATGCAAGTCTATAAAATTTTGCAAGTCCAGATTATTGCAGTATCTCTAAAAGTCTCTGACTCCTTTTTATCATATTTCATAACTACAATTTAACACATTTTTTAATCTGTAAAATAGGTTCATTTCAGAGACTAGATGTTAGTATAATGTGTCCAGTAACTATGGAATCAATACCATCAGGCAACACTGTTTACACTACAAGGGATATAACTCTTGTTACGTATACCCCACGTAAATCGTACAGGGTTGCTTCCCTTCTATCCTGCCGTCGCTACCCATAAGTTTAAGATCACCCTATAAGAGCGTTTTTGATTTTCCCCAGAACGTTCGTAAACATACATTGTTAAACACTTCTCAGCATGCAGTGAATGTGAAGACGTTCATATACAAAACCCAGTCATGCGGTACCGACCTCTCCTCACTGTTCATTGTTCTATAGAAACGGTTGGGACATATCCATGAATAGACTTGGTGATCGCTTACGTTGATCGTACCGTTACCACTACACAGAGCCTTTGTATATCAACTGTGCTGGTAGTAAAGGGTTTATTGTTGTTGATATTATTTATCACACCACTTCAATAACGTTTTGTCAGACAGCTTTCTATTTGTTCAATACTTTGTTGAACACTGGCAGAATCTAGGCTTTAATATATTACTTTAAAACACATACAAACTACAACGTTCACCATCTACATAGATATATGTACGAACATATTGGCCATGGACATTAAACATATTTTTTCACGGGAAAACCATGATACCACAAATGTAATATATCTACTTTTATATTTATTTCCAACACTGTAGAAAGGGTTAACGACCCCGTGTATTCACACGTATTGTACTGAATACCCATATACTGACGAATGATTGAAGGGAAGTGACGTCACGAATACATATGGCGTTTGATATGTGACATCGGTAAACACGGAGCCCTGAGAATGTAGATGTTTACCTGGTTTTCTGCTATAAACAACATTTTACTGAGTGCAGTCTAACCAGGAACTATGGGGAGTCATATACTCATTGTGTTCTTGTGGGTGTTACCTTTGGCAATGACTATGACTACATTGGTAAGTTTATTTCACAAATTAACGAAGTTACTTTTAAAACTTGGCACTGCAATGATTAGGTATTATGTTATGGCACATTTCTTCATGTATAAACTTATGTTCTATTCTAATATTTTTGAAAAAATATCCAATCATAATTCTAGAATCATGAAATAAGTAATATATTGTGTTTGCTTCAAAGTTGTTGAATTGTTACCTTGACGTTCATGTTAGTCAATGTAAAGTGTTTGGAATGGAATAACTACTTTATAGGACACCATGTGGTTTCTAGTTTGTCATTAACACCTTCGCTATGTGGCCTTCTTGGCTGTCAGATACCGAGGTAAGCTGGAAACATTTCAAGAAATAATACTCGCCGGCTTCATACACTTGGAACGCATAGCTACAATAACCGCATTTTTTACTTGAAACATTCTACCGCAACCTCCGAAATTCAACCAACTGATTAATTTATTAATGGTTTGATATCATATCGATTTGAAGGAACACTCATTAAATGAAATAACTAGAACTGTGACAGACATTGGACTGACATTAGAGGTGAGGTGAGATGGAATGGGGTTTAACGTCGCGTCCAAGATTATTGCACTTATATAGCGACGTGCATGCACGTGTGTGTGTTTGTGTGGCTGCTTGTACTAGTCCGGACTCCGGCCGATTTATAGTGCTAGCGTTGAGATACCATACCGCACTTTAACATGAATACCCCACTCAGACACAGCATGCTGACTCCCAGCCGACCAGTCCTTGTTTTAGCCCCTTAATGCCGAGTGCCAGACAGGGTAACAATAAGTACCATCTTTTAACGTCTTTTGGTATGACGCGGCCGGGGATCGTACCCCGGACCTCCCGCTTTCGGGCGGACGCTCTACCACTAGACCACGGAGGCGGTCGACTGACATTAGAAGGAGTATTTATTTATCAAACTAGTAACCTTATGGTATTTAATGACACTTTTATGTCAGATATACACACTTACCTAACATAAACGACTGAAATGCTTCCAAACATATATCTAGCTAATTTTCCAATGGACAAGGAGGTAAGCTAAATAATTTACAAACGACTGATCTTGAGAGAATTTCAGTGACAGAATAATGGCCCAACCTTAGTACATAATAACATTCCTGTTGACAGTAATGAAGACATTTTCATATTAGAGAATGATAAATTAAATGGTTTTATGATAGAACTTAATTATATAACAGCTAAGGATTTGAACATATTTGTAGAATCCATTTAGTCATACGGTGGACATTTCGAAAGACTGAATTACGGTAACTATGCTGGTTTGGGGCTGTATGTCATAGCATGATGATAGCGCATTAGTCAAGACAGATGAGTAGAGGTGTTACAATAAACGTTCTAATTGTATGTATTTTAATGTTCCTCCTTGTACACTAACTGTGTTTTTTATTAATAATCATTGATTTTGTACTTTCACCTGATATCTGTGGACTTCAAATTCAAACAATTTATGGGATTGTGTGATTCTAATTGTGCATTTTAAGAGCATTTCAAAACGACAAAACTATGTCACCAGGAACTTTCATTAATAAATATGAGGTGAAGCTGTTTCTTTCCTCTTGAGTGAGTGAGTGAGTATGGTTTTACGCCGCTTTTGGCAATATTCCAGCAACATCACGGCGGGGGACACCAGAAATGGGCTTCACACATTGTACCCATGTCGGGAATCGAACCTGGGTCTTCAGCGTGACGAGCGAAAGCTTTAACCACTAGGCTACCCGACCGCCCCTTTTCCTCTTGAAGAGAAACGCCGAATGCTAGAATGCAAACATGAGCATGCTATTTGTAATAGCTGTCCACACAAGATGTAAATGTTTCGTTCAGTTTTGTGCACCTCGTCTGACTACGTGTATTTGTTTTCTCAAGAAAATCCAAAATCAGCCCCTTGTGAGCCGGAACCTGTACGAACAGGAGCCGACTGAGTTCGAGCTGGAGTGCATTACATGTACCGGCGGCTCCGGTGGACCCTACTCCATCTCTCGGAAGTCTGTCACACCATCCAACGACGCCTGTAGCAACTGTTTCCAAGTATATGACAACATCAACGGCCAGCCACTAAGTAACATTTTCTTGTTTCACTCCGCTCTCTCGCTACTTATGTTTCCATTTCATCATCTTAGTTTACCTTACGTCTTTCCAAGCATTCCATAACTTCAACACCCGACACTACTCCACCTCTGTTCACTCCACACCACAACACATTCCGGTGACCTACACAATGACCAGCGACCCACCTTCCGACCTGTTTGAGATCGAATCAAGTAAATTCATTGTTTCTATTGAAAATAGCATTCCATAACTTCACCACCCGACACTACTCCACCTCCTCACTCCACACCACACCACATCCCGGTGACCTACACCATGACCAGCGACCCACCTTCCGACCTGTTTGAGATCGAATCAAGTAAATTCATTGTTTCTATTGAAAATAGCATTCCATAACTTCACCACCCGACACTACCCCACCTCTGTTCACTCCACACCACAACACATCTCGTCACGTGTGTCTGGACGTTGTGAGACATTGTGAGATTGTATATCCACAACCTATAGCCATGAAGCAAACTGCATAAATATGACACCTTCAAATTTCTCGTTGTAAATGTCCATGAGGGTAAATGATATTCTTAACTGAGCGGCATACATAAGGAAGAAAAGCTTTAAATTCTATGAATCTATATAGATACAGGAATATAATAGGCGCATGTCTGGTAATTACTTCGGCAAGCATTAAACTAAAACTGTACATGTGATGTCCTCAGATGCCTTCTGTCTGTACTTCCTCCCGAGCCAGGGAACGCTGAGCTACCAAAGACAACGTCGATACACTGTCACGGTCGAGTGTCTGGACTCAGTGGGTGACAGAGTGGAGGCTGATATCGATGTCAGGATCCGGACAAATGAACCTCCCTTTTTTAACACATTTGGAATATTCTCTGGTAAGTGTAGATGAGGGTGTAGATGGATGTTCGGAAAATTAGTCGGTTCGGCAACCCATGCTTGTCGTAAGAGGCGACTAACGGGATTGGTGGCCAGGCTTGCTGATTTCGTTGATGCTTGTCATCGTATCCCAATTGTATATATCGATGCTCGATCATGGTGTTAATCACCTCTGTGTTCCAGACTCGAATATTTACAAACCGCCGTCACATAGGTGGAATATTTTGTCAAACAACAAACTATCCATCAATCTGAGACATAGTGGGTCCCAATACAATAGCATAGCTCCACTCTTCATGATATGTTTTGAGTCTTTGACTGAAATTATATTCAGTTTAAAAAACCAACAACCTGACTGCCCTCACAAAGAAACAATTTGCCATTGGCATTACCACATCGCAATGGTTGGTACGTAGGCCATTTATTTTAAAGGACCGATCATTATTAAAATTATATTTTTGAGAGGGGTGGGGCGATACTTTTACAGACAAACGCTTTTTGTGTAGTATCTTTTGATATTCCCCTGACTTCTGTGATCCACATATTCCTCCGTCAACATATGTCCATTTTATTTTCATTTTTAATATAGTACTGAGAGAAATATGCACACACAATGAACTGTTGTCTTCATTCCAGGTACATGTAACATCGCAGCCCAGACTACCACGGCTGGACAGGTTATTGCAATTGGTCCGCCGTCCATCTGGAATCCTGGGGATCCGGACAATGACCCGGTGACCTACACAATGACCAGCGACCCACCTTCCGACCTGTTTGAGATCGAATCAAGTACATTCATTGTTTCTATTGAAAATACTCTCAAACTGTCGATAAAAGCGAAAATTACGATTACGACTATATCATAATCATATTAGTATGAATCATGTGATCATGAAATAGTGATAATACTAAGTGTTCGCGAAAAGGTTAGCATAACTGCCTCATCAGTGGCACAAACACATACAAAGGCAAATCAAACATTGTTCTGAAAAATACACGGAAACATGTGGTACACGTCAAAATAGAGAATTACATCGAACATAATTTTGGTCAGTGGTGAGTCAAATTTAGAAAGTGTCACTATGGTTTTGAATGTATTTAGCTAAATTAAGGAATACCACTGTGTCATCCTCAAGTCATTTTTGTTATGAACATGATTTGCATAGTCTTCTTGAAAAGGGTAGTGTGTATCCGACCAAACGTAAAGTTAATATTATGGACAATACTGCCTGCATGGAAATCCCAGGAGTGTAATTACTTTCAGACTTTGAAAAGGAGTTCGATTCATTAGAATGGGATTTCATTCAAGAAGCTTTGAATTTTTTTAGAATAATTTTGATATATTAGATAAGGTACCCAATTACAACTATGTGATATCCAAAAAATACGTTCAAGATGGATACTAGATCTTGCCTTTAACATGACTGAAAAAGATATAACGTGTCAAAACAAAAATGTTTAATTTCCAATACAGTATTATTCATAGAATTATACCACAAACCAGTTGCTGTAAAATGGGACATAAGGAATCATTTCTTTGCAATTTTTGCAAACGGCAACCTTGCAAAATGGATCAAAGTGAAACTGGAATAGAACTATATTCAGTAAACTTATTGTGTGTGGACTCCATAGATTAAATATCCGTAAGTCTACAAATAAATGTAAATTAATTAAACATCTAGCTATTGATATTTATCAAGCGATGTCACCTCGTAGTACATTATTGTCGGTACAATAAGATCAGTGGACATCACGCAGATTGCAATACAAATGTAGTCATGGACCGATGGCCTACACTTACGAAATACACTGAATTGAATACCCTCATCAGAACACTTTTATGCAAGAATGGTATGACGCTCTTTGAAAACTTCGCAAAAGGCGCATGCTTGTTTGTATGGAATATTGCTCGACATAAAGGGAAAAGTATACTATTCTTCAGGATAGTTTCTTGTCGCTTTGAAATTTGAAACAAGATTAGTGTATCTGATATAAATTAAATCGGAAATAAACACCACACACATGGTTCTCTAATGACCTCAGCTACTCCGGAAGTTTTGTCTGGAAAGAAATATGATGTAGAACATCCTCTGAATGACTACGTGTACGTGTTTCACGTGTTTTGTTTGGTGTTTCAGCAACAGGCACTATTCGAGCAACACGAGAGCTGAAGACGTTCTGTAACCCATCTATTTCCTTCACAATCAACGCACGAGATACCGACGGAAATGCTATCGGGCCGTTCGTTGCGACCTGCAATGTAATCAGTAAGTTCTCGTATAACAGTACTGACACAACTACCGTTAACATGTAACTCCCATGATGTGTCCGGTGATCATTCTAAACGTGTACTGGTTCCACTACGGATTTCTGAACCGTCATGAGATATCACTGTTATATAATTTCCATATTGAACAGTGCTTGTGATGAAGTCTTTGATTGGCAGTTAGAAGTTGGAAGTACATAAAGAGAACATTTTGTTTAATCCTATTAAAGAAGTAACGATGCAAAACGGTATTTCAGTGTGTGTTTTTCATGTATGTGTTACTTCAGTGATTGCAATACTAACGAATGCTGCATGTACGTTCCCAAAAAACGAATGCGTCAATTTATACATTGTTACGTCCCTCTTGTCATCATTATAACGCGGTATAGCTCTTCTGTACTAAGTTCTCAGACAGGATGTGAAGCAATACATCTGGTTCTGCATCTTACCTCTCCAGATCCAAACACGCCTCCCACCATATCTAACGTCAACAAGGAGATCAGCCTGAGCGAGGACACGCTGGTGGGGTCGGCTATAGTTCTTCCCTACCTACGTACAACACCACTCACACCAATAGTCACGTATGACTTCGACACGTTTCCTACGAGTGCTCGCAGTTTTATCAACATTACAAGTAAGAATATCCTTGGCCAACTACAATGTACAGTCACGTGTAATTATTTGTATTTAAAGAGGAAAATCAAAGTAAAGTGATTAATAAAAATATACGCGACATTTCGTTGGTCCGGATCCTTTAGTTTTAACGGCATATTCGGGACTATAACATGAGGAACGCCTATATGCATACACCTGTAAAAATATTACACAACATCCCTTCTTTTTCGTTAAGTATCAAGAACTCCCTTGTGTGTTTTGGTAATATGCACAGTGTTAATAGTGTTATTACAGTGTTGTTATATTTATAGATACCACATATACATGGTGAAAAGTTAGTATACATTCTGAAGAATGTTTGTCTATATGGTCGCATGTCGTGAGAGGCTTTTTTGTTTGTTTGTTGTTTAATACCCCACTGAGCAATATTCCAGCTATATGACTTTGGTCTGTAAATAATCGAGTCTGGACCAGACAATGCAGTGATTGACATCATGAGCATCGATCCACGCAATTGGGATACGATGACATGCAACCAATCAACCAATTCAACGAGCCTGACCACCCGATCCCGTTGCCTCTCGCGACAAGCTTTCTCGCCTTTTATGGCAAGCATGGGTTGCTGAAGACCTATTCTACCCCGGATATTCACGGTTCGATGCAAAGAAGCAACCGCCGTCATGTAGCTGAAATATTGCTGAGTGCGGCGTTAAACAACAACCAAATAAACAAAGAAGCAATATGAAGGCTTGTCAAATGGATAATGCCATGGATCAGTTACGAAACATGCCACTTGTAATCAATTACTGTTTCTTTATTTCAATATTAAACTGTCACTTTAACTGTAAACCAAAAAATATGGAAATTACTGGCTTTTTTCCATGGAATATATATGACATGGTGCTGAACATTCCTCCCAGATGTACGGAGACAAACAGCATTACTCTATCACAATGATTCGTCATGCTGCTGATGTACATTGATATTAGCCAAATGTGGAACTTTCATGGTTCAATAAATTCTATCAAATACGAAAGATGTCGCTCTTTTCGCTCTTGCCTAACAATTTCATATGTTACAGATACACGGGGTTTGGACAGCCTTATTTTACAAAGGAAGTTGGACTTTGAATCCCCAACTACTCAGAACTTCAACATCTCGATTCGTCCTCAGAACGGCTTCTGCGAACCTATTGAACACTTCCTCTTTATCCGAACCACTGACGCCAACGACCCCCCGGTCCTGCTTCCCAAGAATGTCAGCAAGACTGTTAACGAAGGCGGGGTAGGGCACAAAGCATAAAAACGCTAAATACCCACCAGTGCTGCTTTTCTAAATTGATCTTTAATATTCGTAATACTGATACCAGCATCTACTACGTGCCATTGGCCCGTTGGGCAGAATTACCTCGCTTAATCCAGGATCCTCTTATCGTTGGTTAGAATTCTAGATTCACCCATTTAGATTTTTAGTTTGTCAGCATCCTTATGCTCGCAGTAATGCACCACTTCAGGAATTCCCCACACATTCAACTGATACGCTGAGATATAACTGAATACTTTACAGTGGCGTTGGACACGATTCCCGACTCGTCCAGGTACCTGCAGTTAAAGACTCGTGAAGATTCCGGGGTAGAATAGGTCTTCAGCAACCCATGCTTGCCGTAAAAGGTGACTATGCTTGTCGTAAGGGGCGACTAACGGGATCGGGTGGTCAGGCTCGCTGACTTGGTTGATGCATGTCATCGATCCCAATTGCGTGGATCGATTGTCATGATATCAATTCCTGGATTGCCTGGTCCAGACTCGATTATTTACAGACCCCCGTCATATCGCTGGAATATTGCTGCTGAGTGCGGCGTTAAACAACAAACCAACATGCAGTTAAATACAATATTGAATCAGTGAACGTTAGTAAGGTAAAGTCGTAGCATAGTGGCTACTTATACATAATGGAAGGGTGGGTGTATGGCTTGGCTTGAGGAAGTTACAAAACATTTATTTTTGCACACCATAAAATATAATGTGTTTCATAATCTTTTCCAGAGAACATTAAAAAATTTCATACAGACCTTGAATTGATTTGATATTTATCATACATTCATTTACCCTTCTACATGTATACCAAACAGATATTTATTAATTTAATTATTCTGGAAAAAGTTTAATCAGTTGGTAATTGTGAAATGGAAACGTTGTTTATACTATTGTTTCCCCTGTCCGTGTAAGGTGCTGATCGACCCGGGCTGGCTGCTGACAGAGGAGGACTTTGGCGACACCGACATCTACTCCATCATCGGGGGCAACGAAGAGGGGTTGTGGTCAATTGACCCTTCCACCGGGTTCATCACATCCACTGGTATCATTGACCTTGACCCTAGCACGAGGGAGAAGAACTGGACCTTACTGGTGCAGGTAGAGGACCGAGCTGGGAGTACAGACAACGCCACCATCAACATCGTCGTGGAGGACATCAACGACAACGCACCAACTTTCACAATGGCCGTGTTTTCGTAAGTACAGTGTCTAAAGCTGTGTGACTGCCGCAATATACATGACTATTTGAAGTTCTGAACATTGGGTTTACCATCACAATAATGTGAGAAACTGAAAAGAATACTTGAAATGAAACGAAATTATGTTCACTTGTAATATTTAAGTATGTTTACTGCCGTAAATCACTGATGGGGGCTTTCGAAAAATGAAAATTAGGTTGTTGAGAAAGTACATTTGGAGTACGTCCCGATCTAATGACGCCAAGACAGATGGCTGTCACGTGTTCTGAGTTTTGGAAGTGATGAAATTTTTGCATCATCTATAGGAAACCGTTACGGTAACCGATACTTGTGGGCGACCACAATACGTTCATTGGTAGTCAGTAAGACAAACTGCTTAGTTGATATGAAATGAAACGTTTAAAACAAATTGTTGATGTTGGTCATATGAGTAGCAAGTATTCTTGAGGATACTGTGCATGCAGACCAATATTTTTCAGCAATTGTCAGAAAAAGTGTGACAATGATATATATGTACATATTAGGGTTACTAGTTTCACGTATATGTAAGAGCTGTAATATCTGTCTATATTGTCACACGTAAAGAGTTACATGCATATCATTGACCTTTTCAAGATGACACAATGGTCAGTATTAACAACATATGCCCAATTCAGCGTAATGGTGCTTTAAGACATTCTTCGTGCAGACGGCCTGTTGCTGCTTAAACCAGACTATGTGTAGCATTAGTAATACATTCTGTCCGTAGCATATCATGGCATCGTTTTCGGTTCCTATTTATATATGGGCCTCTGGCCTTCATATCGAATAAACTATTGATTGATTGAAGTAACACTGTTGTCAGTATTGGGAAGTAAAAAGACTGTAAAAAGTCACAGGATAATATAATCAGGCTCTCTAAAATTAAACCCTAGTTAACTTGAACTGAAAAGATTTCATATTGTCTAAAAATATGGATAATTCATTTTATTTTCGATGATCTTTGTGACTATTAGGTCACAAAATTCCCAGGAATACTGGTGGCCCATTGGTCAGAAACCTGTGATCATGGGTTCGAATCACCCATGTTATAGTTCTAGGTTTGTCAGCACCATACCCATGCTCAGAGTTTCACCAAAGTGGTCTTCGACCTTCATCACCTGGGACGTTATTCCTGCATTAAGATGAATTACCCGATTTAACTGAAATATTGTTAAAAGCGGCGCTAAACAAACTCACTAACTCTCTCATAAAGATTCCCAATATCCATAAAACTATGAATATCGATATTATGAAGTTACGTTAATAGATGTTATGTTACACTATATTAAAAGACAAAAGACGTTAATAGTCAAGGCCGCAGTCAAAAGGAACGATACATCTATTCACAATACAGACTCGATTTAATATATAAAATGACGGGCAAAAGAAAGTATACACTTCGAACTTCAATTACAAACGTTTACCAAACGTTAATAGACTGAAAACAGTTGCTGAAATACTGCAAGCTTAGGTCCAAAACACGCCTATAATATCTGTATCAAAAACATCGGCAGTGTATTTTAAAAGACCAAGAAGCTTCCTTGTCCCTCCGAATCCTTATGATCTACTATCGATACTCTGGCTGTGTCGACCTACCGTTAGCGCAACATTTTGTCAATTGTCTAAATGAACTTTGGAGTTTCGAGAACTTACATTTAATTGTCATATTGTTGAGATAATGTGTGTATTAACGTAACCCTCCCTTGTCTAACAGTGTCACTTTGATGGACTGTGACACACCCAGGAATCTTGGAACTATCCTGATGGCCACAGACTTGGACTCAGACTACAGGAACAATAATGTCTTCCATTTCACAGAGGTTGAAAATGGTTTTATCAAAATCTTCAACGATGGTACCGCTCTGATTAAAGCCGTTCCGCCGCTAGGCACCACGAGCACACTGAGCACACGAGTGACGGACCTGGGAGAGGTACCGGGACCCTTGACTTCCACCACCACGGGCAACGTGATTGTGACAACTGTAGCTTGTACCACGGTGATTCCAACCACAGTTGTTGTCAATACAGTCGCCGCTGCTACGGTGGATGCGAATGCAAATGCAAATGCAAACGCAAATGCAAACGCTAACGCCGTTGCCGGTCTCAACAGCCTTATCACTGTTGCGGGGTCTGGAGCAAATTCGGCGGGCACAGGGTTCGGTGACATATTCCTGTGGGCATTAGCTGGTCTCCTTGGGTTGTTGCTGTTGGCCGCGCTAGCCTACATGATCTACAGATTCTGCGCCAAGCCGTGCACAGGCTCCAGTTCCTGGTCGGAGGGTTGTGGCTGTAACAGGTTCGTGCTTTGAGCATATTCTATGTTGATATTGTAATTATGAGATTGACTACCATTTGATTTGGCTGTGATTTTGGGTTTCTGTCAAGTTTAAATTGACGGCTTTTGTTTCCTCTGACCTTCAACTGAGGTTTACTTGACATAATTATGTATTAATGGTTTAACTTGGCTAGATCAATTCATTTACTGATAAGGCACTCACGAAACCTGAATCGTTTAAATAAATGTAAACACGGATGTTAAAATATCGATATAAATTATAATTTTCAAGAGCAGATTTCCTAATTAATGTCTATGTGATATGTGCGTTTGTTATAATTCAGTTGAAGTACTAAAAAATAGTAAAAAGTAGTATTTGCGTCATCCTTTTCTAATTTGATGAAATGATATAGATACATATCTACATACGAAATCTGATAAAATTATGAAATAAACTAGTTTTTATATGTCAACTATAACCTCCTAAGGAAGCGTTACAAACTAACACACTAACTGATTTCTCTTGTTCTTGGCAGAGCGGCGACTCCAAAGCACATCCGACCTTTCTCCCAAGAGTATGTATGACCTGCAGCTGACCTGCAACTTGCATCCAGCGTGTTTCATAGTTGTGTGTCAAATAGAGGTCTACTATATAATCGTCATCAGTTTTAATCATCACTTTAAGAGCCTCAAAATGTGCATGATTGTATTTCTTATATTAATTTTCATTTTTTGGTCCTTATTTTAGGAGAGCATATTCGAGACAGAAGGAGGAATTTAAAACTGCATCAAAGGGTAAGACTTCTTGAATCACTTAAAGGTAATTCTAAACCCATGAAGGTGAAGCATTTTCTTCATTGTTCACCATATGAGTTTATTTTGTATCAAGGAATTCTCTACCTCCTGATAACGATATGTGCCTGGTTCTAACGAGTGTTGATGCAATGGTTGTCGATAATGGAAAATTGTTAAATAGAAAGGAACCAATTATTTCTTCATACAGAAATTGAGGAGGAGGAGGAAGAAGAAATTATTCAAACAGCAGTGGTTCCGGCACCAGTGACCTATGGAAACTCGATTGTGCCACAAGCTAAAGTCAACCGCTACCTTCGTGTACGAAGACTGATTCCTTTAAAGCAAAATGTCAAGATAAAACAAGTGATTCCTATTCCGCCGAACCAAGCTGTTCCCTTCAGACAGAACCCACAAGGCCCAGTTTCTCTGCTGTCAACATACCAGAACGCTCCTACAGGCGCAGTCCTCCCCACGGGGACCAACACTAAGCCCGTACAGGGCGGGGTCAACTAGTGAGTGGATATAGTGTACATTTCATACCAATTTGTTGAGTGTCGTGTTTTATCTGTTGATGGTGAAGTGTGATCATATCTATTCGAAGAAGACGCGCCGTTAATCTACCTCCTCAGTCTGTGTCCAAAGTACATTATAATATATGACACTGGTAAATATATTCATGAAGAGCTCGTTAATCCGAGAGGTTCCGTTTCCAATGAACTCATCAATTTGAAATGTCAGGATCAACGAATCATAGACTGTATGGATAAAGAAAGTATACACTTGAAAATTGGATTTTTTTACGAAAAAAATACAAACGTTATAAACACGTTACTGTTCTGAAACACTGCAAAATTTAGGTCCAAATTAAACACAGCTGTGATACCCATTTTTAGCTACCATGAAACACCGGTGTATACTTTCTTTTGCCAGGCAGTTAATTTATGGAGTAATGTCCTTAACTTTATTTATGGAGTAATGTCCTTCAGTTTATTTATGGAGTAATGTCCTTCAGTTTATTTACGGAGTAATGTCCTTCAGTTTATTTATGGAGTAATGTCCTTCAGTTAATTTATGGAGTAATGTCCTTGAGTTTATTTATGGAGTAATGTCCTACAGTTTATTTATGGAGTAATGTCCTTCAGTTAATTTATGGAGTAATGTCCTTCATTTTATTTATGGAGTAATGTCCTTCAGTTTATTTTCGGAGTAATGTCCTTCAGTTTATTTATGGAGTAATGTCCTTCAGTTTATTTATGGAGTAATGTCCTTCAGTTTATTTATGGAGTAATGTCCTTCAGTTTATTTATGGAGTAATGTCCTTCAGTTTATTTATGGAGGAAAACAAATGTTGACGTTCCTTACAAAAGTTGTCACAATTGCTTTTACCTAATGCGTTCAGGCCTCACGTGGCTTCACTGAACACTTTTTTGCACTATTTAGTCAATATCCTGTCGTGCCGGTACGATGAGGTTCCCCTGATTCACTATCATACTTCGCGTGGGGGTACGTAAACATCCAATGTACGACCAGTGGTTCTATCTCCCTTTTCCTATAAATAAGTGGCCTGGAACGTCGCGATTTGTTTGTAGAGGCGTTCCTTATCTTTTCAGGATCTGATGTTTGTTTGTTCCACTCTCAGATTCTCCCAACTATGATCCTCGGTTTGTTAATAGAATATGGTTTCGCCAAAGTGTAAACATTGTTTGACCTACGTTCAGTTGAGCTTTCATCCCACATTGACCTTATACGACCTACTGATATGCTGTTCGGAGAGGGACTAAATCCAACTCGCTCACTTCCTGTCACTTACATGTTATTTCTCAATTCATCACAACCCGTGAAGATCCGTGGTAGAATAGGTCTTCAGCAACCCATGCTTGCCATAAAAAGCGACTATGCTTGTCGTAAGAGGCGACAAACGGGATCGGATGGTCAGGCTCGCTGACTTGGTTGATGAATGTCATCAATCCCAATTGCGTGGATCGATGCTCATGATGTCACTCACTGGATTGTCTGGTTCAGACTCGATTATTTACAGACCGCCATCATGTAGCTGGAATATTGCTGAGTGCGGCATTAAACAACAACCCAACCAACCATTCATCACAAGAGTCGAACTCTCTGAAGTATTAGTTTTGACTGTAACCTGAGTAAATAATTCCCCCCCCAGGATTTTGATGTTTAATTATTACTGTTGTTTCAGAGCCTACAACTGAAGACGATGCAGCCGAACAGGACGATGGGGTCGGAGATCCTGAAAGTATGACTGTACACAACGCAGCATTGATGAGTCCGAGACAATTTGCTCGTCTGTATCCTGCATCTCCCTGCCAGATGGGTTAATGCCAGCTCTCTACTAGCGCCTTTACAACTATCGTCAGTCAACCTTACGATGCACGTGATGCACATGTGCATACAACCAGTTTTTATGGATTGGGTGGAGAGGAGGGTAATCACATGTCCTCTGCGGATAGTCACCGTTAGCATTGTGCAGTGACCGTCAAATCCTTTAATTCTCCACATGTACTGACTGCGTGTATTGTGCTGTGACAGTCAAGTCCTATATGTCCCTACACAACAGTCAAGTCATTTAATTCCCTTTCACATTGTGACTGCATGTGTTGTGCTGTGACAGTCAAGTCCTTTATTTCCCTACGCGTAGTGACTGCGTGTATTGTGCTGTGACAGTCAAGTCCTATATGTCCCTTCACAACAGTCAAGTCATTTAATTCCCTTTCACATTGTGACTGCATGTGTTGTGCTGTGACAATCAAGTCCTTTATTTCCCTACGCGTAGTGACTGCGTGTATTGTGCTGTGACAGTCAAGTTCTATATGTCCCTTCACAACAGTCAAATCCTTTAATTCCCTTTCACATTGTGACTGCATATGTTGTGCTGTGACAATCAAGTCCTTTATTTCCCTACGCGTAGTGACTGTGTGTATTTTGCTATGACCGTCAAGTCCTATATGTCTACATAGATTGTGATCTTGCACATCATACTCCTTCTGTTGAGCCATTTCTCTCTATTACTGCTCGGTCTAGCATAAATTGTCAGAGGTGTGTACTTCTTCGTGCTGTTAATATTTTAAATTATAGTTTCACAACTATGGATGACTTATAAGTGTCTGTGATATAAAATATGATATTATTTCCCGTTTGTACATAATAAACTTGATTTGAATTATGGCATTATGTTTTTACAATGATCGTTTATCCGATAGTAGACAGTAGACTGTATGAGAATCTGTACTTTTCAAAGAAAGTATTATCCCAAATATAACATTTGTTACAGTAGATTTTCAATAATGGCGAAAGGATCTTGGATGTTGTTTATATGCCTCCATGTCAGTTAAGAAGTGTTAATGTCCAGAGACGTGTTCCTATACCATGCTACATTCATGTTTGAGAGAACTACATGTGTGTACAATCGCGGGTCTACAGCACAAACGCACTTCAGTTCGAGTGTAGCTGTGGTTGAGATCATGAGTTTGATGTCTCTGTTTCAAGCAACAGCATCATGGAGGTAGAACGTATATACGAGGAATACTTCTTCCTCAATCCTGGTCGATTGACAGTGTCAACAGTGATAGAAGCACACTTGGATTACCAGTTAAAAAACTAATTTGCTGTTCTAATTATTATAGACTACGTCTACTTTATAACGGCAATACATGTACATTTAGAGCTGTATGTTGTAAATGTTGACAAACTAAAGCTCTGTACCTGTATATACACGATCGTACTGTTGTTTACAGTTTGTTTCGCATGCCAAAGGTCGTGTTAATGTAATCATAAAGCGTTAAGAAACTATGCATTGTCTCAACAAGTGTTATGAATGCTAAAACACCTTTACGTTGTTATCCAAAAGCATTAACACATTTCCAGAGATCACCCTAGTGTATTCCAGTCAATAAGGGGTCATCAAGGTATATGATCTCACTTAATTATTTATGTATTTCCACCACAAGTAACCACAAGGCTACTCAACCGGCCCTCAAATCGCAATAACTACCTCTGAATGAAACAGCCGATTTGAGAATAAATTTTGTCATTGTCGGTAGGCATTTTAAAATAATCATATTTACAATTATTGATTGTAAAATGTATAGTTGCGATGCCTACACTTTTCAAAGAATGTTGAAATGCATTGTTTGCAGAAACACGACAGAAATCGAGAGTGTATTAAAAGCTTTGGGGACATCTGGAAAACTTACACTTTTTTAACCGACTGTGACGTCATAATTTTTTGCGTCACAAATGTGGTTCCCCTGTTGTTTCATAATAGTGCAGAACTAAACCTTGCAAAGATTTCTTACTATTCTGCAGTGGTACCCATGCTGTCTTTCGAACTCTGTGCTCTGTGTTCTATACTTGCCATCTATGCGAGTATATTGACTTAATAAAACTCTTCACGCACATAAAGCGCCATTAGTTGTTTAAAGACTATTATCGGTGTTTCCAGAATTGAAATCGACAACCCTTTCAAAACAATGAACTAAACCATTAAACCATTACTCTATTTTAGATGTAACCGACTGCTTTGACCAAATATTTGAAACTTCACGCTGTGCGTGCGTTTTCGGTTCTAATTTCAATTTACATCTGAGGTAACTTGACTCTAAATTGAAAACACTGTACGTGTCCCAATTCTTCTAAATCTGAACAAAGAGACATTACCACCGTTGATTTCTGGAATGAGGCGTGCATTGAACACTGACCTCTATGAAGATATGGTTTAAAAGCCCAGGGTGCCGTTGTCCAAAGGGATCTTAGCGCTAAGGTGATCCCAACTCACATAACTTAACATAGACGCTAGGGTTGTTTTGAACAACGGCACCCTGAGAAGAATCTCAGTCCAAACTGAACGGAAGCAACACAGACATAGCGAACTATACTCGCAAAGCGTAATGATCGTAAACTTAAATGACACTGGTGAATGTCCTACGGGAGCAGTTGTGATTGACGATGGAAGTGACAACACAGTTCGTCTCAGTATGATTCTACCACAGAACTGGAAACAGTTTTACAGAGTGTGGCAAGCATATTGGTTAATTTGATGGATGTACAAATGTTTCATTGGACTCTCTGCGAGGGGATGAAATGCCAGTTACGCACTGCAGATAACAGGAAACGCAACTCACAGTGCATGGAAGAGTTGATCTTCAGCGTGAATGCCCACAAGGGTAGATGGTAACGATACACTCTAAGGAACGAGTGGCGGTCGGGTAGCCTAGTGGTTAAAGCGTTCGCTCGTCACACCGAAGAACCGGGTTCGATTTCCGACATTGGTACAATGTGTGAAGCCCATTTCTAGTCTCCCCCGCCGTGATATTGCTGGAATATTGCTAAAAGCGGCGTAAAGTTATACTAACTAACTCACTCAATCAGGAACGAAGCAAATTACCCTGAGCTAAATCAGTACGACAAGCTGTCATATGTGATCTATGGTCTGTTGTCTATGTTCAAGAAAAATCTAGATGCAGAAATAGTATTGAGACACCGAGAAATTGCTTCTGTGTATAGAGATAATTATCAAATGCAAGTCTTAGATTGATATGTATTGATAACATTTGAGTTAACAAAATAGGTTTCGAATGACTTGAAACAACTAAGTATTCCGAGACAAAGACATTTAGCTGCAACAAAGAAGCAGTCGTGCTACAGGTTAAAGCGTTGTATGATGATACACACTCTCTGCCATTGCTTCGTTGGCAAGGGAGAATAAATGAAGCAATTTATTATACTGACGGTTTTCATTTCACATGATTGATTTGTATTTGTAGACCACACATTTGTTTAATAAAAACAAACCATTTGTTTTTTATATTACTAACATAACATAATCATAGATAATTATAGAGACCATTAAAAGATATGTTGTTATTATCAGTTTAAAGGGACATGTCATTGTCAATGTTGGGGTAAGAGTATCAGACGGAGTTTATCATTCTGTACTATGCTTATTTTTTGTTTAACTCCTTCGGATTCCAAGCTAACCCAAGCCAAGCGGAGTGGTGGTCTAGCTCGGTGACTTGGCTGGCTCATTTCGTGTCTCCATGCCATGATGGCGTGGACCACTGATCACAATTTCAGTCACTGGTTTGTCTGAAGACCCAAGTCTGGTCCTGACTCGAGATACAGGTTGTCGTTATACAGCTGGAATAACTTTGACAGTGGCGTTATTTACAATTCATTTATTCACTCACTCACACGTTTAAGACACGTCTGTTTACAAGCGTCTTTAAACTCGTGCGAAGACATCAACATGTGGCAATGTGCCTCCACAAAAGAACTTTCAATACACTGTCAATCGGTATAAGTCCCTTTCAACCACTTATCTATTGAACACGTTGCAGATACTGAAAGATGACGTACACATACAGACAACGAAATGTATACACGCCACTTGGCTTTCATATATTCAGTCAGAGTGACCTGTTTGTATATATATGAATTGCCATTGTACCTTTCGTGCACTTGGGCAGATGAAAGAAATAGTCTGGCGATAGTTCAGGAAGATTAGCGATCGTATGACTTACTGCCCGCAATACTAATACTGGTAGTTACCATTGTAACGACATCATCAAGGAATTTAGAGATGTCAGTTATATGACAGCGTCAACACGGACCCATATGGAGGGCGTTGGACATGTTTTCGCAGTTTTCCTTCTTCTCTTGAAGAACCCAGCATCCTCTATACTGGTGAGTCTCCACCGTTCATTCTCTGGTTGCCGCTTCCCTTCAAAATTGTTATGCGTGTTGCCTGATCTTGGTTTGTTCCATCGTGATAATGTTGGTTAATTCCACTCACTCACTCACTCACTCTATTTGGGCTTTCTCCATAGCATCTTCCCGAGACAAGGGAGTTAACTGACTGTAAAAGTCCAGTTTCAACCCTTGCCGAACTAGGCTGCAATTATGGAGTTATAGTTTGGCTGGACTAACGTGTCTATGCATAGTCCAATCAAAATCGCGTAACGAAATAGACTTACGGTTTGTAAATATCATGGATTTAAACATGCAGATTTCGATCGACTCAGTCACAAAGTCGGATGTCCCATACACGTAGGTCGGTTGTCACAGAGAGTCAGATCAGCACATATATTCGCAGGAATAGTCACTGTAAGATCAAACTGTCGATAGGGATTTATATCAAACAATATTCTAGCTATGTCCCTTTCGTCAGAAGTGCTATTCTATAGAAAAGTGATCATGCAATTCTAGGTGTGACTCGTTCATCACAGAAGTGCGATTCTACAGACAATCTATCCTGTAATAGATAATAAACAAAAATATTACACCCAAACAAACATATAATCAAGAACTGTAGGTGGTTCAACCATTAAAACAAATTCCCATTCCGTTGGGATGGCGTACATGTAGCTATAGGTGAAGGTGAAGGTCAAGGCAACACATGGGTAAGGTCGAGGTCGTGGCTGTGAACATTATTAAGAAATTAGATGCTTCGATTCTCTCGATGAAACAATTATGGTATTTCGCAAAGACATAGTTGATACCACAGTGGATGGATTGGAGTACTTGTAATTTCAGCAATTCAAGACCTCCCTAACAGGAACTATCTTTGAGGGTTCCTCAACTCGTATCAATGTGGTGTGTCTGGGTTGTACAGAGGAGCCGGACGCGGGCAGGATCCTAACAGTAAGAAAAGAACAGATAACACCCCAGTTCCAGTGTGGGGGCTGTTTTGATATCTACACAAAACTTGACGGGTTGTCGGTCAACGGTAAGATGGTAGATGGTTTTGTTGTCTACATAAGGCCAAGCCAAATTGCAAAGAATTCTGTTAAACATGCCGTTAAACGATGTTTTTGGTGGCTTTCTATAAGTTTTGGTTATGTCCGGTATAGAGTCTGGTTATGTAAATGTTAAATTTAAAAAGCAACTTAAACATACATTTATGATGACAGTCATGTTTCTTATTTTTTTTGCTTACCCTCATGTATTCTTGAAATGAATAATGTTAGGAAAGAGATAACTGGATTATTGATATCTTTCACACCAGAAACCAATAATGGCCTATATTAGCAACTGTATGCCACATATTTGCTTATGATATTATATTACAGATTGGTGCATTTTCTATCTGCCGAGTCAAGGGAAACTTAACTACACGATGGTTCAAGAATACACGATGACCGCCTCCTGCACTAATGGTGTAGACACACCCATCACAACTAGTGTGTTACTCAAAGTGTCGACAAATGAACCGCCAAGGATTGACAGTCTACAACAAAGTAACATGTCATCTAAGTTATACCGTTCACAGTTAAATGGCTCAGATTTCCAAATTTCTGAATTTGCGAATCATTTGTGTGGAGAATTATCATTTGTATCACATTTGACGTTACCAACGCCATTCCTCCTTTAATCAGGCTTTCACGACTAACGGGATTTCACTGTACGTGGATATTATAGGATGCTCCATAAAACGTACTCAATTTTTTTATTAAACGATATATGGTGTTAGGGTCACTTAAATACCTATATTGGAATAGGCGCATTTCTTGCAGAAATTCATGGAGCTAAATAAAGACAATATATAAATAATGTTATCCGCCATTTCATTTTATATAAATTTACCAGGTGTTAATAATATGCAATGTGTTTTACAGCTTGTCCAACGCCAATAGACGCTAAGTTAACGAACGCTGGCGACACCATCTACAATACGCTCCATACAAGCATATCAGATCCGGATGGGGACATAACCTACTGTTCCATGACCACCATACCTCCCTCGACAAACGTTGAGATAGACCCTGGTATGTTCCGTCGTTGAGCCGTTTGCAAGGGACCGACCATTTGCTATTCTGGGGGGAGGGGAGGGGTTTGCCTGGGAACTGTGAGTCTAAAATATATTTTTGTTACAATCATCTTGCAACAATGTGTTTTTGGTGGCAGATAATTTCTATTTCTTTAGACAGCCTGAATCATAATTATTTTTTCATGCATTAGGATCGTGTATGTGACAGCAGGTGTACGGACATACACGTTACAACCGACTGGAAGAGACGAACCGTTCACACATTTACAATGGCCTTTAAACCAACTTCCTTGATAAAAATTTGGCTGTTCTGCTTTAACCATTGCATCAAATATTGGAAACAACATTACATTATGTATAATTGTTTATCAATATTCTTCTTACTATATTTCCCCAATGACTACAAGTCTGTGCTCACCGACGGTTAATGTTGTAAGCATGTACCATCATAGTTGTTGTCAGTGTTACTGTATTGGAATGTAGGTTGTCACTGCCATTGCCATTGTTGCTGCCATCTTCATCTGTTTCATTGCTGCATTCACAATCGTCACTGGTGTTGCAAGCTCCATCTGTTTCGTTGTTGCACTGAGTCTCCCTATTGTCAGTTTGTTGCAAACTTCATCTGTTTCATTGCTGCATTCACAATCGTCACTGATGTTGCAAGTTTCATCTGTTTCATTGTTATACTGAGCCTCACAATCGTCGGTTGTTGCAAACTTCATCTGTTTCATTGCTGCATTCACAATCGTCACTGATGTTGCAAGCTCCATCTGTTTAATTATTGTACTGAGTCTCCCTATCGTCATTAGGTTGCAAGCTCCATCTGTTTAATTATTGTACTGAGTCTCCCTATCGTCATTAGGTTGCAAGCTCCATCTGCTTCACCATTGTTGTCAGCATTATTGTCACTGATTTTGCAAAACGTATGTCTTATCGTTACTGTAGTTACCTGCATCATTCGGGCGAAGAAGAACCTGGAGATGGAATGTCATCCGTCCATAACCTTCCTGGTGTCAGTCAACGACGGCACTAACCCCAACGTGGGGCCTATATCGATCACGTGTGACATCACCAGTGCGTAGCTACAAGCCTTGACTGGGTCGAGATATGATATTAAAAGCCTTTGTTTCTACAGATGTAAAACAAGCAACATGTTCAAATGCTTAAACAGAGACACCATTGTAATAACACTAAAGATGCTAGACAAATGGATAGTGTACAGTCTACTACGTAAATGTCAAGTTAAGTCACATGAAGTTGGCCCTCGATGACTGCATTGTAAAAGTGATGCAAATCTATACAATAGTTGGAAGCAGCGTACTTTAGTCGTCTATTGTAAAACGTTGATACAAAAACATGATCACATGATCAAATAGATATAATTGTTTGACTCTGTACTTTATAGATTACCTCCCAGCACCGATTGATTCCAAATTGAACCGGTCAATATCCGTGAGAGAGGATCACCCAAAGGGAACTGTAATGTACACCTTTGATCCCCCAACAGTCAACCCTGCAGTCATATACGCCATCATTCACGTGACCCCTCCTCAAGCCCACAGCCTGTTTTCTGTTGAAAGTAAGTGTCTTGGCCTGCATAACACAAGCAGTAAGTGGTAACAGTGCTTACCAATTGGTTACAGTGCTTCCTTTAACTGTCGAGGCAGTGGGGTAGCCTTGTGGTTAAAGCGTTCGCTCGTCACGCCGAATGCCCGGGTTCGATTCCCCACATGGGTACAATGTGTGAAACCGATTTCTGGTGTCCCCCGTATTGATATTGCTAAAGCGGCATAAAACCATACTCAATCAGTCAATCCAGTAACTGTCAATTAACAATGAAAGCAGCATATGAAATATGTGTTTGAAGAATTTGCTAAAATTTCAAAATTCTAACCTCTTCTAATTAATATAAAACGTCAACGCCAGAAAATAACCAGTCTCGATTATCAACCGAAACAGATTCTATTGAGATAAAAGGCAAAACAGCTGTGAAAATTATATGAAAGGATTACTGCAAATGTTAATGTTAAGATGTTTTACAATTTGAATACGTAAAGTATGTCGAAATCTTTTCTTCATATCATAAAAGATATATTGGTTATTTTAGTTCCTACAGAATCATGCCATGATCTTGTAATGTTTTTTTTTTAAATTCTATTATGCAACTCAAACATCCACGAGAAAATAAGGTGATGAGATTCCATATTTTGTAGCACGCCACACCAGCTAAGTTCTGACGCTGTTCCCATAGGTTGTTACAAATAAATGCTGTATGGACAGGCCTTGTAAATCAATGGGAAACAAAATTAACTACAGAAATACATTTTTACGCGCTTCTATTCTCTAGATGGTCGATCATCTATAACCTTGAATGAAGAACTGGATTACGAAAACCCACTTTTTGCCGATATCTACCTCAACATATCCGCCGACAATGGCAACTGTGACTTGGTATACCAGTATCTAAACGTACGTCCCATTGAGGTCAACGAACCACCTGTTCTCAGCCCGAAAGTCTACTACCAGCAGGTCAACGAGGAATCGGTAAGAAAGACTTCAAGCTGAAATACAGATGCATAAGTCAGTTGATGAACTATACCAAAGGATTACTATCTTCTTGCTGCTCCCTGTTAAATTCTGCATCTTCCATTCGCCGAGGTCGACCCAAATCAGATTGTCAAACTATCAATCTAATTATCAAACTCTGGTAGCAGCCAATAGTTTACTTCGAAGAGATTAAGGATCACGAATGTCACTATGTGCTGCTATAACCTTTCTGGTAAAGGTAGTCCATTTTCGTGTAAAGTATCTTATTTCATTACTGATTGTGTTAACACGCCTCTATCAAGAGTCGGTTACGCAAGCACATTCTACATGCCATTTATTAATGAATGTCTGCCTATATATTCAGACAAATACAGTAAGAACATGAGCACTGAAAGAGACGCTACCTAGCAACTTAAATCATTTACGTCTATTTACTTATATACATATATACTTCATGAACAAACACGAATTTACTTTCACTTGGTGAGTTACACTTAGTGTCAGTTCAATGGAATATTTATTTTGAGGATGGGCCAAACTGCATGAACTTTGAGCTTGAAAGGGATATCATATAACTGTTTATACATATATCCCTGTTTGGTATCTCGAAGGATGTATGCACAATTTCCTTCGGAACAAGTGACAGCCACGCAACAATCAAATAGTTCCTCAAACGTTTGGTTACAACAAATAGAGAAACGTCTGTCAAAAGCGATTTTAGGGTAGTCATTGTTGATCAATTGGCCAAGGTGGTTTGAAAATGTGTTGAATATGTAACGGTGTTGAAGACTTAGTGAATTCCCATATTGCTGTAGAATGTAGTTGACTGACACTGTCAGTCTGGGTATATGTACGGATCAAGTCGATGATTTTCTTCGTGATGTTCACAAGGTTGCACGCAAATCAAATAAAATAGTCAAGATAAAAGTGTCCAAAATGATCCAAACAACGCTTTTGTATATATATTCGTGCAAGGGAATTCCAAATCTAGTAATGTGGAAATAGACAGGTAGTGTTTGCGTGTGAGTTTTATGTAGAAGGAATGCCCGCAGCAATGCAGGTCTCAGACGTTTACCACTTTTGGTGAAACCCAGGAGCACGGAGCTCGAGCATGGTGCTGACAAACCAAGAAATGTATTCGAGATTCGAACCCACGTTTGTAGGTTACTGGAGTGCCCAAGGGAGATAAATCTGCACGGTAAATTGCGGCTCCATTTTGTGAATGGGCTACCCGTGCCCCAAATATGTGTTAATGTAGATTATTTGCATAATGTCCATGAAAACACAATTTAAAGATTATTGTTCTCAACCATATCTGCACGGTAAATTGCGGCTCCATTTTGTGAATGGGCTACCCGTGCCCCAAATATGTGTTAATGTAGATTATTTGCATAATGTCCATGAAAACACAATTTAAAGATTATTGTTCTCAACCATAAATGGCCATACTGTTCCAATATATTTGTCCAGATCTACGTGAACCCTGTCTTCCTGTGCGAGGACGAGGATCGTGGAGACAGGTGCCAGTTCAGGATTGTGGGTGGGAATGACGAGGGCAGGTTCCAGATCAACCGCGACACGGGGGAAATAACTGCTCGCTACAACATCGACAACAACGTACGAGAATTAAATTGGACCCTCATCATAGAAGCAGTTGACCTTCAGGGTTTAACGGACAACGCCACCGTCAACCTGAACATCAGAGACATCAACGACAACAGACCCTATTTTACACATGGAGGGGGAATAGCGTGAGTATATCACAGTTAACGCTCAATAATGTAGCTGTTTGACCGTGCCCCTGTGTGGTGTGGAAACATACCGTAGTTTAGGTGTTTTTCCTGAATCGTTTCAATTACATAAGTGTAAAAAGGGACTGAAAATTCAATACTATAAACGATTTCATTGGATTTATCAAAAAGGACAAGATCGGGTTTGTTGACCTGGATAGGTCTGAGGATGTATACAGGCCTATTCCAAAGAATTTTGTAATATAATTTTCCATGACGCCCGCAACATATTCTGGGTCGTACCATGGATGGGCCTCTGTGTCAAAACGACAAGCATGGCCCCGACGGTAATACAAGGATCGAGACTATCCATCATGCCCCTTAAGATACTGTGTTTGTGCCAAACAATGTATGAGCATGTGTTCATGGATCGCTATCACATAGTGCTGATACCAGGTGTTTTCGTAAAGGTGAGCGTATCCTGCAACACAAGTCACAAACACATGCAGAGACAAGTCAGTTGGTACACGTCAAAATGAGGAACTGCATCGGGCATACTTTTTGTCAGTTTTTGTCCTCCACATGCCTACTATAAAACCGTTTCAAAGGTTTACTTAGGCCTTGGATGTTGTAATCCTGATCAAACAACTTTTTTGCAGTCGTATGAGGCTCATTACAGTCTTCCAAGAAAATAACATCATCAATTGTACCTCAAGGTTGTGAAGTGTAGACCCCATGGCAAGAGACACCAAACAGTTGTTTATTATGAAAACGTTTTTGATAAAGTTCATGTATCAAAACCATTTGCCATTCTATGTTTAGGTACACAGTGACTGAATGCACAGGCTTGGGGATACTCCCTGTCAGGTTTGCTGCATCAGATGATGACTCGGACTACAAAGGCAACAACATCATCACGTTTACCCCGGCTAGAAGCGACTGTATACAAATACACGCTGATGGTACGGTGCACCTCCTGAAGACGTTGCTGCAGCCCGAGAGTTGCGTCCTGTCCACTCGTGCTGTGGACCATGGGGAATACCCAGGACCGTTGACGTCACAAATCACTGCTACAGTCACTGTGACGTCATCAGATTGCCCTCCAACACCAGCACCTCCGACCACCGAGTATGTGACTGAAGCGACTACAGTCACAACTGAGCCGCCGACGACGACAAGCACTGCCGTCAATAACAATGGCCCAGTGTTGCACCTTTTAGGCGGACCTCTTGCTCTTCTTTTGTTTTACATGCTGTAGCATGTTGATTCTAACGTTAACATTCTGTGTTCAGGAATTGATTTATCGGCCACCACGAGAGCACCTTGTGTCATCCAAACTTTAACTGAATTATCTTTGATGTGTACTTATTCCAAATTGTCGCTTGCATTTTGTTTTGTTGAACCAATTTGTAATGAGCTGTGAATTGTTTGTAACAGAGCTCTCTAATGTTTCTGGTTGGTTGGTTGGTTGGTTTGTTGCCGCAATATTCCAGATACATGACGGCGTTCTGTAAATAATCGAATCTGGACCAGTAGTTAATACCTTAATCATCGATCCACGCAATTGGGATACGATGACATGCATCAACCAAGTCAGCGAGTTTGACCACCCGCTAATGTTTGTTACAGAGGTCTGATATGTACGTGACAGAGCACCGGTACCTTTGATTTGTGACAGAGCTGTATATATAGTCTGTTTGTGACAGAGCACTGATAAGTATATTACAGAGCTCCGGTATCTGTAATTTGTGACAGAGTTGAATGGTCTGTTTGTGACGGAGTTCCCATTCCTTGTGACAGAGCTTAGGTACCCTTGTAATAGAGCTATATGGTGACTTAATGACAGAGCACGATCATGTTTGTATCAGGGATAATGTCATGCTTTGATTTATTGTCGTGACCTTCAGACAGATAACGATGGATTCAGAAATCCTGAAAGTAGTACTGTATTACATATGACTGAAAAACACTACCTCTATCTTTTACCTTTTCCATGTTATGCACACCTATTTATTATTTGAACTTGTTTGCGTAGCCGATCCTACTTCAGTGTGTCGGGCTGTGTTGGGCTACCGCTATATGTGTCCGCTTCCAGTCTTTATTCACATCCCACTGAACTCTGTCACCGTGAGTATGATACTTGGTTTTACAACCATCAAACTTCTACGACCGGTGTTCAGATGACATGCCCTAGTATGACTGGAGTGCTCAGAACGTCTTACAAACCCAAAAACTGTACCCACTATCACCGTTACGTTTGTGTACCATGGTGATGGAGTCTGGACATGATACTTTTCAAATGAATAAAGAAGCTACAACTACCATCTCTATTCCTGTATCCAACACCGACACGAGAAGCACGCCCACGGATGCCATTCCATTCACTGTACTGATGACGTTACAATGGTTTATATGAAGGTTTGTTATTGTTTGTTCCAGCTATATGACGGCGTCTGTAAATAATCGAGTCTGGACGAGACAATCGTATTATGAAAGTTGGGCAGTTTGGACAATTCGTGATTAAAACGTTCGCTCCTCATGCTAAAGTCCCTAGTTCGAGTCCCGACATGGGTACCACTATGAAGTCCATATCTGATGTCACACGTCGTAATATTGCTGGCCTTTTTCTTAAATTAACATCATTCACATATATAACACTTAACATACAAAATTACAAAACTGTGCTTCGCTTCATGATGTTTTCAAGTCGTCTGTGATGGTAAACGACTTAGTGGAATGTGTCTGAAAGCAGGTAATGTTGACACAACAGAGACGTCCTCATACTGTTCCCGCAGTGTTGTGGCAGCACTTTGTGTCTGCAGGATCCTTTACGTCATAGCAATACGGTCGATGGCCACAAATGCCATTTCAATGTGTTCTTTAAATAGCGTCAATGCTTCTTAGGCTTGCCGGTGGTGGTGTAGTGTAATGGTTAAAGCGTTCGCTCTTCACCTCGGAGGTCCGGGTTCGATTATCCACATGGGTACACTGTAAGAAGCCAATTTCCCGTGCCCCAAACCCCCACCCATTTACCGCTGTGATATTGCTGTAATATTGCTAAAAGTGGCGAACTCATTCACACATTCTTTGGCTTACTATTTTCATCACTATTAACTAAATCTCATAATACTCAGGCCATATGTTCATTTAAAATACATAATAAAATTCAGTGATCTTTCTCCGTTGAGATTTCTTATACATTGTACCTGTTAAAGGCGGTGACATAACATGGCACGTCTTTTTCAAACATTGATCCATATGGTATAAGTACTGGATTTATTAATGGCATAAGAATTATCTGACTTGGAATCTTTGGTTTGGTTTGTTGTTTAACGCCGCACTCAGCAATATTCCAACTATATGACGGCGGTCTGTAAATAATCGAGTCTGGGCCAGACAATCCAGTGATTAATATCATGAGCATCAATCCACGCAATTGGGATCGATGACATGCATCAACCAAGTCAGCGAGCCTGACCACCCGATCCCGTTAGTCGCCTTTTACGACAAGCATAGTCACCATTTACTGCAAGCATGGGTTGCTGAAGACCTATTCTACCCCGGAATCTTCATTGGTCTGGAATCAACCACATTGACAAAACGTTTACTTTTTATAGTTTGTTGATTTACGTCACTGTCATCAATCTTCCAGTTTTATGTAAATAATCATGTCTTGGTCAGGCCACCAAGTTGCTGGTAACATGAACGACGTCCCATGACGTCAGCAGAGTAACAGGGCAAGCAACCGGATCCCTATTTTAGTTGGCTCTTTCGAACAACATTATGAACTTTGGGTTAGTTTCTGTTAATACATGTAAACTAACACGTCTCTTAAAATCAGTGACATAAATACCCGCTCCTACTTAAAAACATTGTTATTGACTGTTTATTGCTTTTTATATCAAACAAATGTTTGTAACTTTGAAAATTTCATATTTTGTAAGGCATGACAGAAAACGCCCGATCCCGTTTAAAGAGTTAACGTTTTACAATGTTGTATCTGACATATATCTCATTAAAAAGCTCTGTGTTGGATTCAAATATATTTCAACATATGTGAACAAATAGCATTACACTTGACGCATCGCTGAGTTAACGGGTGTTCACAGAACGCTTTCACCCCCTGCTACGCTTCAATATATTGCCATTGATATCAACAAAAGATTGTTCAAAAGGGTGACAATAAAAATGGTCAGGCGCACACATTATCGATCTCTTAAATCAACCTCCTCATTGAGACTAATCCTCATTGTCAATTCAGATACGCATATTCACTATTACTCGGCTGATCGTTTTGAAAGCGTGAATATGTCATAGCAAGTCCGCTCGCTCTACGACACACTTGTACCTTACTGACCCTGTTATGGTTATAACGTTGACAAAATACCGTGAGAGGACGAGGTATCGCGAGACTTGTTTACTCGTAATGGTGAAACAGGTTGCAATGGAATTATTACAAAGATGACCTGAAGTCTAAAACACCAGACGTAGGACAGTACTGAAATCAGCAACAATGGACAGAGTTAGAATAATACTTGCGGGGTTCATTTTTGTGAACCTGTTTACCTACTCGGCTTCGGTTCTGGTGAGTATTTGTTGTTCTGTGATGTGAAAAATGACTCACACTTTATTGTTTATTGTTCTTTGTCTTGACATTACCCCTCAGTTAACATTCGATGAAATACCACCTTTTGGGGTGGACAAGTGTGGCAAAACATTCAAGATTATCATTATTTTCAATCAAAGAGTACGAACATAATAAAAGAAGCCCCAATTGTTTTCTTTTTTTTGATAATAAGTTTGTTATTTTCATTTAAAAGTATGCACACATAGAATATTACTATTTTGCGTGTATATTTCACCGAAGTGTTATAAACAGTTGATGAACGGGTACTATAAATGATAGTTTCCAGTTTGTATGTCATGAGAGTGTAGCAACGTCTATGTCATATCCTGTATTTAACACACGGGCAAGTTGTTGACAATTAATGATGATCGCGGTATTTCCAGAAGGAATAGCAGATACTGTCCAGAATACAATAATCGTTGTAGCTTAATAGGGAAAAAGAGATTTGGGACAATTTTGATTTTTTATATGATCATGACTTTACAACAAATTACCCGGTCGAAGAAACAGCATGGATAAAGTATAACAACAGCCCGACAACAGCTACCCTTAAGGCATGCTTAAAATACACTGTCACCTAAGTTAGCGAATAGGTTTCACGTATATTTTGATATGTAAATATATGGATCAATGTAGCGTGTGACGGAAAGGTTGGAACATGTTCTCAAATCATCATAAAATAGACAGTATAGACAAAAATAGAAATCGGACTTTAATATTGGCATCACAAACAATGGGCGTAAACGGTCTTTTTAAACCTTAATTATAATCAGAACAACAAAGTAATACGATATACTCCATATAATACCAAAATTGATATCATTCATTGAACACATTGTAAAATTTAATGCTCACATAAAAATTATTTTGAATACTTTTAACGATTTAATTTAATACACCGTGACTGCGTAAAAAATTGTTGAAACTGTGAAACAAAACTTTTCATATTACCAATATACTGCTCCATTCAAAATTTTAAAAACCGTATGATGTATTTTTTGGGGGCATTTGGCATCAGAAAAAATAATTTTGGAAACAAGGACCCACTATTAACTGAGCTCCACCAAACAATGTGTTCATTTTCACTATTAGCGCACAAGTGTTCCACCAAAGAAACTATTCATTGTTTTCGCCTCTGCCAACAAACTATTCTTTTTGGGCATATTTCTGAACAAACTATTCATTTAGCACCACCACCCCTATCAATACCCATCTCCCTCCCAAACCACCCCACACCCCACCCCCCACCCCTACACCCACCCCAAACCCCACCACCACCATATGTTTCACCTGGTGTCCCTAAATTATAGCGCATAGAAATGTTATGTCTGTATTTTGGCCAGTGGCCTCTATATTGAATTAACTGTCTATCTGACTTGTCGTGTATGAGAAAACTAAAACAAACTCTGAATTGCATTGTTTTACTTGCCAACCGGTATTTCCCCAGATAAAATCCGTAAAGCAAGTACAACAATAGTGTGGCATCACTGTAAAACTGTACAAAGCGGCGTTAAAGCCAAAAGTCATAAATACATCCACATATATCTTACTCTTCTAAAATGTACAACATGTAGTATATTAATTTCAGTCCTTCAAGACCTCTCTCCAGGGAACTGTGTTTGAGTCTACTACAACACGCACCAACATTGTGTGTGTGGACTGTGTAGACGACGCTGGCAAGCCCGTGACTGTCAGGAAAACTTCAATTACAAACCAATTCCAGTGTGGAAACTGTTTCGATGTCTATACAGGAATTGACGCTTCATCGGCTAGCAGTAAGTAACATGTTTCCTTCATACTTAATAACAGAAGACAAAGCATCCTTCTTTCAAAACTTCCCAAGCTTACAAATTAAAGTAGGGACGTGCTACCAAACACAGTAACCTCATAATATTAACACATACACTCTCTCCTGATTTACGGAATACAAAGACATCTAGAGCAATCCACTTCTGGAATGATATTTCGTCAGCATCGGAAGTAAATCGACCCTTTACCTCTGGAAAGCTGAAATGAGCTTTTCTTCTATTGAAAGAGGCCTTATTGTCCAGTGCAATGTTGAGTATTCTTCTAATTAACACTTTAAGCGTTGGTGTAATCAGCGTTTGCTGACAACGGTTCAGATTTACGTTTTTTGTCCAGACTGGTGTGTTTTCTATCTACCGAGTCAAGGCAAATTGAACTACACCCTAGCGCAAGAATACAGAATGTCTCTTACCTGTACTAACGACGTTGATCCGGCTATCTCAACCGATGTCCTAATCAAGGTGGCCACCAACGAACCGCCAAGGATCGACAATGCACAACAGAGTAAGTTTGTACACCGTCAGTGAGATTGGAGATAAGGATTTATTTCAGCAACACAAGTTTGTTTGTAATGTTTAATTGCATTTTCGTTTCGCGTTGATATAATACACATTCTGTTTAGTCTTGTTGTTGTAAATGCCGCATTCAACAATATTACAGCTATACGACGGCGGTTTGTAAAATAATCTGGTCTGGACCAGACACTCCAGTGACTGATATTTTGAGCAACGATTCACGCGTTCGGGGTACGATCAAACGCAATCTGCCAAGTCAGCAAGCCCGACCGCCCGATCTATATATACTAGTAATTTGTCGGCAGAACATTGGTTACCAAGGACCTATTCTATCCTACAACCCCTTAAAGGGATGTATAATAACAGTTATACGACAAATATCATTTGGTTTGTACATGACCATATATATTGTACAGTGTGCCCAACGCCTATAAAAGCTGACTTTACGAATGCGGGAGATACGGTCTTTAACACTCTGAAGACCACCATATCAGACCCTGATGGAGACACACTCTTCTGCTCTATGACAACTATACCACCGTCAAGCAACTTTGAGATTGACCCAAGTATGTAACTAGACCGATCTTTCCCTAAATTCATTAAATGTAGTCACCTGCATCATGTGTTGTAGACACCTGCATCATGTGTTGTAGCCACCTGAATTATGTGTTGTAGCCACCTGAATCACGTGTTGTAGTCACCTGCATCATGTGTTGTAGTCACCTGCATCATGTGTTGTATTCACCTGCATCATGTGTTGTAGTCACCTGCATCATGTATTGTATTCACCTGCATCATGTGTTGTAGTCACCTGCATCATGTGTTGTAGTCACTTTCATCATGTGTTGTAGTTACTTTCATCATGTGTTGTAGCCACCTGAATCACGTGTTGTAGTCACCTGAATCACGTGTTGTAGCCACCTGCATCATGTGTTGTAGTCACTTTCATCATGTGTTGTAGTCACATGCACCATGTGTTCTAGCCACCTGCATCATGTGTTGTAGTCACCTGCATCATGTGTTGTAGTCACCTGCATAATGTGTTGTAGCCACCTGCATCATGTGTTGTAGTCACTTTCATCATGTGTTGTAGTCACTTTCATCATGTGTTGTAGTCACCTGCATCATGTGTTGTAGTCACCTGCATCATGTGTTGTCACCACCTGAATCACGTGTTGTAGTCACTTTCATCATGTGTTGTAGTCACCTGCATCATGTGTTGTAGCCACTTTCATCATGTGTTGTAGTAACCTGCATCATGTGTTGTAGCCACCTGCATCATGTGTTGTAGTCACTTTCATCATGTGTTGTAGTCACTTTCATCATGTGTTGTAGTCAACTGCATCATGTGTTGTAGTCACCTGCATCATGTGTTGTAGTCACCTGCATCATGTGTTGTAGTCACCTGAATCACGTGTTGTAGTCACCTGCATCATGTGTTGTAGCCACCTGCATCATGTGTTGTAGTCACTTTCATCATGTGTTGTAGTCACCTGCATCATGTGTTGTAGCCACCTGCATCATGTGTTGTAGTCACTTTCATCATGTGTTGTAGTCACTTTCATCATGTGTTGTAGTCACCTGCATCATGTGTTGTAGTCATCTGCATCATGTGTTGTAGTCACCTGCATCATGTGTTGTAGCCACGTGAATTATGTGTTGTAGCCACCTGAATCACGTGTTGTAGTCACTTTCATCATGTGTTGTAGTCACCTGCATCATGTGTTGTAGTCACTTTCATCATGTGTTGTAGTCACTTTCATCATGTGTTGTAGCCACCTGCATCATGTGTTGTAGTCACTTTCATCATGTGTTGTAGTCACTTTCATCATGTGTTGTAGTCACCTGCATCATGTGTTGTAGTCATCTGCATCATGTGTTGTAGTCACCTGCATCATGTGTTGTAGCCACGTGAATTATGTGTTGTAGCCACCTGAATCACGTGTTGTAGTCACTTTCATCATGTGTTGTAGTCACCTGCATCATGTGTTGTAGTCACTTTCATCATGTGTTGTAGTCACTTTCATCATGTGTTGTAGCCACCTGCATCATGTGTTGTAGTTACCTGCATCATGTGTTGTAGTCACCTGCATCATGTGTTGTAACCACCTGAATCACGTGTTGTAGTCACTTTCATCATGTGTTGTAGTCACCTGCATCATGTGTTGTAGTCACCTGCATCATGTATTGTATTCACCTGCATCATGTGTTGTAGTCACCTGCATCATGTGTTGTAGTCACCTGCATCATGTGTTGTAGTCAACTGCATCATGTGTTGTAGTCACCTGCATCATGTGTTGTAGCCACCTGCATCATGTGTTGTAGTCACCTGCATCATGTGTTGTAGTCATCTGCATCATGTGTTGTAGTCACCTGCATCATGTGTTGTAGTCACCTGCATCATGTGTTGTAGTCATCTGCATCATGTGTTGTAGTCACCTGCATCATGTGTTGTAGTCACCTGCATCATGTGTTGTAGTCACCTGCATCATGTATTGTATTCACCTGCATCATGTGTTGTAGTCACCTGCATCATGTGTTGTAGTCACCTGCATCATGTGTTGTAGTCACCTGCATCATGTGTTGTAGCCACCTGAATCACGTGTTGTAGCCACCTGCATCATGGGTTGTAGTCACCTGCATCATGTTTTGTTACCAGGTGAACCATGTTGTAGCCACCTGCATCATGTGTTGTAGTCACCTGCATCATGTTTTGTTACCAGGTGCACCATGTTGTAGTCATGCAATTGGTGTGTTCTAGTCAGGTGCATCATGTGGTGTAGCTACCTCCACCATGTGCAGATTACCACACCTACATTTATCATAAAGTAATCACTTCTATCATGCGTTGTAGTCAGATGCGTGATATGCGGTAGTCAGATGCGTGATATGCTGTAGTCAGATGCGTGATGTGCTGTAGTCAGATGCAGGATGTATGGTAGCCAGAAGCATCATGAAATTCATAGTTTTATCATTTTTCAGTTACCTGCGATATTCGAGCGAAGAAGAATCTGGAGATGGAATGCAACCCGTCCATAACCTTCCTTGTGTCAGTCAACGACGGCACTAACCCTAATGTGGGCCCTATAGCAGTCACGTGTGCAATAACAGGTGGGCGCTACCTTAAGGAGCTCATACACATCAATTTAACTTACCAATACTTTCGTCTTTTCTGTAAAGACATTGCTGTTTTTAATTAATGCCATGTTAAATGGTTGCCTTTATAATACGCTTCTGATGGTTTGCAGGTTTCTTGAAAAGCCCACTAGATCCCAAACTGAACCGTACAATTTCGGTAAGAGAAGACCATCCAAACGGAACCTCGATGTACTCGTTGGACCCTCCTACAATTTCGCCAGCTGTCGTCTACAGCATCGTCAGCGTGACTCCTCCTCAAGCTCACAAGCTGTTCTCCATTTCAAGTAAGTGGAATGGGTTCATTTTGTTCCAGGGGCGGTGGGGTAGCCCAGTGGTAAAAGCGTTCGCTCGTCACGCCAAAGGCACGGGTTCGATTCCCCACATGGGTACAATGTGTGAAACCCATTTTTGGTGTCCCCCGCCGTGATATTGCTGGAATATTGCTAAAAAGCGGCGTGAAACCTCACTCACCCACTCACTCTCTCATTTTGTTCCTGTTGTCACCTGTGTTATGAATTATCACTTGTGCAAAACTAAAAAGGGGGAAAACGATTACACATTTCCACCGCTGTACCATAGAGCCGTAACACTGTTCCACGAATGTCATCCGTTACAAATCAGGCTCCATGAGGATTCCGGGGACGCGTAGGGTCAAAGTGGTCCATGGTTGTCGTAAGAGCCGACCAAGTCTGTTTGTTTGTTGTTTAACGCCGCACTCAGCAATATAACATCTATATGACGGAAATCTTTAAATAATCGAGTCTGGATCAGACAATCCAGTGACTTACATCATGGGCATCGATCCATTGGGATACGATGACATGCATCAAGCAAGTCAGCGAGCCTGACCACCCGATCCCGTTACGAAGTGTAGTCGCCTTTTACGGCAAGCTTGGGTTGCTGAAGACCTATTCTTCCCCGGAGCCGACCAAGGGGATCAGGTGGTTATACGATTTTAAACCTGATTTTAAACCTGATTATGTGTGGGACCGACTGCGTGGATTATTGCTAATCAGCCACTGTCTGCCTTTCTCCGGCTTCGTAATCTAAATACCGCTGTAATATACCTGGAATATTGTTAGAAGGTCAGTGGTTCGATCTTCTGGCTGTGTCATACGAAGAGACGTAAAAAATGGTACTCGTTGTTAACCTGGCTGGCGCTCGGAATGAAAGGGATTTAACAAGAACGGGCTTGGTTTTATGTGTCTTTATATCATAGATAAGGTGCTAGAAGTCGTGCTGGATAGTCCGGTTTTCTTTAAAATATTGGTGAATGAATTAAAAAAAATGGTTCATTTTCTAGACGGTCGATCATCTATAACCTTGAATGAAGAACTGGATTACGAAAACCCATTTTTCGCCGATATCTACCTCAACATATCCGCCGACAACGGCAACTGTGACTTGGTGTACCAGTATCTAAACGTACGTCCCATTGAGGTCAACGAACCCCCTGTTCTCAACCCGAAAGTCTACTACCAGCAGGTCAACGAGGAATCGGTAAGAAAGACTTCAAGCTGAAATACAGATGCATAAGTCACATGCTGAAATGCACACAAAAGACATGATGTATAAGTCTGTTGATGAAATACACAAACAAGGTTGTCAACCTTCTGATAGTGTTTCCTGAAAACCTATCGTTCTCCTATCCAAAGAGGTCTACCCCAGTTTTCTGGTACTAATATCACTATTAAAGCAAAGTTACGTATCCTCATTTGTCCAGATCTACGTGAACCCAGGCTACCTTTGCGAGGACGAGGATCGTGGAGACAAGTGCCAGTTCAGGATTGTGGGTGGGAATGACGAGGGCATTTTCCAGATCAACCGCGACACGGGGGAAATAACTGCTCGCTACAACATCGACAACAACGTACGAGAATTAAATCGTACCCTCCTCATAGAAGCAGTTGACCTTCAGGGTTTGACGGACAACGTCACCGTCAACCTGAACATCAGAGACATCAACGACAACAGACCCTACTTCCGGCAAGATGGGTCTGGCCTGGCGTACGTATAAGAATATATCTTTAATCATAGGATTATCATTATTTTCAATATGCACCTCTGCTACACTGCTCTTAACGCCCCCTCAGTTACTTTATACAACTTGACTTTATTCCGCCGACTCCCAGGAATTCACTTTAGATTGGTAAAAAGGAGTCAAAACAGATTTCTGCAGTGATCTTGTCAAACGGTCAAGCGGTTTCCGAGCCACACACCTCTTCCCTCCGTGACCCCTCCAGTGACGCCGTAAACTTCAAACAATCCTAAAGATAATTCTGTTGTGAAATATTTGCATTATGTTGTTACTTTGCCTGGATTATAATTAAAATAGATGATTAATGATACTTACTTCATATGCCACTGTGAAATATCCGTTGTTATTGTAGCACTGTAATTACACCTACCTATCTGAATAAATTGCCGGAAAAATTCGTTCGCATACCTTGACCTATTTATGTTTAAGTTGCTATTAAGCAACCCTTCAACCTTTTGAAGGTTTTTGTTAGATTTTTAAAAGAAATGAATATCAATTTTGGGTCCTCAATATCAGAAGATAATGTGGAGTGTCATGAATATGTGTGTCCCCTTATTCAGACAGGAAGGAGATGTAATACCCGCGCACCACTAGGCTTGTCTTACCCATAATCCCACCAATGAGATGGCTCCACCCTTTTCACAATGAGCATGACATCCTCTTTCAGGTACACAGTGACTGAATGCACAGGTACTGGAGTGCTTCCAGTGAATTTTGAGGCTTTCGACGATGACTCTGACTATAAAGGCAACAACATCATCACGTTTACCCCAGCTAGAAGCGACTGTATACAAATACACGCTGATGGTACAGTGCACCTCCTGAAGACGTTGCTGCAGCCCGAGAGTTGTGTGTTGACCACTCGTGCCGTTGACCAAGGGGAATTCCCAGGACCGTTGACGTCACAAATCGCTGCCACGGTCACTGTGACGTCATCAGATTGCCCTCCAACACCAACGGTGGCTGTAGATCCTAATGATAATAATAATAATAATAATAATAATGGCGGCGATACGACAGTAGCTGCGACCACCGCCGCTGTAGGTTTGTCAGGAAATGCAGCCACGACTAACTTCGACGCCATTTTCGGCATACTAGGAGGGATATTAGGTGCCATCTTGCTGGGTACTCTACTGGCTTGTTGCTGTCGACGTTGCTGTGGAAAGAAGTAATAATTCCAAAATTATTTGTAACAATATGTAACAGTGGTCAACTCAATGAAACAGAATTAAACTAAGACAGTGTGGTGGGTGTATTACCAACAGCTATATGTAACATCCCAGTATATCATCGCCCTGGTAGCACCTTGAGGGCACTATGTTGTACACCTCATGAATTATCCTTCTCTGTGGTTGGTGCTGTTGGGCTCTGATGTGTATCGCTGATACCATCGTTTAAATGCCAAACAAGACCTTATGTTCACATGAAATTAAAAAATGATCTCCATCTTCTAAACAGATTCGACAAATAACAATCTTTTGCGAACACCTGGCGACTTTCAGTTATCAATATATATAATTTTCATAACTTTCTTGTCCATAACGTCAAATAGTATCTGTTTCGGCGGCTAATCGAGTATTCTCTTGCGTTGACGTTTTATGTCTTTTTGTTTCAGAAAAACAGCACCGTTCTCATCTGAGTGAGTAACACATTCATGCTTTCCACCTAAAATGGTAGACCCCTGAAGATTCGGGGTAGAGTACATCTTCAGCAACCCATGCTTGCCATAAAAGGCGACTATGCTTGTCGTAACAGGCGACTTGCGGGATCGAGTGTTAAGACTCGCTGACTTGGTTGATGCATGTCAGCGATCCCAATTGCGTGGATCGATGCTCATGATATCAATCAATGGATTGTCTGGTCTTAATCGATTATTTACAGACCGCCTTCTTATAGTTGGAATATTGCTGAGTGCGGCGTTAAACAACAAACAAACAAACAAACCAAGAATGGTAATTGACAATATTCTTAACACTATACACGGTTGAAACTGTTTATAATTATGACATTATTAATTATGTTTTCCAATTTCAGCCAATCAGCGGCCAATAAGAAAAAGAAATTCGATACCATCAAGAAGAAAAAAGGTAAAAAACGCTCTTATGACAACCATTAAAACGAATCAACAAAACTTAAAATAACCTAAATTAAAATATGAAAGTCACTTTGTATGATCCCAGCAACCCTTTTTTTCACTTTTATTATTATCAGTTAAGGCAAAAGCTGCGGCGGCAGGAGGGGCGGCAGCAGGGGCAGCGGTGGCAGCACCGACCGTGGTACAACGTTTCCTCAGGGTCAGACGAAAGATTCCCTTCCTCCGTGTGAAGAAGAGGGTGCCGGTTCCAGTTCGGACAGTGCGGCAGCTTGTACCCGTGCCCAACGGACAGGTTTTCCGGACACCGTACCCTGTGGCGCCACCCCCGTACTCTGTCAGAACAGCACCCGCTAATTCGGTCAGGCAGGTGCTTCCAGCACCCCCGCCATACCGGGCAGTGGGCACAGCGCCCGTTAGATATAATTAGTTGTCTCACGTATGCGTGCGCACAGGGCGAATGCCATACTCCAGACGTTGGTGTATTAAACCGTTTCAGAGACCGAGGCCTGCGGTCAGAAAACGTTATAACAAAACATTACTGTTTAAAGGATTTTATTTCTATTACTACAACGAAGGGTTATCCATTAGGAATCCCGGATTGAAATGATATTCTCTTCACGCATGCATTAAGTAATGTTTCAACATAAAGGAAGGTGAAATATGATTGTAAATATGTATGAAGTAAAACAGTGTTACTGATGTGGACACGTGACAAAGTATTCAGTGGTAATTGTGATTCGGTTTAAATGATGACTTACGTCACGTGCTAACATTCCACAGATTAGGGCAAACTAACACTTAGATGCCGTGGAATAGGTCTTCACCAACCCACGCTTCTCGTAAAAGCGCGACTAAGCTTATCATAAAAGGCGACTAACGGGATCGGGTGGTCAGGCTCGCTGACTTGGTTGATGCATGTCATCGTATCCCAATTGCGTAGATCGAAAAGGTGACTAACGGGATCGGGTGGTCAGGCTCGCTGACTTGGTTGATGCATGTCATCGTATCCCAAATGCGTAGATCGATGCAAATAATGTCAATCAATGGATTGTCTGGTCCTGACTCGATTATTTACAGACCGCAATCATATAGCTGGAATATTGCTAGGTGCGGCGTTAAACAACAAACAAACCAACAAACTTAGATGCAAGCAACAGCAATTGAAGAAGCACTAGTTTGTATGTTAACTACGTATGTGATGCATCGGCAGCACATCCATCAATGCATTGCCAGCGGTGACACAAATCGCACATATATCAAAACTTTATTACAAATAAATGCATTGTATCTTAATATATGTCCGATAGGTCATAGATTGTGGTTCATTACATATGTCGGATATATCAGATATTGTGGTGTATTGTATTATATATAACTTGTTGTATTACAGTTTTGTGTTCTGGACATATTGTATATCTACATTTGTAAATATTTGTATGAGTAATATCATGTAAATAAAGTATTCTAATGGAAACACCTGTTCTAGTCTTTTAGCACTGGGATTTAGAGTGGGATTGCCCCAAGATTGAGTGCAGGGGTGTTTACTGTATAAGATGTAAAATTGCGACACCACCTCCAAAGAAACAGTTATTTCATAACAGACAATATTTCATCTCATGATGTGAATGGTAAAAGCATGTATTTATTTCTGGTTAGATATACATGGATGCTAATCACAGGTATAACTGGTAAACACACAATGACTCTAAAAATGGGACGTTGACCCATTGCCTTTATCAAGTATACGAAATAATTGGCCAGTTATACAAATCTTTGACCATTACGAGACCTTCTGTATTTTCCCTAGTAGCACCCTACACAACTCTAATGCGTATTATATTCGGTCACACAACGGTATGTGTTGATATTGGTAATGCTGATTCGGAAGCATCTGCTGCATTCATAGTCACGCCCGTCAAGAAAGAACCCTGATCCTGATATGGTATATGTGAGGAGGTGGGTGAAATGGGGTTTGACGACGCGTTCAAGATTATTGCACTTACATGGTGACATACATGCACGTCTGCGTGTGTGTGTGTGTGTGTGTGTGTGTGTGTGTGTGTGTGTGTGTGTGTGTGTGTGTGTGTGTGTGTGTGTGTGTGTTGGTGTGTGTGTTGGTGTGTGGCTGTGTGTGTGTGGCTGCTTGTACTAGTCCGGGCTTCTGTCGGTGTTATAGTGCTTGCTATAGCCCACTGAGATACCATGCCACAGGTTAACATGGATATCCCACTCCGAGCCGGCTTGTCTTTATCTTACCCTGTCCCGTTAATGCCGAGTGACAGGCAGTAAGTGTCAAGAACTTTGACGACGAATAATTCCCTATGTTAATAACACGTGCTACTAGTAACAGTGAAACCTTGGTGATCCGAACAGTACAGCTGCTAAAAAGCGTCCTGTTTGAAGGGGCTTTGTACTTCATGGTTTGATACCCGTCTGTGTTGATTTGTCAAGTGTACTGACGGTCTGAGTGTACCTGTATTTCAAAACCTATTCTGTTACACTGACCCTCATCCAGATAATTATTCCATTACATAGTCAAGCTTTGACGATGTACGTCATGGCTGTTGACGTCTCAGACATAGAGACATCAACATGAGTGTCGTCCTCACACGCTTTTACCATTGAGCCATTCCTTGTTGTCACGTCGCTCCCACCGAGTAGGTGTGTCGTGTCGACCTCGGTAGTAAACCATTCATACACTGCACTACTTGGCATTAAGTTTGTTTGAGTGCAGCTGTAAGCCGCCCGGCTATGAATGTTTGTTATGCTTGTGAATAACTCCACTTTCGCTGCAGAACAAATACCTGTACAACCTCCGCACGCATACACGCACACGCACACGCACACGCACACGCATACATGCCGTGAAAAACTCACTGTAATAATCAGTCTCCATTTTCTGCCGAAACAGATTCCACTGGACCTTAAAGGGCAAAATAGTGATAAAAAAAATATGAATGGATCACTGATACTCAGTGATGACACCGGGTGTTCGCAAGAAGGGTGAGGATTCCCTGCTCTACCGGTACAAACCCCCTTATAAAATATAATAAATGTTTCTTGGTTGCCTTACGCCGCACAGCAGTACGACCACTAGGACGGCTTCTGGTTTAAGCTTAACGATGTACCTACCTATTACCAGTTTATGCCAATACGCATTTCAAGCATTTAGAGCCTTGAGTGAACTAAGACACTGTCTCCATGGAAACACATGCTGGATTCCTATACATGAAAGTGATTTGAATGAATGAATTGTTTATTTATTTGAGTGTCACACATGTTTATATTTGTATGCAAGGCAGTATAGGCCGAGGAGACACTTTACACTAAAACATGTATTACATATTTTCTATGTTTTTAACTTAATTATAAAATTTTTTTTTTAGTAAGTGTAAAAAAACACATTTGACCTAAATCGGCGACATCTGAGGCATTTTGCATTAATATACTAGCATTAATTTTTGCATTGTGTGTGAGTATTGACCGCGCAGGCAAATATAGCAGTGTTTCGGGGGTTAAAGTAGGGCTGTACGAGTCATCAAACTATCGATGCATTGCGATATGTAATACATGAATGAACTATACAAGTTGAACTTTCGAATGTTGATGACGCCGCCGTACTTGACGAAAACTGTAAAGCAATTTAAACACACGTATAGGCGACTACACCATTGTTGACTAATATACCGTTCGCTTTTACACCTGAACCAAACTTTAATAAGAAGCACCACCATTAACACTCTTATAATTTCCACAGCAATCTACCGAAGTAGGAACATGATTTATGCATGAGGCTTGATACCATTTCGATAAAACTAGGATTATGGCAAGGTAATTATGTTCAATACCATGCAATACCGTTGTAATATCGGTTCAACTATCACAAAAGTATCTCAATACCATTATTGTTTTATTACTACCTCAACAATTTGAAATGTCGCTTCTTATAGTCACTCCTTGTTCGTACATAACTCGCTGGAACTGACAATCGACCAGATCATCGTCGTCCTAGCCTTGCTTACAGAAAAACAGTCGCTCGCGTGAGTTATGTATGACACATGGGGACAGCATGGTCTGCAATAGCAGCCAAGCTAGTCCTGCCTCCCTGTCGATGTGGAAACCTATGTGATCATATTCACAATAAAGCAATTTTGTGTCGATATATTCCGTACGGGAACCCTTTATTATCACAGCTTGTGCAACATTCGTCAACTACGTTAACGTCCCAGGCCGTCAACAGGGTATGAGTCAAAACCTTGGCCTGCAAAATGAAATCTATTAGCCCACATGTACACACAAAGAGAGGGATGACCTATGACAAGTGATCTCAATCGGATTCATTGTATATCTCCATTCAGATTTACATTTGTATTCGAACGGTATTCTGTTCTCCCGGGGTAAGGTGAACAAGCACAAAGGTGTCGCTAGGTAGGGTGGCTTGATCGGTAACGCTTCTGAATGACACACCATTTTATACGTCAACGTCATTAACGTTGAGCTAAGTCATCTACGCTGATCTTTACTGGGATTGGGGTTGAGTGAGTGAGTGAGTGTAGGTTTAACGCCGCTTTGGGCAGACAGGTTTTAGCTAAGTTTAGATGTGGCACCGCTCCTGTTCAAATTTAACGGACGGTATATTAACATGCTGTTAGAGGAATTGACATGTTTGCAGTGTCTTAATGTTGTTGAAGATGAATACCTTGTGTTTTTAAATTGTCCAGTGCATAATGCTGAGCGGCGAAGTCTTTTAAACAAGTGCGACGAGTTAATGTCAAATTTTATCAACCTGTGTGATGTGCAGAAAACAGTTTATATTTTGTCAGATAATATTTTATATCCGTTTGTACCCAAATCTGCAATGACATTATTTTTGTAAAGATAAAGAGTTTTATACAGCTGCTAGTTTTCATCTCCGTATGTTGAGACCCATGTGTTTATTATATTTTGTAACATTGTTGTTATGTTTAGGGGTAAGACTGTGATAACAAATCTGTGTGTCTGTCTGTCTGTATTACATCATAGCGTGTGAGCTTATGTGAGGATATTGACGCAGGTCACAGACGTCTACACTCGAACCCGCGTCCGGCGGTTTCATGCATGAATTTATAGTTATTTATAAGAATAAAACAAGAATTGTTGTCTATAAAATATAAATATAAAACATTCATGAAAGGAGGAAATAAAGCATTTATAAGGTAAATAAGTTTGGAACTAATGTTTCTTTATGCGTTCTAACCCTGCTGGGAATCAAACCCGAGGCTTATACTAGCGAGTACTCTAACCATTGCGCTATCTCTGAATGGTAGAAGAATGTCTAAGCCTGGTATTATGTGTGTTTGCTATCGACCATACCTCAGCTGGAAATTAATAAATGTTTACGACGGTGTGCGGTTAAGCACTGTGTCTGAGATCACCGAGACCCCGGTGTCAGCCTCACCATGACTACACCTCGGCATGTCAACATTGTGTGAAATATTTAAATGCGGGGAGATTAATATCTACGTCACAACCTTTAAATGTGTGATAGAAGTCTGAATAAAGAAGAGGTATCATAAATAATGTGTTATTGGATGGGAGGGGATTATCAAAAGAAAAGTACATTTAGAACGGACAATGAGAAAGGGTAAACCGCGTTAGAACTATTCATTATGTTGTTGACGGTCACGACTGACTAAACGTCAATACATGCCTGACAGCGTCATTGAATATAATAACGTTTGACTTTTATGTCCTGATCAGAAACCTGTATACCGCCACTGTTGTAATTGCAAATGTGATCGATGTCAGGCAAAATACAGCCTCGTCATACATAATTTAAGACCCACGTTTACGTTGGCCCGCCAGGCAGTCCAAGGGACACAACTCTCGCCTTTTGTTGTATTTTCGGAATGATATGACCACACTCTCAGGACAAGCTGTTGTTTAAGCCAAAGGTATTTGTGGTCAATAATTGTAGTGGTTAGGGAGGACGTAGCAACAATGAAAAAGCTGTTGGCGTTGACGGTGTTCCTGGAGCTGGTTGCGATTATTTCAGCGGTAAGTACTCCGAAAACTCACTCTCTGTAATGGTATACAATAACACAAACAGCAGTAATGGCCGATCGTTAGATGATTTATAACGTGATATGTTAGATTTGCGTGTGTTTCTTTGGGACTGGTAAATTATTATGGTGTTGGGGGGGGGGGGGGGGGGATTAGTTAGATTGGTCTTGGTGCCGAATCTTATTAGGCCGTCCCACCCTGCCCCCATTTTCTCATGTTCCCACCCCACCCCCAAATACACGTTACATGTTTTCGATTACCCCTCCCTTCCCTACCCCCAATACTTGTAGCTCTGTTTCACACACACCCTCACTATTATAAATGACCAGTCCCCAGATAATGTTCATATTTTTGTAATGTTTGTATTTGAAAACATAGGGGGCACGGGTTGCCCAGTCGTCCGAGGCGCCGCAATTCGCTATACAGAGTTGCGTCCCTTGGGCATGCCAGAAATCTGAGATTGCTGGATTCGGATCCTGGATCGCCCAGATTATATTATATTGTTGTCAGCACCATATCCGTGCTCGTGGGTTGCACCAAAATAGTCTTAGACCTGCATCACATCGGGCTCTCCTCCAACATGGACACGCCGTTATGTAACTGGAATACTGATAAAAGCGGCGTTAAAAGCCGACTAACTCACTCACTCACTCAATTTTATTTTTGCTTTGTGGTTGTAGGCTGTAACGATAGGCGATAAGCCAATCGTCGTGAACGTCGAAGAAGGATTCACACTGAGAAAGATACTCCATCCATTTCAATGCGTCAGTGACATTCCAGCATCTGCGGTGTCCGTGACGGTGCTGTCCATCACCCCCACCTCGCCCTGCGGAAGCTGCTTCGACATCATCAGGGAAACAAAGGCTGACCGTAAGTCTGTTTGGGTTTGTTTTTTGTAACGCCGCAGTAATCAATATGTCGCGATGACCTGTAAATAATCCCATCTGGACACAGAATCCAGTGATTGACATGAGCATCGATCTGTCATTGGGATACGATGTCATGCATGAACCAAGTCAGCGAGTCTGTCCACCCGATCCCGTCAGTCGCCTCTTCCGACAAGCATAGGTTCCTGAAGACCAATTCTAACCCAGATCTTTACGGGGCGATTAATATTATAGGCGACGACCTAGGCAGTCGGTTGACCATCCGATCTATGCAGTCGACTGCTACGACAAGTATACTTGCCGGGGGCCGTATGGACACATTACTTCTAGTGGCACGTGTCGCAGGTCACACGTTAAGCAACGTTGGTTGCGGAGTGTAGTTGGATGGGTGACCGTGTCCGACAGCTTGAGTCCTGAGAGTTTCTAGGGCTTCGGTCTTGCCTCACACCGAAGCACGTGTAGTGCCGTGTCTCCATAGGTAAGAGACTTTGATCGAAATAGGTCTCTGTTCACCCAGCAGTAAATAGCTACCCTGTAGGATGAGATGGTAACGATTAACCTTCTAGAGCCTCACAGAACGTTTCGGAGAATGTTAAGACTCTCCAACACTGCAGCCTTCTGCATTACCCAGATTGTCAGAAGGGCTGTATTCCTGGTAGCAAACCCGGGTACTCTCTCAATGTCAGTCAACAGATTGGGAGGTACCAAACCGAAGGCACCGAGAACAATGGGGAGTCGGACAACATGGTACTTGGGAGGCAAGCGTGACATTTCGAAAGCGATGTCCGCATATTTGCCATGTCTTTCCTAAATCATGTCAATCACATTAGCGTCAAGATTCCAAAGAATTTTGTATTTATCATTTTCCATGACGCCCTCTACATATTCCGAGTCGTATCATGGTTGGACCTCTTTGTCAAAACCACAAGCATGGCGAAGACGGTAATAAAATGACCGAGCTACACCACCATGTCGCTTAAGATTCTGTGTTTGTGCCAAAGCTAGGCATCCACTGACAATGTGTTGGACAGTCTCATTAAATTCATTGCATAATCTACATTTTCATGCAAAATCACACATTGACGGTATTATTATTATTATTATCCTTATAATTATTAAAATAAAAATTGCAACAAAGAGGATTTGGGTGATCTAGAGGTCTAGCGCACATGATTGTTCTCTTTGTACTTACAGAGTTCACACTGTTTTACCTGCCAAGTCAAGGTCTGGTGGACTTTGATGGTACCGCGATGTACACGCTGACGGCTATCTGCAGAGATGAATCAGGAGCGAATGACACGGCGGATGTAGAAATAAGAGTGGTCACCAACCATCCACCTGTCTTCAACACTCCGATAGGTGATAGTGCTTATATTGTTCCTTTCACAATACATGTATTTGGGAAATGTCTATGAACATTCTTGTTACTATTGTTCTATTCCTGCCATTGTACAAACTACCAGTCCGATAAACCGGAATTCCGATATTCCGGGCACGGTTGTCCCAGCCTTCTGAAGCGCCTCATTTCGCTAGGTGGAATGGCGTCCCTCATGCGAGCCAGAAACGTATGATCGTGAGTTCAAATCCCAGATTTAGGTTTACCAGCGTCATAACGTTCTCTTGGGCTTCTCCATAGTGTTAGCGATCCGTGAAGATCCGGGGTAGAATAGGTCTTCAGCAACCCATGCTTGCCGTAAAAGGCGACTATGCTTGTCGTAAAAGGAGACTAAGGGGATCGGGTGGTCGGGCTCGCTGACTTGGTTGATGCATGTCATCGATCTCAATTGCGTGGATCGACCCCTATGATGTTAATCACTGGATTGTCTGGTCCAGACTCGATTATTTACAGTGTCAGCGTCTCTGGTGTGTGATACTTCTCGTACTTTTCTCCCACACGAATCTGACACGCCGTGATGTAAATACTGTTCAAATTGGCGCTAAATCAAACTCACTCACTTCAGATTGCAACAAGGGAGATAATCTTTCTTTATTCGACAGGGCGTTTTCGCCATTTCCTGGGTTCCAGTTGTCGGAGATGAAGGCAAATTTGAATATGGCCTCGTGTGATTGGATGAATGATAAGTTAACGTATTGTACAGTGCTATCGATGGAGCATTACAAACGTCGCCACTCGCCCCTTTCCGTAACCTGCAAAAAGATTCGTCCCCCTATCGATGAATGTTATATGCGTAAATACGACAAACCAATCAGCATGTGCGTATGACTTGAGGTGCTGCGGTCAAAGAATCCCTCAGGAATATTTTTTTGATTTTGCACATGTCTTGCATCTAGCAATATGCCCAATATAAAGTTAAATATGTTCAATCATACTGTATAAATACCGTAAGTCCCTAAATAGCATCTTTGAACATATATGACATGGGGGAACTATACGTGAATCATTACGCAACGAATTGACAATTCTTTTAACTATGCCGTTTGCGCTTAGACGGAACCCAGTCGCAAAAATGGCCACGAGAGGGGCACGAATCCGTATACGGCTTGTCCCGGAATAACACGAGTTCGTCACGAATGGGAACAGTAGGGCAATACAATGATGTCAGCTATTATGGTTTGTCACTAGTATGCTGTCATCGGGCCATGGACAATTGCTAAGCGTCAATCGATTAATCTATGCACCCTTTGAGTCAAGCTCCTTCCCAGCGCGTGACACCTTCGTTACACTCTCGGTAACATCGCTGCCACCAGTGTGGGCGCGGCCATTACAAGAATCTTGAAATTTGCCCTCTAACCCCAAATGTAGTAACGTTTATTCTTTTGTTTATGTCTTTGGGAATGCCATCATATTTCATTTTGAAAAGGTTTACGACTGACCATGTTTTCCAGATGAATTTACTTTGTTGTTTTAATAATCAGATCGGTTCGAGATTGCAGCCTAACGGAAAATCAACCAACTTCTCCCTTATATTCTTACTATATCAATTAAAGATGATAGTTTTAATGAAATAGAAATTCAAATTGACAAACAAAGAAAGTAATTTATCAGCGTTAAGTGTATTCGGCGTAACGACAGTCGTCACTTGTTGAAAACATAACGGTCATTCGGTTGCGAGTTCAACTCCAAGCATGGTTGGGGTCACATATCACAGTGGGGAGTTTTGACTGGTGGCAGCGATAGTATAGAGAGCTCCGCGAACGGACTATCGCTGTGAGGAGCTTGCCTTTGAGTATAGTAATACGGACGTGTGGAGTGATGACCAGATGTCTTGGTCTGTAGCTGGGGGAGAGAGTGAGTAAATACACTGTTGTAGGGAGCAGGCAGCAATATTAGAGCCTTATCATTACGGCTTGGATGTAATTGATTCTGGATTGGGCAAACTAGTGGTTGATAGTATGAGCATGCGACCGGGCCACGGTGACACCCAAGCAGTCAGGTCCCACATTGGGACCATCCTATCCTATTTGTTGCTATTCTTGGTGGTACTGCCTACATGGCTCGGGATGTCAATGGTGGTATTGTTTCAGATGATGGCTGTGGCATATCGGGAGTCTTCACCCAAGCTGGAACTATCATACGTACTGTGGGCGTCACTGATAACGATTCTGACGACCTCAACTTCACCATGACGGTCATTCCTACTACATCGACGGGAGACTTCTACATCGATAATGGTGACCACAGCTTTATGCCTTCGTTAAATAATGCCAAAATGTTACGCTGCCGCAACAGTAACTCGTTGCCAGAATAGGTTACTGTATGCTCACGAACGGAATTTACACTTTACTGTTAAAATGTCGATATGCCGGCAGTACTTAAGGACTTGCATTGCCTACGAGTAGGTGAATGTCATTTTACACCGCATTCAGACATGTTGAAGCTATACACGTCTGACTGTAAATGATTCAGCAGGTTGCAGACACAGCAGGGTGTTATTACATTCATGGGAAACGACCCACGTTGTTGGGGAACATGGTACCACAATCCACATTTTGTTTGGCTCTTTCTTCAAGCGTTGGGTGAAAGGGGTGTATTTTGATCCTGGAATTCCTACGGCTGCCCTAACGGCTCGACTTACAGTGCCGTACAGATGCTTAGTATGTGTGTTTTATGTCTCAGAATATGTGTTTTGTGTCTCAGGATAGATGTTTTGTGTCTCGGTTTAAATGTTTTGTATCTCAGTATAGTTGTTTTTTGACTCAGTATAGATGTTTTGTGTCTCAGAATAGTTGTTGTTGTCTCAGGATAAATGTTTGGTGTCTCGGTGTAGGTGATTTGTCTCTCAGTGTAGATGTTTTGTGTCTTAGTTTAGATGTTTTTTTGTCTCAATCTGGATGTTTGTGTCTCTCTATAGATGTTTTGTGTCTCAGTATAGATGTTTTGTGTCTCTCTGTAGATGTTCTGTGTCTCTCTTTAGATGTCTTGTGTCTCAGTATAGATGTTTTGTGTCTCAGTATAGTTGTTTTTGTCTCAGGATAAATGTTTTGTGTCTCGGTGTAGGTGATTTGTCTCTCAGTATAGATGTTTTGTGTCTTAGTTTAGATGTTTTGTGTCTCAATCTGGATGTTTGTGTCTCTCTGTAGATGTTTTGTGTCGCAGTATAGATGTTTTGTGTCTCAGTGTAGATGTTTTGTGTCTTAATATAGATGTTTTGTGTCTCAGTATATATGTTTTTTGTCTCAGTATAGATGTTTTGTGTCTCAGTGTAGATGTTTTGTGTCTCAGTGTATATGTTTTGTGTCTCAGTATAGATGTTTTGTGTCCCAATATAGATGTTTGTGTCTCAGTATAGATGTTTTGTGTCTCAGGTGGCAACATCCGGAACAGGTTTCCAACGGATATGCTGTGTCTCTCAACCATTGCCTTCCAGGTGTATGTGACTGACTTCAAATCCAACCGTGTCGGACCCGCTGTTGTGACCTGCTCAATCAGTAGTAAGTGTGCAACACACATGTAACATATCACGTAAACATGTTCATGTACATAGGAACAAAAACCCGGTACATATGTATTGGGTATTATAAGTGTATTAAATAAGCGAAATCAATGTTGATTTATTACTAAATAAATATAAGTAACATGGAAATCATAATTCGTACTTGTGTATATTTTCAATCATTCAATTATTTTGAAACATTTAATGGTAACAATCTATTGCAGACCCCTACCTCGCGCCAACGGTGTCTAATTTGAACCGCGAGATAAGCCTTCCTGAAGACACGTCCTTTCCGTCGACGCTCATCACAATGTTGGCAACGCCAACCATCCCCATCGTCAGATACGACTTCTCCACCATCCCATCGGCCGCACGGTGGCTCTTCAGCATTGAGAGTAAGTACATGAGGGTGGCCAAGTCTCCAAAGGCGCCCCAGTTCGTTGTATTGAGTTTCGCCCCGATCATGTTTTTAGGTTTGTCAGCACCATACCCGTGCTCTTGGGTTTCATTAATGTGGTAAACGTCTGATACCAACATAACTCCGGACTTTCCTCTCACACTAAGCTTACACGCCGTGATAAACGGAATACTGTTCAAATCAGAGTTAAAAGCCAACTCACTCATTTTGTGCACGCGAACATATAGCTGGAATATTGCTGAGGGCGGCGTTAAACAACAATCACTTCACCAATCCATCACTAAATCAATCATTTTGTGCACAGTAAAACTCCGTTAGTCATGAAAGCTTATCTTTGGGACGACTATAGTTCTGATACATACTAAAGGATAGAACTCGGTACTCGAGGTTAAATAAGATGGATTTCCGGTGTTTCGGAGGTCACATGCTTTCTGTATCTTAGACCAGTTGTAAGCATTAATAACTTAATCAGGACAGTTAGCATATAACCTAAAGGTTTCAAAGTTTGCATCTATAGTTATAATCAGTTGATGATTATCGTCTTCGTGTATCTGAATAGCTAAAAGGGACGTGAGGTATCCTGACTGTGACTCGTTGCCTGCATCTCCAAACAATGACCTGAAGCTATCACTGACTCGTTGCCTATACCTCCAGACAATGACCTGAAGCTATCACTGACTCGTTGCCTATACCTCCAGACAATGACCTGAAGCTATCACTGACTAGTTGCCTATACCTCCAGACAATGACCTGAAGCTATCACTGACTCGTTGCCTATACCCCCAGACAATGACCTGAAGCTATCACTGACTAGTTGCCTATACCCCCAGACAATGACCTGAAGCTATCACTGACGCATTGCCTATACCTCCAGACAATGACCTGAAGCTATCACTGATTCGTTGCCTATACCTCCAGACAATGACCTGATGCTAGTAAATGAGCCGAGCTACGAAGACGCCAACTTCCAGAACATCAACATCTCCGTCTTCCCGTACAACGAGTACTGTAGGTCAGTTGATGGACACTTCCTCTTCATCAGGGTCACTGACGTCAACGACATCCCCAAACTTCGGCCTGATCTAGTGTACACGGCGGTGAACGAGGGCACGGTATGTTCCCCTCTCCTACCATGGCATAACAAAAACGTATGTAAGGGCATGAGTCCAATTCAAGATGCAAACGGATGTAAGTGTAACCGCTGACTCATCTGTAACGTGAGCCAGTTTAAATACACAAAACAAAAACATACGAGTGTCACCCTGTAGCTAATCTTGTATAAATTCGTATTATTATTCATTTTGAGTTCGAATCAAAAATATCCTGAACGACATTAGATGTATTTTCTTTGCAATGAGACCTGTCTTATAATTTTACTCTGCTCTTACGAAGCCTTGGTCAGACCTTGTTCTTGCCCTGTTCTGAGCCGCATAAATGTCGACTTCAGTCCTGCTGTATCTATACTCTGATCCCACTCAAGATCAACTCTAACACGGCTTTGGTCTTGCTCTGCCTATTCTCTAGTCTGCTCTCTCTCTATACTTTGATCTCGCTCCATCCATGCTCTGATCATGCAACAAGACTTCTCTTACTATGCTCTGACATTGCTCATGTCCTATTCTTGCCCCATCCTGAACCTACTCAAGGTTTACTGTGAGTATGTTTAAGGTACCATTCAAGCATCGGGGCAATTATTTTGAAATAATCATGACACTATTGCATTTTGTTTCAAACATAAATGTTTAGCATTGAGGTATGCAAATGTTACTAATGTCGAAACTCATCGACTTATTTTCACAACCACGTTCTCAGATAAACGTCCCGTTCAGTACTCTCCTGATCGATGACGACTTTGGCGACACCCACACCTACGAGATAATTGCGGGTAACGACAGAAAACTATTCGACATCAACCAGCAGACGCGAAATATCATATCCGTAGGGACATATGACGTAGACCAGGGGGTGGACCCCCAGAACGTCACACTAGTTATCCGAGTGACAGATCGTGCGGGGGCCACTGCTAACGCAACAGTGAGGATGATCATAGAGGACATCAACGACAACTCCCCTGTCATCACCCAGACAACCCACACCTTCTCCGCCACTGGCTGTTCCATAATCAACTCAAATCTAGGCACGATCACAGCCACAGACCAAGACTCTGCTAAAAATGGCAACAATATCGTCCGATTCCTCGGGTCGTGTAATGGCCCTCTGTGTGTGAGCTCTGATGGCACTATCTACGCGTCTGGTTTGATAGCAGCCAGCCAGAGCTACAGCCTGACTGTACATGCCACCGACCTTGGAACAGTGCCAGGCCCCCGACAGAGTGTTATTCCTGCCACAGTCACCCTCACCACTTCGGCCTGCCCCACCACAGTCGCCCCCGTCGTCGTCAACGGCAGCAGCGGTAGTTCTAATAGCTCCAGCAACTCCTCAAGCTCAAGCTCCAGCTCCAGTTCCAGCTCATCATCTTCGTCATCCTCTTCTTCTTCAGGTACTATTTCACGAATGTCACGGTACCTCTGCTGTATTGAAACAGAGGATGGAAACCTTACTTGTTGTAATTCTATACAGGGATTATAAAATCTGTCAAGTATAGCACGACAACAAGAACATATTGTGCAATCTGACCTTGCAACTGTTCTCCACAAAACCAATTATGTTTATTTATCTACCTATGTTAAAAGTGTTGCAGTATTAAATTATTGTCGATTACGTCATATCTGAATATATTTAATGACATAATAAACACAAGGATTTTGTATTTTGTTTCTATTTTGCTATCTGTCACTATCACCGAACACTATCGCTAAGTTGTTACACTGGTAAACCTTTCTTGCAGTAACGTCCTCTACAAACGGCACTCTTGACGCGGGGGTGATTGCCGCCATTGTGATAGGCTGTCTTCTTCTTCCCCTTCTGTTCATCGCTGGCTACTTCCTGTTCAAGTCTTGCTGCCCGTCGGCCTTCACCTCTTGCTGCGGCCCTAGCACAAGCGCCGCTACCAAACCGCATGTGTGAGTAATGACGTTTACGTTAGTTATCTGTGCACCTCAAGGTCACTACACACTCCTGGTGACTGCATGGCCCATCCGCTAAGGCGCTTCAATACGTTTCCCTCGGGCGTACCAGATCCTATGACCGTTGGTTCGAATGCTGATAATGTTGTTTGGTTTGTCTGTACTCTTACCGTGTTCGTTTGTTCACCAAAGTGGGGAATGTCTAAGTCACGCATTACTTCGACGTGCTTGGACGTGCTTGCCGTAAGAGGCGACTATGCTTGTCGTAAGAGGCGACTGACGGGATCGGGTGGTTAGACTCGCTGACCTGGTTGATGCATGTCATCGTATCCCAACAGCGTGGATCGATGCTCATGATGTCAATTACTGGACTGTCTGGTCCAGACTCGATTATTTACAGACCGCCGTCATATAGCTTGAATATTGCTGCAGTGTTAAATTACAAACAAACGAAATAATGTACGCGCCTTCTGCTTTATGTCGTGTGATAACTAGATAAATATGTTAAATGTTACTTTACAATTTTTCTTTTCCAGAACTAAGCCACCAGAGAAAAAGTGAGTACTGACAGGCAAAGATAGTCATTGATACACAGATTATCAATCACCCCGAGTTAGATGACGTTTGAACCGAGCTGAACAGATTTATATTTGTGTCGTGCGTTTTAGTACATGTGCCCCTTATGGTTTAACTGAAATACAGTTATCTCTCTCTTGCAATACTCCTGCTATGCTGCAGGTGCTCTCTCTCGAGATTGAAATGTTAACTCGTCTAGAAATGCAAAGTAAAGTAAAATTAATTATCAGCCATGCACCTTTACGCTTACAGTTAACAATGTATTCTTCAGCTACTGGAGCCCGCCATCACCAAATCGTAAAACAAGGCAGATAACTCCAGAAAAACCAAGAACGTGAGTGAGACATTGGCCGCGATCATGAGAAACTAAATAGAAACAGTAAATTAAGAATATATAATAGGTGTTTTAAAGGAAATGTATCATTCATAGTGTCGACCAATTTTAGTAAAAATTACAATACCTTTATAGTATTCTACGAAATAACGTTTAAGTCTAGCGAGGTATAGTCGTGATGATATCACTTTGATTTTATGATATTAAATAACGCAGGTAGGGTCTAGTTATATGGGCTAAAACGTATACTATAAAAACACAAGTAAATGATGAACGTGCATTGTCGTCTATGCGGTCAGTAGCGTCTAGCTGTGTAGAGCAACTGTAAATATTACCCTATCCAAACAGATTGAGTCCTGCGGTGTGGTTTCATGTTCAGTGTGTGATTAAATCTGTTCCAGGCCAGAAAAACCTCAACAGAACCAGCAGTTTGACTACTGGGGCGGCCGTAAGTACTGTAAGTCCATTAGTAAACCGCCTCTGTGGTCTAGTGGATCTAGTATCTTCGGAGAGCGAAAAGTCGGTGGTTTGATCCCCTGGCCGCGTCATACCAAAATGCGTTAAAGAGATGGTACCTGTTAGTTCCCTGCTTCACGCTCGGCATTGAGGGATAAAACAAGGACTTGTCCACTTGGAGTCATTTTTTTTTTATCTGAGTCGAGTATCCATGTTAAACTGCAGTTATATATATCTCAGTGCAAAACTGACATAAGTCGATACAAGACCAGTGCAAGCAGCTACACACATGTGTATTCATGTCGCATTTTAAATGCAATGATCTTGAACGGGAGGTAAACCCCATTTCACCTCACCTCACCTCACCTCACCTCACCTCACCTCACCTCACCTCACCTCACTGGACGTTGATCCAATACCAATTACAGGATATATTCCTGCCTGTTACCTCGGGAGTCATTTTATGCCACTTCCCCAAGAAGCAGTTTTGGTATATATGGATCAGCAATGAGTTTTTAAGCACAGCATTTAAGATTGCCTTCGAGACTGAAGAGTTACTTCCCTTCAGCTAACAATGACATGTGGCAATATCGATTCGTTCTCATCTACTGACAAAGTCGATTAATCTGTTGTAATGTTGTTTTCGCACCAGACAGCTCGGGTAATGCTTTAATATTAATGCCACAATATATTAGTATTACCAAAAGAACAATTTAACTTGCTAATGTTTATCTTCTAGGAAACACCATTGGGTCCGCACCGAAGCCCGCCGCAGACATTGGCGGTCAGTCGACGTACATGTGATTACCCACAGCCAGCATGGGAAGTTGTAGTTTGCTACACCATACGTTACCGCCGCGGACGTCGACAGTAGCATGTGAACACTTCATCTACGATTTTATTTGTACTACGAAAATGTTATCATCACACTATCTTTGTCTCATAATGTCGACATTTTAACTTTACTGCGGGCAAAAGATAGTAGTCACCCATATTTGATGGTGGTAAATAGGAAACAAACAAGGAATAGTTATTCGGTGGTGATGTATTTTATACGGGTATTGGAGTTGTGTTTTGGACCTTAAGTTTGCATGCAGTGTTTCGCAACTGTTTTCAGACTAGTAACGTTTTGATAGCGTTTCAGTTTGTAAATTTGGGTGAACTCCAATGTTCAAGTGTATACTCTCTGTTGCCCAGCAGTGTATTAATAAGTGATAACTTGATTGAAACGCTCTCTTTATTGTTCAATTGGAAACCGTATAATGTGACAGTGTGATCAAAACACTCCAATTGAACAGACTCTGAGACTCTATTTGACTTGGAACTAAGTGATCATGCAGTCGACACACTCTATTTATACGCCAAATTTGACTATATGCGATCTCTTGCATTAAGGGCGTGGAACAAGGAATGACTGTCATGTAGTAACCTTTCATGCACGCCTTACTGAGAATATATATGGAGAAATGTCCCTATCCAAATTGCATTCGTCTGTATGTGTCCACGTTAACAGGATCCGGACAAATGGTGAGTGAGTGAGGTTCATTTTACGCCGCTTTTTGCAATATTCCAGCAATATCACGGCTTCACACATTGTACCCATGTCGGGAATCGAACCCGGGTCTTCGGCGTGACGAGCGAACGCTTTAACCGCCAGGCTACCCGACCGCCACCCGGACAAATGGGGTTTCACTGCAAATGATAGATCCGAGATCGATGCACACGCCTGTGGACAAAGCAAAACACGATGTACATGTGACCAATACATGTAAAGCATATGAATTCTTGGAAATTCTTGGAAATATGTATTTATATTTGTCGCCAGTTTGCTATTTTTCCGGATTCTCACCATGAGGTGAAAGGTCGTCGTTATTGTCAATATGTGACGCATGTGTCCTTCAAATCACTATGTCGTGACACTGAAGATCATCCATGTCCACTAGCGACCAATATAATACCCCAGGCAGCACTAGAATTACAGTATCATAGTGGACAGAGCACTGATGACAATATTATTCCCATACGTTGATTCCGTGTACTGTGTGGATGCTAGCACTAGAGCCAGCACCACTCTCATGTAAATAAAGCCTGAAGTATTACCCATCTTTGCGAACACTGTGATAATATATCCGTGCCCCTCGTGATTGTCTGGTGTATGATACCTTCCGATACTGCCCGGGTACTCTGAAATATGGGCTAAGGGTGGCTTTTCATGTAAATATATTCGTCTGACAAGACCATGATGCTGCGCATATGCAATAAATATTTAGTGTCTTCTGTTTTTTGGTGTCTTGTTATTTGTTAATCAGTTACTTCCTGTTCCGCTGCTCGCTGGGTGCTTTGTTCTCCAAGATTTGAAATACACGTCAACCATTGCTGGTGGCGCGATCCCCATTGTCTAGTTTGTGTTACCATTATAAATGAACAGCTTTGAAATATTCCTACTTTTAGTGATATGCCTATGTGTGAAATAGTGACAGTCACATTAGGCGCATGGCCATCTACTGAGATCCAGTGCTTAATGTATAAGAACCGCACGTAAAATACAGGAACTTGGCACCATGTGAACATGTATATTTTGTATGAGGGAGTATAAATCAACAGGCTTCAGATTAATATATTAAATCATGATCAGTTTAACGGATCTGTGTGATGTAGTATGGCATCAGCTGATAGCCGGGAATGGTAAAAATCCCCGAGATGTGCATGGTCTGCAAACACCTGGACACTTGCTAAGGCTATCCTATAACTGTTGGATGACTAGAATCTAAATCCGTCGTATCGTGTAAGTGGCATTACGAGTTGTATTAGTTCACCACTGACAAGCTATCGCCTTACTACTGATTGGAGTTTGCTGATCAAATGTGTCGATAACTTCATACTCTCTCATACTCCTACTCTCGTAACATTATTGGGGGCACGGGTGGACCAGTCGTCGCGATTCGCTGTGCAGAGTTGCGTCCCTTTGGCACGCCAGAAACCTATGATTGTGGGTTCGAATCCCGGTTTGCCCCAATTATGTTTCTAGGTTTTTCAGCACCATACCAGTGCTCGTGGGTTTCACCGAAGTGGTAAACGTCTGAAACCTGCATCACTTCGGGCTTTCCTCCCACATTCAGCTGACACGCCGCGATATGACTTCAAGTTGAATACTGTTAAAAGCGGCGTTAAACCCAACTCACTCACTCGTAACATTATTGAGGTCTGAAGGAATCAGAGGTCAGAGGTTCTACTTGGGCTGCATGTGTGTTAGTTGTTTAACGCAGCAATATTCCAGCTACATGACGGCGGTCTGTAAATAATCGAGTCTGGACCAGACAATCCAGCGATTGACATCATGAGCATCGATCTACGCAATTGGGGTAACAACGATAAGGATAACATACATCAATCAAGTCAGCGAGCCTCGCCACCCGATCCCGTTAGTCGCCTCTTACGACAAGCATTGTCACCTTTCACTGCTCTCTACCCGGATCTTCACGGGTAGCTTGGGCTTGTAAAACCGGAGAGTATGGTGGGGGGGGCGCCTTAATTTCCCCCAGGGTCTCTTCCCAAGGTACTAAAACCCAAGCAGAACGGAAGGGCATGTGTCTTCGGTTGTCATGCTAACCAGTAAAGGTACGAGAGTAAGGGGGGGGTATCGCCGCATCCGCCAAATAATAAGACAACGACCAAATATGGCAAAGTAAACTGATGACATGTGAAATATCGTGTAAATACAAGTTCTTCAGTCTCAGATGCGTTTGCACCACCCGATCCCGTTAGTCGCCTTTTACGACAAGCATAGTCGGCTTCTACAGCAAGCATGGGTTGCTGAAGACCTATTCTACCCCGAATCTTCACGGGTCGCGTTTGCAAATGTCAGTTCGTGATCACTTACAAACATATTGTAATACTATTCAACAATAATTTACTTCAAATGATAATTTCTAAAATTTCCAGAGCGAAACCCTCCCATTCGCAGTAACTAAATTGGATCGGATCGGCAAATAACTTAAGAACAGTTATTCCAGGCATGTCAGGTAATTATTTCGGAGGTACATCCCCGCGAGTAGACAGCCCTGGAACTTAATGCGAGACGAGTCGGCTGGTAGCTGCATATTTCAACGGTTGCAGTGATAAACTTGCTTAACAATAAACAGTTAATGTTTTAAATATACAAAACAGGATTAATCACATGCTTACATCACCTCGATCTCATTAAAATCAGATACAAGACCTCGCTACGGCTGAGATCATCCCATTACAGGTCACGTCAGAACGACCTTTCGCGAACTTTGACCGATCTACAAACAAGAAGTCGACATTAGCCACTGAGAAAACGGGCGACACCCATTCCAGACTGTGCTTTATAAAGTATTTTAAGTCAGTCATACAGCCCGTAACCGTAGTTTTGTGTTAACTTCTTTGATAGGCTATGAATACACAATCCCATTTAGAAAGTGGTCAAATGTAACAAATGTTATATTTGGGATAACACTTTCTTAGTAAAGTACAGATTCTCGTACAGTAACTTTTTTGGGTTGAGTCCCGTCCGGGATTCGAACCCACACTTGCCAGAGTGAGGCACCTAATCGCCAGCACACAAAGTCAGCGATCTAACCCACTCAGCCACCGAGGCTTCCACAAAAATGAAAGTCCGACAACTGGTAGTCTAGATCACGTACTTTGAGTACCCCTCTGACAAGTGTAAATTGGCACGGCTCCCATGGCCGAAAGCTATGAACACACGATGCCATTTACACTTGGGTTTATCCGACATACTAGTTAATCATAGTAATCATATGCATCCAACCATGTCGGATTAACGGGTCTTGACTGTATGTGGTTTGAGACATACCAGAGACAACAGAAACAGCAGAGATGCTATGAGGTAGTGTTAAAAGACCATAGTAGAGCCCGGTAATAAACATAGTTAGAGATCAATAAACGAATACAAGAAACCTCCAAAATCAATACATGACGTTACATAAGGTTTCTACGCTGTTCAATACCCTTGATTCACTCTAATGTAATGCTTTAGTTTATTTGTCTTGTATATGCCCAATCTGTTACTATGTCTTAATGAACCCAACATATTACATGTGCGTCTACGACGCTGTGGCTTTGAGTAGAGATGTTGATTTTCTTCAATCAACCGTTCCCCAAAGCGTCCTCAGCGCGCGACTACTGTCTCCCATGTTTTGTCATCGACTTCCAAAGCTGTGGCTATGAGACTCGTTGAAACGAGGCTTGACTAAATGCAGAGTTACCTTAATGCCCTGAAAGAATATATGGAGTTTGATCGAAGAAGAACACCACACGAAAGTCTATTCTACAATGGGACGTTTCTTTCTTCATTAGCAGGAGATGAGCGTATTCCTGTTCATGCATCCCCTCGGGGCAGCCCCTGTGTTGCGAAGTGGATGTAATCTTCTCTTACTGTATGGTGTGTAATGTATATTTCATGTTCAGATTGTCGTACAGGCATGTGTGTGACCTCACCGTCTGAAGGACCAACATTACCAGCATCGAGGAGAACGGGTGAACTTCTCGAACTGACACCAAGGAGGAGGAGGACTGTTAGTGCTTTGCGTAACAAAGTGTTATCATTTAGTGCAGAAGACGACCGACAGGTGCATATTTACTTGGACGTTGGACAGGGCACAGAGGCCGTGAGGACCAGGGTAGAATACAGGTGTGTTGTGTACAGGGTATAGAGATATTGCGGGAGGGCTATAGAGACACCGTGGGCAGGGTACAGGGATGTTGTGGGCAGGGTACAGGGATGTTGTGGACAGGGTTCAAGTGAGTGAGTGAGTTAGGTTTAACGCCGCTTTTAACAGTATTCCAGTTATATCACGGCGTGTCAGCTTAATGTGGGAGGAAAGCCCGAAATGGTGCAGGTCTCAGACGTTTACCACTTCGGTGAAACCCACGAGCACGGGTATGGTGCTGACAAACCTAGAAACATAATCGGGGCGAACCGGAATTCGAACCCACAATCATAGATTTCTGGCGTGCCTAAGGGACGCAACTCTGTACAGCGAATCGCGACACCTCGGACGACTTGGCCACCCGTGCCCCGACAGGGTTCAAGGATATTGTGGACAGCCTGCAGGGACCGTGAGGGCCAGGTTAGGATACAAGTGTTTTGTGGGAGTGTACAAGTGTGTTGTGGGGGTGTACAAGTGTGTTGCTGGGGTGTACAAGTGTGTTGTGGGGGTGTACAAGTGTGTTGTTGGGGTGTACAAGTGTGTTGTGGGGGTGTACAAGTGTGTTGTGGGGGTGTACAAGTGTGTTGTGGGGGTGTACAAGTGTGTTGTTGGGGTGTACAAGTGTGTTGTTGGGGTGTACAAGTGTGTTGTGGGGGTGTACAAGTGTGTTGTTGGGATGTACAAGTGTGTTGTTGGGGTATACAAGTGTGTTGCTGGGGTGTACAAGTGTGTTGTTGGGGTGTACAAGTGTTTTGTTGGGGTGTACAAGTGTGTTGCTGGGGTGTACAAGTGTGTTGCTGGGTAGTACAAGTGTGTTGCTGGGGAGTACAAGTGTGTTGCTGGGGTGTACAAGTGTGTTGTTGGGGTGTACAAGTGTGTTGTGGGGGTGTACAAGTGTGTTGTGGGGGTGTACAAGTGTGTTGTGGGGGTGTACAAGTGTGTTGCTGGGGGTGTACAAGTGTGTTGCTGGGGGTGTACAAGTGTGTTGTTGGGGTGTACAAGTGTGTTGTGGGGGTGTACAAGTGTGTTGCTGGGGTGTACAAGTGTGTTGTGGGGGATGCAGGGATGTTGTTAATAAAGGACAGAGATGTTGTAGGAGATGGTCAGTAACAGTGCAAGGTTACCAAGGGGTAAACTGTGGCCAGGGTACCAGGATTTGGGGTACAGGTAAGCTTTGGATACAGCGGTGCTGGTAAAGTAGGCAAATGGGATAGGGTAGTATAGTCAGTGCATCCTTGGTTCGATGCATTCCATGCGGAATCTAGTGAGTTAGAGAATTAGCGCCGAAGGTGATCGACTTTGAATAAACTGATTTCAGGTTTACTGTAACACCCGCGGCCTCTTCAATCGAACATTTACGTATATGACACGGATATCACTGTGCCGTGTCATGCTACAAACATATTTTGTGAATGACGGGTGCTACCGTAAGGGTAGGACATGCTTACCCTGTTCGCGAACACCTCGTGTCATATGATTCATATATTTTCCCTTTTACGCCCAATGGAATACATTTCGTGGGAATATCAAGATTGGTTATTCTCTGGCGTTGGCCTTTTATAATGTACAAGGTGTTGATGTCCGA